TTAATATTGATCATTATCACATTCTCAACTGATAGTTTCTTTTACATTTGATTTTCCTCAATTTCTTATAACACTTTCTTTAAGCTCATTACATGTGCTTTTGATTCTAAATTTTCCATACATTAATGGCATAATAGTTTATAATTCTCCTATAATTTTGGATCCAATTAAACCATAAAGATAGGGAGTTTATGATTGTAAGGACAAATAAGATCTTCTTCTTTTTCTAACATTCTTGATTTAATCATATATAGTTATATTTTATTATTATTATTAAAGTAATTCTATTACAAGACATTGAGATAAGTATTCTTTTCTCAAATATTATGATTATTATTTAATTTGATATTATTTATGCTATAAAGAAGTCTAAATAATTCTTTATGCTAGAATGATAAATTATAAGGAATAATTGTTACAATATAATATAAATATCCTCTTATATTATTTTTATGCTAAAGTAAATCTTTCATCTAAAGAATTACAAATTATTTTAGGAATATATGATAAAATGAAATAGATAATTTGATTAGATTAAGCCATATATTGATATAAAATTAGGACATATAAATTATATGTAACAGAAATGATACAAACATAAAATATTATTGAAAAGATTCCACTAAGAAATATAGGATTTGAGGAATATTTTAGTAAATGAAAATTAGAGAAAAATGTAAAAAATTATGAAAAAATGGGGTTTGTTATTATTTATAAGGATTAAAACAAAGAGTATAGTATTTTTGGATAAGAAATTTAATTTAAAATAAATGGTCTGAGATATTAGAGTGATGATTAATGGTAACTACAAAAATTCTTCAAAATCCTTTTTTTATACATAAAAACTCATCTTAGTATCTCAAATTTTATTATTTATAAATTACTACAATTTATTATTAAAAAATGGTTTAAAGCATAATTACTTTATGTTTTTTTCAGTCTACCATCTACTAATAAACTATTTTTTGATTAAATAGCTTCATTTTTATAATCTATTATCTAAAATTTAAATATCAATCTGATTTATATGTGTATCTAAAAATTATTGTTGATTAATTTATTTAAATTGTGAATTAATTTATACATGTAAAATTTAGAAAATCAAGATAATAATACCAAAGAATTTGAATTAATTGTTTGGGATTAAGGAAATAATGGATTGTTAAGACAAACTATTTTAACTGTAATTCAAAATTAAATCGATGAAGTTACATGTATTAAAAATGGAGTTATTTTATAATTTAATGTATTGGAAAAATAACTTCATTTTAGAAATAAGATTTAATTGATGACTAAAAAATCACCAAAAATCAAGTGAAAATTAATCATTTTAAATGGAAAGGAAAAGAAGGTAAAGAGAAATAGAAAATTGGTAAATGGGAAGTATATTGGAAAAATAAAGTATAAAAAATAGGAGGATATTATGATAATTAAGGTCTAAAGTAAGGATTGTGGTAGGAAGAGTATGAAAATTTCTGGGAGTACTTTATTTTATAAATATGAAGTTATGCTTAAATTGTTTACGTTGGAATTTATCATAATGGAATATAAAGAAATAGATGGGATACTATTATGAATAATAATTTTATGTAATTATTTATAATCAAAATGTAGTGGAGGGGGTAATTATGATCATAATGGCAAAAAGACAGGCAAGTGGGTTGAATTACATTTAAATTACTTTAAACAGAATTATGCTTATTGCGATGCCACTTATGAAGGAGAGTATTTAGAAGGGGGAAAATAAGGATATTGGTAAACATTTCTCTCAAAAAAAATTATGTAATTTATTAATATAATTTTAGTGGAGGAGGTTTTTATAATCAGGATGGATAAAAGGATGGTTTTTGGATTGAATTGAATGATAACTTTTCTTTGTATTTAATAGAAATTATAAATAGTGGTAATTAAGTTATTTACAAGGGCAACTATAAGAATGGTTTACAAATAGGAATATGGGAAATTGTAAAAGTTTATGACGGAAAACAAATATATATGTAAAATATAAAAAATAGTAAAGTGGGGGAGGTTCTTTTGATGATAATGGAAAGAAAAATGGTAGATGGGTTGATTTAGCAATAGATTGGTTGAAGTATATTATAAAATGCATTGGATAGTGGTAACAAGGAAATCTTTTATATTGGTGATTATAAGAATGGATAGAAAATAGGGTAATGGAATATTCATAATTGGTATAACAAATCCATGTATTATTTACATCATAAACTTTTAAGTGGTGGTGGAGAATTTTAAGAAGGAGTGAAGAATGGATAATGGATTGAACTGCATGATAATTGGCATTAAAAGTTCTTATTCTTTTTTATTTAGGTGGCCATAAATATCTTATCATGGTAGTTATTAAAATGGAAAAAAAAATGGAAAATGGGATACTTATGATAATTATAATGGAACAGATAAATATATGTTAAATTTTAATATTATAAGAAGTGGTGGTGGGTAATTTTAAGGAGGAATTAAAGATGGAATATGGATAGATGTGCATGATGATTGGCGTCCAGGGTATTTAATAAATTTAATTAATAGTTGGAGATAAATCATTTATCATGGTGAGTATTAGATGGGCAAAAAAATTGGAACATGGAAAATCTTAGAGAACTCAGATAAATAAATGTAAAAATTTAGAATATCATAAATTTTAAAGTGGTGGTGGAGATTATAATGAATATGGAATGAAGAATGGTAAATGGTTTGAACCTGATGAAAAATGGGATAAAAAGTATTTTAATAATTATAAAATCAATAGAAATTTGGAATTCATTTATGAAGGTGAATATAAGAATGGTTTAAAAATCGGTTAATGGAATCGTATAGATAATTTGAATGGAATAAATAATAGTTTATATGAACATTATAGCGATGATGGATTCTTAATAGAAAATGAATTATGATAACAGAATAATATTATATTATATTATTTAAACTAATAAAAATTATTATAAATGATTTTGATTTCAAAAATTTATATAGTAAAATATATAATATATAATTTAATGAGGATATAAAATCAATATTTAAATCCAAACCAAATAGAATAAAACATCTAGCTTAAAATTATTATTATAATGAGATATTTAAACTATCTAGAAATTTTGCCAAATGAAATAAAAAGAACTAAATTTACAATAATATTATTTAGAATATAAAAATTTTATTTAGGAAAATATCAAATTTTTAGGTATAATATTATAATAACATTATCTGCTATTGTTTTTATAAATAGAAAATGACGATTATAAATTCTAATAGATATATAATTTTTGTATCTTAAAACTAATAAATTTAGATAACAATTATCTTATAATTTAGATATTAAATTGATAATATTTCATTTTTTATTTGATTTTAAACTTGATAATGTAAAATTAGCCATTATCTTAATCTCTGTTATTTATTTGTAAGATCTAAATATTTATGTTAAATATTCATAGCTTTAAAAATAAAGGAATCAAAAGTTTTTGAATTGTAAGTTTTTGATTTCATCCAATGACTAAAAATTTTTTGATTATCAATACCTAAAGGAAACGAATAAATATTTTAGTTTTGATCTGGAGAAGTTTAAATATCTAGTTTTTCTATACTCAATAATTTCATAGATAATTCATCATTTAAACTATTAGAAATATAATTATCAACATGTAATTAATATTCATCTCCTAAAAGTAATTTGAATTAATTTATTATTTTTTTAGCATTTTTTTTTCTTTTTATAAAACTTACTTCAATGTATTTTTATATTATAATCAAATCAAATTAATATTTAATTTAATTATTATTTAATAGAGCATAATTTATCAAATCAGTATGAATTGAATTTGAAATATTTAATTATAAGATTATCTTATTCCTGCATATAAAAATCATAGGATGACTAGGGTTTTCTTTAAAATACTCTTTTACAGCTATTAAAGAATATAAAAGATTGACAAAATTTTACAAATCTTCATAAACATAATATTATATTTCTTGTAATTCACTTTAATCAATTTCATTGTTTTCATCCTATTGAATAGTGCTGATTTCTGTAATATTAGTTGTTTTACTATTTATTTCTGTCTCTTCAAAATCAGTAACAATTGTTACTTATACAATATTTATAATATTATTGAGTATTTAAGTACATTAATTATATTGATTGAAATTTTTAAATATTCTAATTTTAATTTCATTTTTACACATAATGTTTGATTTATTTTAATAATTTCATTATTGAATTATGATTCATTAATATTTTTAATCTTTTCATTTGATATTAATATATCAAGTTCTTAAAAGAAACTATAATCTCTATGTATTTATTTGATTTAATCAAAGTTGTTTATCCATTCTTTTGTATTTTCAATTAATTAATCAAGTTCTTGATTAAAATATGATTTTAATGAATAAAGATGCTTTTACAATTNTATAATTTAATGAGGATATAAAATCAATATTTAAATCCAAACCAAATAGAATAAAACATCTAGCTTAAAATTATTATTATAATGAGATATTTAAACTATCTAGAAATTTTGCCAAATGAAATAAAAAGAACTAAATTTACAATAATATTATTTAGAATATAAAAATTTTATTTAGGAAAATATCAAATTTTTAGGTATAATATTATAATAACATTATCTGCTATTGTTTTTATAAATAGAAAATGACGATTATAAATTCTAATAGATATATAATTTTTGTATCTTAAAACTAATAAATTTAGATAACAATTATCTTATAATTTAGATATTAAATTGATAATATTTCATTTTTTATTTGATTTTAAACTTGATAATGTAAAATTAGCCATTATCTTAATCTCTGTTATTTATTTGTAAGATCTAAATATTTATGTTAAATATTCATAGCTTTAAAAATAAAGGAATCAAAAGTTTTTGAATTGTAAGTTTTTGATTTCATCCAATGACTAAAAATTTTTTGATTATCAATACCTAAAGGAAACGAATAAATATTTTAGTTTTGATCTGGAGAAGTTTAAATATCTAGTTTTTCTATACTCAATAATTTCATAGATAATTCATCATTTAAACTATTAGAAATATAATTATCAACATGTAATTAATATTCATCTCCTAAAAGTAATTTGAATTAATTTATTATTTTTTTAGCATTTTTTTTTCTTTTTATAAAACTTACTTCAATGTATTTTTATATTATAATCAAATCAAATTAATATTTAATTTAATTATTATTTAATAGAGCATAATTTATCAAATCAGTATGAATTGAATTTGAAATATTTAATTATAAGATTATCTTATTCCTGCATATAAAAATCATAGGATGACTAGGGTTTTCTTTAAAATACTCTTTTACAGCTATTAAAGAATATAAAAGATTGACAAAATTTTACAAATCTTCATAAACATAATATTATATTTCTTGTAATTCACTTTAATCAATTTCATTGTTTTCATCCTATTGAATAGTGCTGATTTCTGTAATATTAGTTGTTTTACTATTTATTTCTGTCTCTTCAAAATCAGTAACAATTGTTACTTATACAATATTTATAATATTATTGAGTATTTAAGTACATTAATTATATTGATTGAAATTTTTAAATATTCTAATTTTAATTTCATTTTTACACATAATGTTTGATTTATTTTAATAATTTCATTATTGAATTATGATTCATTAATATTTTTAATCTTTTCATTTGATATTAATATATCAAGTTCTTAAAAGAAACTATAATCTCTATGTATTTATTTGATTTAATCAAAGTTGTTTATCCATTCTTTTGTATTTTCAATTAATTAATCAAGTTCTTGATTAAAATATGATTTTAATGAATAAAGATGCTTTTACAATTGATCTTTAATATTAGGTTAAATGATATTTTCTAATAATTCTAATAATCTTGCTTAATTTTCTTCAATTAATTATTATGCCTTTTTGAAAGTTACCATTTTAGTTATACTATCAAAATCTTCCATACATTTTGTACATAATATCCTTTCTTGTTATGATAATTTAGGATCAAACACTACCATATATGGTTGTAAATTATGATTATTATCACAATTTAGGTCATTTATTTATTCAATCATTATTGGGATCATCGTATCTATTAATAACTTTATATTAATATATATATATAAATAATAATTGATTTTTATTAGAAAATATTTAGATATGGAGTTTATGAATTAATATTAATCAAATGATCTTTTAAAGTAACTAAAAACCTCCCTTATTATTCCAATATTACAATTTAAATAGAAAAGGAAAGTAATATAAATCTTTATTATTTTGATAAATGGATTTATATTGATAGAAATTAACTCATTTATTAATATCATTTCTAATCTTAATTTTCTCTAACTTAAATCTCATTTAAGGTAGGATCATAAATTATTAGAAATTCTCCATTATCACTAATAGTACCGATTATGCTAATATCCTTAAATTCAATTGATTAAACTACTCTACACTCATAATTTTATAAGTTTTTGAGAGATAGAAAATTATAAAATGTTTATAAAATTTCCATTAATGCTTAATAATAAATTTTTAGATTAAACATAGGTACTATGATAAGATTCGATTATTTTATCTTATTTAACTAATCCTTTACAAATTATTTCACTAGATTTTATATATTCTCTAATGTTGCAATCGAATGAGTAGATTGATAATGCTTAAGATTTAATTGGTTAGAAACTGAACATGAAATTGTTTATAAAACAAAATTTTATCCAATAATTGGCAGAGTTTATTTTAATTTCCACTCAGAATTATGTAATTCTCGTATTGTGATATTCTAAAATCACAAACTACTAATTAATTTCCATTTGGATTAATTGATAAACCTCTAATTTCATTAAGTGAATTCTAAATTTTTTATTCACAAAACCAAGATTTTGAAGAGGATAAAAAATGGATTTAAGAATTAAGAGCAAAAATAATCTGATTTTCTTCAGAGTTCAATTACAAAAATTTAATCTCATAATTACGTATTATCCAATTATGTTCAGGTTTTTATTTTAGTTTAAATATTGGATTCCATTTACTTTTATTAAAAAATTGGTTGCTTATGACCAGATGATAATTAAGCAACCATCAGAACTTGATATGAATGAATTTAACATTGCTGTTTTCTTTTTGAAAAAAACAAGATTTTATACTTTATAGATTCCTACATCTTTAAGAGTTATCACTTAATTGGTATTGTATTTTTATTATTAAATATCTGATTAGATTTCCATAACTTTGATACCTTCATCTATTACATTATTGTTCCTAATAACTTCTAAGCTTTGAATTCATGATCTAGTCAACCAGTAAAATTTTTAGTAGATTAATTCTTTAAGAAATTACTCATTTTTAAGATCCATTTCAGTATCATAAGGAAGTCCTAAGTAAATAATTAAATGATAATGAATACAAAAATTTTCAGTCCTTTATTCATCTTTTTTGGTTGTATTCTAAATTTCTAACAGACAGTATGAGAACTAATTTTAATGAACTAAATTTAGAAATATTTTGGGAAAAAGATAAGTTTATTTAGAAGAACTTGTAAATGATTGATTCTATTGAAAATTAATTACTTAAGTTCTACATAAATATTTTTGATTAAATTAAAAGAATTAATAATCTTTAGTGAATTATTCAAGAATAAAAGTACAATATACAATTCATGGATATTAATACATAATTGATATATTAAATTGAGAATAAAAAAAAATCATCATCATAAAAAGGACAACATATTAATTTAAAAATAAAAATAAGTCTCAAATATCAAATATAGGTCTTAAAATTTTTAGAATTTTTAATGTATCGCTCTTGTACAATCGAATTATTCATAAAGACGAATATTTTCTTAGCATATCCTTTATTTGATTAAAGGACAAAGCATGATATTCAAAATTAATAAATAGAAAATTCTGATTCAGTTATTGAGAAAAACCCAGAAATTAAAACTATTAGCATGACAAAGGTATAAATTATGATGAATAATTTTTATGTTATTTTTAATTAATTTTTATATCCTATATGAATAGATATGATTAAGCATTAGTAGATTATGATTTAGCTATTCAGAAAAACCCAGAAAAAGCCAACTATTATCATGAGAAAGGTATAAATTGTAATGAATATTTTTTTAGCAAATATTTTATCCTAAATGAAGAGATATGAGGAAGCATTAAAATATTATGATTAAGCAATTCAGAGAAACCCTGAGAATTCAGAATGTTACCTTGGCAAAGGTAAGAACTATGATGAATATTTTGTTAGCAAATGCTTTATTCAAAATAAACAGATATTAAGAAGCTTTGAAATATTTAGATTCAGCTATTCGAAAAACCCCATAAAAAGCTAACTTATATCATTGCAAAGGTATATATTATGAGTTATTTTTTCTCAGCAAATGCTTTATTTAAAATGAATAGATATGAAGAAGCATTAGAATATTATGATTAAGCTATTCAGAAAAACCCAGACAATGCAGACTTTTATCTTGGCAAAGGTAAGAACTATGATGGTAATTTTTTTTTAGCAAATACTTTATAAAAAATTAATAGATATGAAGAAGCATTAGTTTATTATGATTCAGGTATTAAGAAGAACCCAGAAGTCGCTGAATATTATAATGGCAAAGGTATAAATTATGATGGATATTTTAAAAAGCAAATACGTTATACAAAATGAATAGATATAAAGAAGCTTTGGAATATTTTGATTAAGCTCTTTAACGAAAACCAAATGATGCTAATTATTAGAATAATAAAGGTACAAGTTTTGAGGAATAATTTATGAGCAATTACTTTACAATAGTTAAATAGATAAGAATAAGTCTTAGTTTAGTATGATAAACCTAATCAGAAAAACTCAGAAAATGCAGACTATTATTTAGGCAAATGTATTAAAAATGATGAATTGTTTTTAGCAAATAATTTATCCTTAATTAAAAGATAAGATGAAGCCTTATTATATGATGATAAACCTAATCAGAAAAACTTAGAAAGTGCAGACTATTATTTAGGCAGAGGTATTATAAATGATGACTATTATTTTAGCAAATATTTNTACAATCGAATTATTCATAAAGACGAATATTTTCTTAGCATATCCTTTATTTGATTAAAGGACAAAGCATGATATTCAAAATTAATAAATAGAAAATTCTGATTCAGTTATTGAGAAAAACCCAGAAATTAAAACTATTAGCATGACAAAGGTATAAATTATGATGAATAATTTTTATGTTATTTTTAATTAATTTTTATATCCTATATGAATAGATATGATTAAGCATTAGTAGATTATGATTTAGCTATTCAGAAAAACCCAGAAAAAGCCAACTATTATCATGAGAAAGGTATAAATTGTAATGAATATTTTTTTAGCAAATATTTTATCCTAAATGAAGAGATATGAGGAAGCATTAAAATATTATGATTAAGCAATTCAGAGAAACCCTGAGAATTCAGAATGTTACCTTGGCAAAGGTAAGAACTATGATGAATATTTTGTTAGCAAATGCTTTATTCAAAATAAACAGATATTAAGAAGCTTTGAAATATTTAGATTCAGCTATTCGAAAAACCCCATAAAAAGCTAACTTATATCATTGCAAAGGTATATATTATGAGTTATTTTTTCTCAGCAAATGCTTTATTTAAAATGAATAGATATGAAGAAGCATTAGAATATTATGATTAAGCTATTCAGAAAAACCCAGACAATGCAGACTTTTATCTTGGCAAAGGTAAGAACTATGATGGTAATTTTTTTTTAGCAAATACTTTATAAAAAATTAATAGATATGAAGAAGCATTAGTTTATTATGATTCAGGTATTAAGAAGAACCCAGAAGTCGCTGAATATTATAATGGCAAAGGTATAAATTATGATGGATATTTTAAAAAGCAAATACGTTATACAAAATGAATAGATATAAAGAAGCTTTGGAATATTTTGATTAAGCTCTTTAACGAAAACCAAATGATGCTAATTATTAGAATAATAAAGGTACAAGTTTTGAGGAATAATTTATGAGCAATTACTTTACAATAGTTAAATAGATAAGAATAAGTCTTAGTTTAGTATGATAAACCTAATCAGAAAAACTCAGAAAATGCAGACTATTATTTAGGCAAATGTATTAAAAATGATGAATTGTTTTTAGCAAATAATTTATCCTTAATTAAAAGATAAGATGAAGCCTTATTATATGATGATAAACCTAATCAGAAAAACTTAGAAAGTGCAGACTATTATTTAGGCAGAGGTATTATAAATGATGACTATTATTTTAGCAAATATTTTATCCTAAATGAATAGATATTTAGAAGCCTTAGAATATTAGAATGTGGCTATTCAAAGAAACCCTGAGAATTCAGACTACTATTAAGGCAAAGGTAAAATTTTTGTAGAATATTTTTTAGCAAATATTTTAGAAAAGATGAATAGATATGAAGAAGCCTTATAATATTATGATAAGGCTATCCAGAAAAACCCTGACAATTCAGAATATTATTAAGGCAAAGGTAAAATATTTCAAGAATATTTTTTTAGCAAATATTTTAGAAAAGATGAATAGATATGAGGAAGCCTTATAATATTATGATAAGGCTATCCAGAAAAACCCTGACAATTCAGAATATTATAATGGCAAAGGTATACATCTTCATCAATATTGCCTTAGCAATTACTTTAGAGAAATTGAATAGAGTTGAAGAGGCAGTTAAATATTATGTTTTAGCTATTGAGAAAACTACAAATGTAAGTCTAATTATTTTTAATTTAATAGAAATAACTTTAAATTTAATGAATCGATTATTGCAAACATCATTAAGTGGATATAAATTAAATTATTAATTTATATTATTTAAGTTAATTTATTTTTAGATTTTTAATTTAAAAATGAATTTAATAAACTGAATTCATTTTAGAATTATAATCATAATTTCTTAGAATTTTACTTTCTTTTTGAGTTTTATATGCTTGTTACTCATTTATAATTGTATATTACAAACAATATTATAGTTTTTTGCATTAAACATAGATTAAAAAAAGAAATAAAGTATTTTTTTAATCTAAATGGTTTGATGTCTTAAGATTTATCTAAACATTTTAAAATTTCTTGAGTTTTTCCTTAATTTTCTTAAAAACTTTTTTATAAGTTTTGTCTTTATGTTTTGAAATGAAACAAAATATTCTTTTTTAATTGCTATTAAATAATATGAAAAATGACATTTGTGTAAAATTTCTTTCATATATAATTTCTAATACATCAAAATTTACTGGAAGAAAGTAATGCTAGTGAAATTATAAAAATTTATAGTAGCCATTAGAAGGGTTTAGTTTGTTTGGTTCAAATTTTTTTGAAGGACAACTATTGTAAAAACAGGTATCTAATATCTAATAAAATTTTTAATACCTTAATTATTTGAAACTCCTTAATAATTTAATTCAAAAATATTATTTGACAACATATTAATACAATAAAGGTATTTAGTTGCCTCATTCGATTGGTTGGAGTTCCAAAGTTATTTTATATGAATATTTTCAGTTTTAATAAATAAATAAATTAGTAGTCATTACATAATAATATACTTTTTGTTAATAGCTGTAATTTTTCAAAATTTTCTGGCAATTTTTAGCTTGATGGTCAATTTTTGGTATGAATTAATTTAATGTATACTTTGATTCAAAGCAGAAAAGCTAAAATGATATAATAATAATTAGTGGAGTAAAGTTTTAAATAAAGTGTGAAACAAACTTGCTATTAAAATTGAATGAGAAAGTCCCTTTCCCAGTTTTTATAGTAATCTTGTATGAGAAACCAATCCTGTAGACTAAATTTTGCTGTTTATCTTTTTTTATTAATCAAGAATTTTTAGTTTAAAAATCATTTTGATTCAAAAATTGGATTGATTCAAGAGTAAACCCTGATTTTTGTATTTTTTCCTTTAAATTATAATTTGTATTGATTTAAATTGATGATTTTAATAGAATTTGAGTTTTGATCAAAAAATAATTAAGAATGGATAATCTGAATTGCAATAAAGATATAATAAATTTTTCATAAATGGAATTTTATTAACATCTATAAGCATATTTAAGCGTACTTAAGTAATTCTTTGTAAATAATTAATTACAAGATATTTTTTTTAATTTAAGAAAAGACCTGTATTTATTATTTATACTTCTAACTTATACTGTTTAATTTAAGATTTTGCTTTTATTTATTTTTATTATCAAATTCCTTATTCATAAAATTGTTATGATTCTTCATTTCAGTTACCTTTCAATTCAGTACACAATACAATAACTATTAAGTCCTGAAACCTTGGTTTTACATCTTGCCATTAATAATTCATTACTTCTTGTAAATAGTTAAGGCATTTGATATTGACTACTTAAAATTGAAAGATAACAAGAGGAAAAATCAACAATGTCCAACATAATATAGAATATTGAAAATAGAAATTGTCTTTAAAAACAAGCCAAAAACTACAAAAAATTAATAATTGATTGATTTTTTTTTTAATTTAAAAAAATGTAATAAAAACATCCTTCAGTTTAATCTTATAAAAAGCAAGGCTTTATGAGAATATCAAAAAATAATAATTAGAATAAGGTGAATTGGTTAAGTGAAAAGGAAATAAGATTTCACGAGCCAGCTGGTGTATTAATAATAAATATTTCTGATGATATTGTAACCTACTTAATTGACAATGCTCAATACGGTAAATACAAAGCATCAGGGTTTTTATTTTTTTTAAATTTAGTCAGTTTAAAGATAATTTAATTTGATAATGATTAATATATATAAATTTCATTTAAATATGTATGAAATTAGTAAAAGACCAAAAATAGTTGGTCATGGTATTGGATGATTTAACTTAAAAAATATACAACCATAAATACAGTATGAATAATTGAATTAAGTGTTAATTAACGATCTAGTTATGACTGAATGTGTATGCGATAAGACTGGAAATTTACTACAATTTAATTTAGAGTGAGATTTATAATTATAGTAGATATGATTATTAAATTCGGATAGAATATCAATTGAAGCTAACTTTTAAAAGAAAATAAAAATAAAATAAGACTAATATTCTAATTAATAAATTGCTCTTGAATAATTATCTAAAAGTAGAAGTAATGCATTAGGAAAATAAATAATTATATATATACTAAGAATTAAAATAAAGAGATAAAAAATTAACATGAAATTTCTAGAAAAAAATCTTTAGTCACTTACATTATTAGTGAAATATTAATCAAGCAAAAAATCAGTGCTATTTATAGTTGTAAGTTCAAACTATTTCTATTAACAATATGATGAAAATTGATTATAATTCCTGTTGTTAGTTTTTGAATTCTACTTATTAATTTTTTATATATAGAGTTAGATTATTATAATATAGTATAAATTATGATTTGCTTTTTTTAATTCTTTTTGTTCAAGTCCCTTATCAAGTAAATTAAATTACAAAATTAGGATAGTATAGAGTGAATGTAATTTTTTCTCTTATCAACCAATTTTACATGTTCCAAAAGCAGAAATTGAAGAACATTTATCAGATGATTAGATGTAGTAATAGGCAAATACTGGATATGGTATTTGGATGAAGTATTAACCATTTAGAAGTATTGATGATCTAAGTATCCATCATATAATTGATATTAGGAAAAAGGTATACTTAAGAAGATAATGCTTTGAATTATCAAAAAGTTGTTAAGGGCGGACAATTTATTTATTCTATAGAATAAGGACAAAGTTAATAGAATATAATTGTTGTTTCTGTTTATATTGATATTGAAAGTGAATTAATCCAACATCATATACTTTACTCCACTTTGTTGAAATAGCATAAATTATAATTTACTTAGGATAATTAATTATATGAAGGAGTCTGGATTTTGTTTTTTGTATTTTTTGATGTAAACTAAAAAAAAACAACCTTTGGATACAATAATCTTAAAGGAATGTCATAGATTTAAGTAGTGTAGGAAATTCCATTTTTTGAATAAAAGATTAAACATATTTAAGGAGGTCTTTATTAATATATTGATAATTAATAAACACTAGTCATATTAGATTAATTTCAAGGTCAGTTATCTTATGCTTTTACATCAAAATTTGAGAACATTTTTGATGATATAAATCTTTGTGTAAATAGATTCATGAGATATTTTTATTGTCAAGAATTTGATTATGTTTTGACTGATTGGAACTAATAAATGAAGGGAGATATATATATTCATTAAACCACAATTGAATTAGACGTTCCTAAATATGTAATTCATGGATGGATAAAATTAAATTTAATATATTAATATAATCTGGAAACTATAATATTTAGAATTACAATAAATAAAGATTATAATGATGATCTTAACTTAGGTGATCAAGTTGCTCTTCTCAAATATTACTAAAGTAATATTCCAGCCGAAAATGGTTTTGAATTATCTACATATTCTTATTAATTTCCTGTTAAAATACGATATTAGACTCAGAAGGATGATAAGATAAGTGATTATGGTGATTAATACTCAGAATTATTTATTTAATGGCATTACATCAAATATGAATTTGGGTCTGATAATTTTGGAGGATAGCCAATTTTTTCAATTTATTTCCCATCTATAGATGAAGTGAGAAGGTTCTAATGGAACAAGATAATAAGGCATTTTACAGGAGCTAAACTTGAAATTTATTTAGGTGGAGATGATTATACCAATTTTTTCATGAAAGGATTTATAAGTGAAATGACATTTACTATTTTTTGTGAATCAGCACCCATTAAGAATCCTCCTTGTCATTACACTTGTTTTACTTGTAATGGTCCTACATAATTTAATTGTATTAGTTGTACAGAGACTTAATTTAGATATTTTTCTAAAATTGAAAACTCTTGTATTTGTTAAGATGGTTATTATGAAAATGATGTTGGGATTTGTGAATCTTTAGTTATTTCATTACCTTAAATTTTAAGATAGGAAGTTGAGATTAAATGCAAATAAATCGGTTATAATATTTGTAATGAAGATTAAATTGAATGTACCTTCGGGTATTTTTAATTCCATAATAAATGCATTTAGTGGTATGAAATGATATATTGGTTAGTCCTCATTATAGTGAAATAATGTCTATCGTCCATTTTACATGTTTTAATTGTATCATATCTCCTTAGGAATTTGCCAACAACTTAACTTGTTTTTAAGAAGCAAGTACCTATTTATACAATAAAGAATATATTTATCAAATAAGATTGAAAAATTAAAATGAAATTAGCTTTTATGAAATTTCTGTTGGTTAAGATTAAAACTTTGAATTAGTATTATGTATTAATTGTGCTGGAAAATAATTATGTAAGCCAGGCTATTTTTATACAAATAATTAATGTGTAAATTGTATTGAAGGTTGTCAAACTTGTTTAGATATTAATAATTGTGATTAATGTTATCCAAATTATTATAGAGATTTTGAAAATAAATGTAAAAGTTGTTAAAATTGTGCAAGTTGTACAGCTTATGGAGACGATATATATTGTGTTACTTGTGAAGAAAAATAAATATTAGTAGTTGCAACTTGTCTTTAATGTGGAAGGAATTGTGATTAATGTGATGACTAATAATATTGTAATTTTTGTATCGGATCTCCATCAGATTATTATATTTCATTAGATGGAATAAATTGTAATATCTGCAATATTGATAATTGTATTTATTGTTTTGAATATTATTTTAACAACAATCAGTACTTTACAACATTAGATATTAAATTCTCTACTTTTAATTCTCATTTTCATTAAATAAATGTAGGGTGCGCTTTGTGCTCTAAAAACTATTTTTATAATTAGAATACTTAATAATGTGAATTGCAGATATTTGATAACAATTATAATTGTGAATTTGCTATTATAAATCAATTTGATTTTAGCAAGAAATGCATCAGAGGCTCAGAAAATGCATTTGCTATATAAATATCAAAATGTCCAGGTATCTCATTTTGTCTTGAATGCATAAATAATTATAAAGATAATGATCCATTTTGTATCATTTGCTAAGATGGATATTATTCACATATATTAACAGGTCAATGCAGTCTTTGTCCTAATGATTGTAAGTCATGTATTTAATAAAACAAAAAATATAGAGATTATTGGAAGTGGGATATTAAGGCATTTTATAAGTTTTTTCTTAATGGAAATAATGACCATCCTTTTGAAGATTTTGCATCTAATTCTTCCGAAAAAGAAATGGAAATTATATGTACCTCTTGTCATATTGGTTTTATCATAGATTAATTCAAATGCATATAAGATTGTGATAAAGCTTGTTAAAAATGTGAAATAATAAATGGAAAATCATCTTGTATTAAATGCAAAGAGACTTCTAAGAGTCTTTTAAAAAGTTAGAGTAAAGATGGAATTTGTTAACTTTGTCCTTCAAATTGTGTAGCTTGTTTGGACAGATAGGAATCTGAAATAAAAAAAATCAACCCCTATTTTATTGTAACTAGTTAAAATGTATAATAAACAAGAATTTGTTTTGAAATTTCTTAAAAGACCTTATCAAATACTCATTATCATTATGATACATTCACCTAAACTGTATCAATTTGTATTATTAGATTAATTAAGATTTTTTTGTTTTTTTATACCAAATTATTTCATAATCTTCCAATTTTAAAAGGACTAATTAAAATAATAAATCTTCTATAATTAGGATAAACAATGTTATAATAGAATAATTTTTAAATTAAATTTGTTTTGTGATTATTCAGATTATTTTGAAAAAATGTTTTCTTAGAATGATATATATTTTGCAAAGACAAATCTACCTCTTGATAGATTTTATGATGAATACTACTTAAATTTTTTTGAATCCCAATAGCTTTATACTTATTTAAATGAAATTTAAGTTAAATATGCTTCCTATGAATTTACATTAATATAAGGTAATGCTGAAGAGTGTCTTATGAAACATAACCTAAATATTTACTCAACCTTATTATAAAATGTATTTACTTTGTAAAAAATTGACATAGAATTTTTGGGGAATGAACATCCAACAAAATTAAAAATTGATTCACAAATTAATTTCAGTAATTTTACATCTGTGACATTTACTAATATTCAATTTAATTTTGGTGAAAATATATTTACCTTTTCAAATTCTACTTTGATTAATTTATATAATTTAAAATTAACTTTAGTCTTAAGCTTTAAAAATTGCATTTTTATAACTAAAAATGGATTAAACAAAAATTACACATTATTAATTAATTCTAATACTCCTTATTCACTGATAATCAACAATTTAATTTTGGAAACATTTCATATTTACTCATCAAATCTATTTTAATTTATTGCTTAAGAGAATACTTAGAAGAATTATCTTTTTTTAAAAAAGCTCATAATTAGAAACTCTTTTTTTTTTAACTCCACATTATTTAAATTTATTGCTAATATCGATAACTTAAATTATAATTCCAATTTTTCTGAAATTGAAGTAAGAGATACTATATTTTTGTAATCTTCATTTATATTAAGTAGCAGCCTTTTAAACTTTACAACTGGAACTATATTAATTGAAAAATTAAGACTAAATCATTTTAGAATGTTATTAAATTCTAATTTTGTTTAACTTCCTTGTATTATTTATGCAAAAATTGAAGAAGTTGAGTTAGAGAGTTGTTAATTTCTTAATCACTCTACATTTTACAAATCAAATATAATTAATATTGAAAATAGCATTGTGAATAATACAAAAATTATTGATAGCAATTTGATAATAAATGATGTAGATTACTCAAGATCATAATAAGCTTTGTTTGAATCATCTAGAATTTAAATAAAGTTTTGCTAATTTTTGAATAATGAATATAATAATTATTAGTAAATAATACTTATTAAAAGATATGTAGAAATAACTAATGATTCTCTTTAAATAGAGAATTTATTCATGTTAAACAATAGATTGACAACAAAGATGTAACAGAATTAAATATCATATCACTAATCTATGATTTATATTGAATGCTAAATCTGTTTATTACAAAATATAATCATATCAAGAGGGTATGGATTTCCAGAATTTAGTATCCTGAATTCTGATATTTTGACAATACAGAATTTAACATTCTAATAGGATTAACGATACGTCTCAAAAACTTTACATACATCAATAGATTGTGTCAAAAAATTTACAATCATGGATTTATATTTCATTATATTTATTGGTTAATATCGAATTGTGAATATAGAATCATTTAATATTATAAATTCCTTAAGTTTTAATAACCCTTATATCATATTTTAAGGATATGACATAATGAAAAAATCAATAAATGAATCCATTATTATCTAAGACTCAAAATTTTTGAATAATTAATTAATAATTACAGACTCTAACAAAAATACAGCTTTAATTTCCATAGCATCATCATAATTATGTTCAATATATATTTCCAATAATCATTTTTTAAATAATCATTTGAATGAATATTTTTAAGATTAAACAAGCATATCATCAGCTACATTATATATATCTTTATAATAAGGATTAATTTTGATTTAAAACTGCACATTTTTCAATAATCTTGTAACTAATTCTAGTGATTCAATAATTTACATAAAATCAAAAATCTTAAATCTATAAAATCTAGACTTTGCTAATAATAATATAAAAAATACATCAAATTTGATTAAAAGTATAATTTTTGCAGAAAATGAAAATTTAAGTTAAATTAATTTTGAAGCAGCATTTCCAATAAAATCTAAAAGTGGAAATGGATATTTTATTGTAAAAGAATTAATTATAAATAATATTTCAATTAATAGTTCTAATTCTTTATAAGGGGGAGGTTTCTATATTGCTACATAAGGAATGAGTAAAATATTAATATCAAACTCTTTTTTTACAAAAACATAAACTCAACTGCAGAGTTCTGTCTTTTCTAATGGAGGATGTTTATATATTGATGCATCTTTGTCTTAATTTACATTTTCTCTAATAAATTCATCAATCGATACATCATTTGCTAAATAAGATGGAGGAGGAATTGTTATAATTCCATCAGAAATATATAATGAGATTTAGTTGATAAATGTAAAGATTAAAGATTGTTTTTCATTAAATAATTCCTTTTTATCATATATTCCAAATAAGGTTGAAAATTTGCTTTCAACTATAACATTTCAAAATGTTGATTTTTATTAAACAGAAAAGGGGTTGAATATGTACCTTTCATTGCTAGAATAACTTACTAGTTCATAGGCATCTTAATTAGCAAATTCTAATCCATTAATTTTTGTTAAGTTTAGTAACTTCACTTTGGATAATTGTAACTTTTATTCAACTTATATGTAATTTTTGCTTTATTTGGACTCAGTTGATAATATAATTTTGACAAATATTAAAGTCATTAATAGTTCAACATTTAATTCTCCTTTATTTAAAATAAATATAAGAGCAGGTAATTATGATTATATTTACAATAGAATTTTTTGGATACATAAGGATTTAAAATCTTGAATTTATTAATATTATATAAAATTAAAAGTTTGAAGAAGGTTCTTGCGTATTAATAAAATAAACTTAAGAAAATTAAATATAATGTCCAGAAGAACCCTCAAAAAATATTGTAACTATAAATGAGCCAGATTTTAGATAGAATTAACTAATTTGTAATAAAATTTTAGTATTTTCAAACTACTAATATAATTTTAGTCTTTTTGAAATAGACTAAATAAATTCAAATCAATAATTATTTGTTTAAAATATCCAATTTTTAAATATAATCTGTGAAACATGTTAATTTGGTCTAATGAGAATCCTTGGATTTAAATAATTGGTGGCTACAAACATGTAATTCTCTTATATTTATATAAAAAATTGTATATGTGGAAATTCAGGTTGTTTATCAATTATTAGATCTATTGATGTATCCTATTTTTCAAGAAGTTTATAAGATAATAATCGATTATTAAAATCACTTAATTATGATAATTTAGAAAGTCAAATGAAATAATAATTATCCATAGTTAAAAGTGTGTTTATAAATAACACAGCTATATTAGGAGGTTCTCTATATTTAATAGATATTGAAACATTAATTAGAGAAAGTATATTTATTAATAATTCTGCACGTGTAGGTGGAGCTATCTACTACAATTCCAAAGAGTAATAATTGTTAATATTAGAGACTGATATTACAATGAATTTTGCAGATATTGCAGGTGGATTGTTCATTAATTCCTAGTATCTATAATTGACAAAAGAATTAGATGTTTATCTAGCCAATAATAATTCAACTTTATATGGCAATAATGTAGTAGAGAAACCAAGATCATTAACATTATCATTAAATGGAGGATATACATTTTTAGAAAATAAAAACTTTTTTCGTTCTGAAACTGAGATGATTGAACAAATAATTCTCCATCCTTATACAACATATGGTTTATCAACTCCATAAGTATATCTAAAGTTACCATCTGGATAACCTATTGTAGCATATGAATATTTTGACTACTTTACTTTTAATTCTATTCCTTATAATTATCAATTTAGAATTATTGCTTTAGATAAATTTAAACAATAAATTAAAGGTTTAGATAATACATATTGTTATTTAAAGCCTTAAGTTTTTAATGTATCTGCTTAGGCTGAATAATTAAATATGGTATTTAGCCTATCTTTTTACAATATTAGTTTTAATTAATCAACTGGTGATTATAATTTAGATAATCTAGTAATCTATTTCAATCCAAATTATAGTGAAGATCTAGTTTTGAGGCTATTCATTAGTTGCAATTCTGTTTCAGTACCATTATATAATGAGGAACCCCCTTATTTAATCGATAAAACTTTAGAATCTTACAAAATATTTGTGGACATTCAAACTTTTCCTTGTCAAATTGGAGAATTTTTGAATTATACTTCCGGAGGATGTGTAATTTGTGATGCATATAAAAACGAATATTCAGTTGAATTAGAGGCAAAAAGCTGCAGTTACAAAGATGATTCAAAAATAAATTCAATTAAATCTTCTATGATCGAATTAAAGTCTAATTATTGGAGACCATATTACTACAGTAACATTATTGAATATTGTTACCATCTTCCTTAAAATTGTAAAGGGGACTGGTTGCCAGGAGATGTTTCGTGTTAATTAGGGCATATTGGAGCTTTATGTGAATAATGCGATCTTTATAATATAAGAGGGGATGGCCAATTTTCAGTGAGTTAAGAATTCCATTGTGGAAATTGCGATTAAATTTCCTATAATATCTTACTAACTATTTTAATAAGTCTTTGGACTATACTTTCAGTTTTATTATCAGTTAGTAGTACAGTTGCTATGATGAAAGATTTTATTCGAGAAATAAGACTAAAAGCATTTGGATTATCTCATTCTATAAAAGAAGCATCGCCAGCTATTTTAATTAAAATATTTACAAATTATTTATAGATTATACAAGCAATCTCAACATTTAAACTAGAAGTACCCTTTAATGTACTTATAATCATATAAGGCTTTGCTAATCCGATTGGATCTATGGCATATTCATTAGATTGCTTTATAGTATCTTTTACAAATATAGAAATTATTTACTTTAAATTAATATGGAGTTTGATTATGGCAGTAATTTATTTAATGTTTTTTTTTCTTTTACTTGGAACTGCTGTTTCAATAAAATTAATTAGGCTTGATGTTTCTTATATTTCTACTCCTTTTATCTATTTATTCATATATTTATAACCAAATTTGATAGGATAAATCATCTCATTATTATCTTACAGAAAGATTTCAAATGAAAATTGGATTTAAGGAAATGTTTCATATCTGTATAATACAAATTCTCATTAATAATGGATTTATTCTTTATGTCTTCCTCTTTTATTCATTATTAGTTCTTTTATTCCTTGCTGTTTATGGTTTGGGCTATTTAAAAATAAACATTAATTGAATAATATAAGTATAAGGAGAATTTGGGGATATTTGTATAACGAGTATAAAAATAATGCTTATTATTGGGAAACATTCAAAATAATTGAAAAAGAAGCAATAATAATAGTATTAATTTATTATAACGATCATATTTAAATTAAAGCTTCAATTGTTTTCCTTATATTATTTTATTACAGCTTTTTAACAACTTCATCCAAACCATACGCTACAGGATAATTAAATCGCTTGGATGCATAATCTACAATTATCTGTGCTATATCAATAATTATGGCAAGTTGTATTTATACTGCATAATAACAAAGATTAAATGAAATTATTTTGCCTTCTTACTTTGTAATGGGATTCATAAATTCTTTATATCTGATTTAGATGATTCTTTAAATTATCTTATCCTATTTTAAAAAATTTGATCTACTAATTGATAGATTTAAAGAAATTATTTTGAAAAATTTTCCAAATATAATTTCATAGTATCCTAAAATTTATAATTTCTTAGAAGGGAAAAAATAAAAGCAATTAAGAGTTAAAATAAAATATAGGAAATTAAAAGATTACCTGTTGGCTAGAGCAAGAAAAAATTTGTAATTTAAAATGTATTATAATTAATAATTATTAATAGGCTTAATGAAAACTTTCAATCAAATTAAGGAAGTTTGAAGGGATTTGAGTAAGAATAAAATTTCATTCTATCTCCCTAAATAAAAAGTATCTAAAGTGAAGTTGTGTTGAATACAAGTTAGTTAATTTCAGAGAGAACAAATTAAAATTAAAAATATTCTGAAAACTAATAAAAATCAATTTTTTATGCATTTTAAAGAGATAATAAATAAAGACTTTTAAAGGTGGAAAATATTCAACATCAGAAACCTGAAAACTCTACTTAATGAATCAAAGAATGTAATCATTATAATTTATTATAATATAAATATTTATAGTCATATCATGATCAATATAGATTAATTAATGTGTTAATATGTGTTTTATTATTAATCCATAATCAATTAGATATTTTTTATTAATTTAGATAATGATCTTTTTCTTTAATCTCAATTTATATTAAGTTTTTTATAATAGAACAATACGAACTATTATAAAATATTTTTAATAATTAATCTTAAAATGATTTAGCAATCAATAAATGAAGAACTAAAGTGTTAAGAACATAATGAATAAGCTATTTTTATTGATTTTTCAATTAAGGATTCCCGCTTACAAAATAAATGCTTAAAATGTGTTGGAAGGGAGAGGTAATTATGGGTTGATGTTCAAGAAGCAGACAGGCATTTGGAAAATGTTAAACAAACAGTTTTGAATGAGAAATAATTTCTTCATTAGAAGAATTTAGAAGTCTTATAAGAATTATCTAGTCAACTAAAATAATTGAAGATAACTTTTAATAATAATCTTGATAAGACATTATTAAACATAGATCAATAAATTGAGTTTATTTAAAAAGCTATAGACAAGGAAAATAAGTCAATTATTGGACTAAAGATATCTCAACTAGATTCTTTTGAATCTCAAAATAATAGTGTATAACTTTAATAAATAGATTATCAATAATTATAATCTTTTTATGGAGAATAAATTAAAAGATTAAGAATGGATTAATAATTTATTTAATTTGAAGAAAACCTTAAGAAAATTGAATATAATCAAAAAGATTCTATCTAAGAAGTAATTCAAACTTTTTCATCAGGAATTTTTTAATCTAGTAGAATTTTAAATTAAAATTGGCATTGTGATAATCACTAACTTTAGGTGGCTCTTGTTGATTTAAATGAATAGGGAGTAGTTCCAAATAGATTAGCTTGTATTGATTGTGTTACTGAATATCCAATTAAATATACTAAATTGGAATAATTAAAATAATTTTGGTTAGATTATGTAGACAAGACATTAAATTATTAAGAACAATAATAAATAAATCTTAATGAAAAGGCTTCAAAGGCAATGTAAAGATTTTCAGTCTATTAAGAAGTCATTTCTAATTTAGTATAATAATTAACTTAAACAATTTTGTTAAGGAATACTCCTAATTGTCAAGTAACATAAAATTTGATTAAATTGAAAACAAAAAATTGGTATTAATTAGACAAATCAGAAATTATTGAAATTTCTAATCTCATGAGTATAACAAAAAAATAAGAAATTATTAATGATTCCATCAGAAATGAATTTAAAGGATTATAAATTTAATTAAAAACAAACTTCTTAGATTCTTTCAAAACTTTTCAAGAAAATCTTATTGCAGCATTTTAATAAATATATGAAGAAATATAAATTGAATTAAATACTGTAGAAACAGAATAATATTCTAATAATTCACCTGTAACAGAGTCAGGAAACTTATAATTGTAGAATTAGAATACTATGAAATAACCGTTTAAATATGAAATAATTAATACTATTAAAGATTAGAGAATCGAAACATTTGCTTTTAATGAAAATCATTCTCTTCTTGCTGTTGGTTATTATGATTCAAATAAAATAAAAATACATGAATTCAATTAAGGATAAATGATAGAAATTTAAGAATTAACAGATCATAAGTAGTGTATATTTTGTTTAAATTTTTTCAAATAATCATAATAATTATTGTCAGGCAGTTTTGATAATACAATTATTATATGGGAAATGGATAGCAACAATAAATGGAATTTTAAATTTAGTCTAAATGGTCATGGAGGAGGAATATACTGTCTAAGTTTAAATAATAATGAGAATTAGATTATATCTGGTAGTGCTGATAAATCAATAAAGATTTGGGATAAAGATTAGGAATGGAAATGCATTTAAACATTATCTGTACATAAAAATTAAATAACTAGTATTAGTCTAAGTTAATCTAATTAATATTTAGTTTCATGTTCAAGTAAAGATGAATAAATTTTCATTTTTAAGTTTTAAGTTGATTAAAAACTTTGGATTTAATTTTAGGCAATAAAAATGGATAATTGGGGATTCAAGGTATGTTTTTTAGAAAACTTAACTTTTGCATTTTAACCATTCAACAATACAAAAATGTACATCTTTTAAATAAATAATTCAAATAATTAATTTATTAAGGAATGTGAAGTAGAAGTAAAAGCAGGAAATAGTTGTTATCACTTATTTCCCTTACAATTTATATAGTCAAAGCTAATGATTATCAATAGAAATGGAGGCACAATTAATTTTATAAGAAAATAAGAAAATGGATCATATATAACCTAATTTTTTATTGATTATGAAGCTGATAGAATTTTTGGCACAATGTCTGAAGATGGATAATATTTGATTACTTGGGATAAGTAATCTTAAGAAATTTAGATAAGATAATACAGAGAATGAAATTATTAGATACAATAATTAAAAATTATATTTAATTTTTGTTTAAACCCTTTTATAAGGGAATAAATTTGAATTGAAAATACTTTTAGGTTTGTCTAAAAATAAATACAATTCAATTAGGATTCTATTTCTTAAAATAGCACAAATCAATTTTCTTGAAATTATTGAAATAAATTATTACTAAAATCACCAATATCAATAATTTGGATATCATATTATTCTTTAGCTTTGATTACATAATGATACTGAAAAGATTTTAAATTATGTCTTAATTTACTTAATTTTATGTTAAAATACTTTAATTTTAAACATGAGTTTTACAATAAAGCTAAGATTTTTATTGAAGTAAAGGAGTTTAAAGAATCTATATTGAAATAAATTATGTATAAGCTGTTAAAAATTTAAAAGATTGTTTTCTATACATGTTTATATTCAAAATATTATCTAACTTTAGAACAATAATCATACTTTCCAAAAATTTCTTAGCAAGCACTCTAAAACAATTAAAATTTTTATTTATTATATTCATTTAATACTCCCTTAATATAAACTAAATGAAATAATTGATATTAAATGAACTATAATCTCTCCTTTTTCAGATTCTGATAGAATTTACCAATTTTTAAAATTTTCAAATAAGTATTTAGATAATCTTCATCTCAAAGTAAAAGGGGAGCTTCCAAAAATTTATGAAGGAGCATATCTAAATTTCTCATAGCATTAATTTAATATAACTCAGCTGCTAAGTTACTAATAATTATTAGAAAAGTAAAAATTAAGCTAAAGAAAAAAAATATTAGTTGTTCATACGATCATTAGGAAATAAGTGTAATATATACTCTAGCTTTATATTTAGTGATTAGAAATGTTATAATTGAATAAAAGAAAACACTACAGTATTGTCTTTGAGAAAAATAGATTGATATCCCTTAATGGTATAAATATACATTAATTAGATTTGGAAATTCTGTTAGAAAGAATAGTCGAGAATCATACTTTATTCAAGAATATATACTATTATAATTATTTATAAATAAATTTTTTCATTTGTTTTTAATTAAAAAAAATAAAAAATTTCAATTAAAAATTAATTTCTATTAATGCTATCAACTTAAAAAAATAAGTTGTACAGAAACTAAAAGAATGACTACAAATTTTTAGAAAGGTAGTTCAGTAAAACAAATCTTAATTCGATAATTAATTCTCATAGCATTAATTGAGTAAAAATATTAAACTTTCTTAAGATTTGGTTGAAATATTACTGAACTTCTCTTGATCATATTGAAAAAAAAAGTGTAAAATAAAATGAATTATATCATATTAAGTTTCAAATCACATTTTTTTTTTAAAGAAAAGTGAAAAATAATTATAAGAACTGAAAGTTAAATAGATTGAATTTGATAGAAAAATTATTTATTAATATTTTTTAACTTAATTATTCATTTTTATAGATCTGTGATAGAGTCATGGTCTATATTTTGATCATTGTTATGTTAATCATTATATTCATTAGCCTCTTATTTAATTTAGTGTACTATTTCTTCGGCTTTCTCTTAAATGCTAGAATGAACTTCAGCAACTTATTCTTAATTTTATTATTCTTGTTAATTAGATTCTTGGTTTTCAGTATTTTCATGTTATTCATTGGTTTCATGTACTTCTTATTTGATTTCATGAATCTCCTATTATACTTAGTGTACTATTTCTTCAACTTTCTCTAACTTGCTAGAATGACCTTCAGCAACTTATTCTTAATTTTATTATTCTTGTTAATTAGATTCTTGGTTTTCAGTATTTTCATGTTATTCAGTGGTTTCATGTACTTCTTATTTGATTTCATGAATCTCCTATTATACTTAGTGTACTATTTCTTCAACTTTCTCTAACTTGCTAGAATGACCTTCAGCAACTTATTCTTAATTTTATTATTCTTGTTAATTAGATTCTTGGTTTTCAGTATTTTCATGTTATTCAGTGGTTTCATGTACTTCTTATTTGATTTCATGAATCTCCTATTATACTTAGTGTACTATTTCTTCAACTTTCTCTAACTTGCTAGAATGACCTTCAGCAACTTATTCTTAATTTTATTATTCTTGTTAATTAGATTCTTGGTTTTCAGTATTTTCATGTTATTCAGTGGTTTCATGTACTTCTTATTTGATTTCATGAATCTCCTATTATACTTAGTGTACTATTTCTTCAACTTTCTCTAACTTGCTAGAATGACCTTCAGCAACTTATTCTTAATTTTATTATTCTTGTTAATTAGATTCTTGGTTTTCAGTATTTTCATGTTATTCAGTGGTTTCATGTACTTCTTATTTGATTTCATGAATCTCCTATTATACTTAGTGTACTATTTCTTCGACTTTCTCTAACTTGCTAGAATGACCTTCAGCAACTTATTCTTAATTTTATTATTCTTGTTAATTAGATTCTTGGTTTTCAGTATTTTCATGTTATTCAGTGGTTTCATGTACTTCTTATTTGATTTCATGAATCTCCTATTATACTTAGTGTACTATTTCTTCGACTTTCTCTAACTTGCTAGAATGACCTTCAGCAACCTATTCTTAATTTTATTATTCTTGTTAATTAGATTCTTGGTTTTCAGTATTTTCATGTTATTCAGTGGTTTCATGTACTTCTTATTTGATTTCATGAATCTCCTATTATACTTAGTGTACTATTTCTTCGACTTTCTCTAACTTGCTAGAATGACCTTCAGCAACCTATTCTTAATTTTATTATTCTTGTTAATTAGATTCTTGGTTTTCAGTATTTTCATGTTATTCAGTGGTTTCATGTACTTCTTATTTGATTTCATGAATCTCCTATTATACTTAGTGTACTATTTCTTCGACTTTCTCTAACTTGCTAGAATGACCTTCAGCAACCTATTCTTAATTTTATTATTCTTGTTAATTAGATTCTTGGTTTTCAGTATTTTCATGTTATTCAGTGGTTTCATGTACTTCTTATTTGATTTCATGAATCTCCTATTATACTTAGTGTACTATTTCTTCGACTTTCTCTAACTTGCTAGAATGACCTTCAGCAACCTATTCTTAATTTTATTATTCTTGTTAATTAGATTCTTGGTTTTCAGTATTTTCATGTTATTCAGTGGTTTCATGTACTTCTTATTTGATTTCATGAATCTCCTATTATACTTAGTGTACTATTTCTTCAACTTTCTCTAACTTGCTAGAATGACCTTCAGCAACTTATTCTTAATTTTATTATTCTTGTTAATTAGATTCTTGGATTTAAGTATTTTCATGTTATTCATTCTTTGAATGAACCTCCTATTTGATTTCATGTACCTCTTATTTAATTTCTTGTATTACTTCCCCAACTTTCTCTTAAGGGCTAGATTGAACATCAACTTAATCGGATTATTTTTCGTTTTCTTATAGTACTTTATAAGATTCTGAATTATTTGTATTATTTTATTATTTTTCCTATTCAACTTAAAGGTTTATTTATTTTTAGACATTTTCTACTTCCTCTTTCAATGTATTTTCATTTCTTTTTATATTCTGTTACTCAGCACTAATTTGTACCTCCATCTATTCATCAAACTATTTTTCTTACTAATCTGTTTCCTAGGATTAATCAGTTTATATATCTTATTATTATATTAATTTGGGTTAATCATCCTCTTCCTATTTATCATTCTTAAGCTTTTCAACATATAATTAGATAGCTTAACAATATATATTCGAAAGCTTCATATCTAAGCTTATCAATTTGATTTATTCAATTTTACTATTCTATTATATTCTTTTATGCTTCTATAATGATGATAAAAATAATTCAATATAATAATTATCTTCAGTTTTTTAAGTGAGTTATTAAGGAGGATCTGTAAAGGAGATAATTTTAAGGTTTTTCTAATTTGCCAACTAAAAGGAAGCTAGAAAAGCTTCTTTTCTTTAATTGTTGAAATCATCATCCTAGATATCAAATAATTTATCTTACATAGTCTTCACATAATTTAAGCATCATGATGTAATCAATATTGTTTTGGTCAAACTTGATTAATTAGGGAACTCCATTTTTTACTATAATATAGAAAACTTAATACATGGTTATTTTTTGATTTCTTTTATCTTCTTAATCAATTGGGTATTATATGGATCATTTGCAGCATTCACTTTAATATAATTATAATATTTTACAAAAAGCATTTGCCTTTTCTGATAAAACTTCTCCCTAAATTACTTGAATTCTCAGATTTCCAAAGCTTCTATCTAATTTGACTTTTGATTGCATTATCTGTGTTGGCTCTTGCCTTTCTTGTCCACAAAGATCTAATAAATTTCAAATTGATTCTTACTTCCCATAATTGTGATGAAAAAATAAAAATTTAAAATATTAACATAGTAATCAAATCATTTCTAGCTCTTATTCTTCAATTAATTTAATTACAAAGGCACCATTCCAAATCTGTAGGAACAAAGATTTTACTATACTTGGGATAACTATTGATAAGAGTGTGGTAGGTATAATATAAAATAATGCTGGATATTAAATATGATAATAATAGATTAGAATGAAATAAGACGTTAATCCAATCCCATATCCTAAAATGGATGAAAAAAATATTAAGCTATTTTCTCCAGATAACTTCTCAAACTTTAGAATATATTTTATGATCAATCCTACAATTAGAATATCGCCAATTCCTAAAATTGAACATTGCTAATAAGGAGAATTACAATTTTTTATTAAAGATGGACTTAAGAGTTTAATAGGTAATTCAATTGTTGTTGTGATGTTCTGTATAACAGATTAGCCAAAAATAGTTGGGCTAACAAATAACCAAAATAGGTCATAAAACAATGCTAAAAACATAAAGATCGTCCCTGTTCTTAAAGAATCAAACTCTAAAATCTAATTTATTATAATTATTACTCTAAAACTAAAAAATATTATAGAAACTGCTAAAATATTATTTAGAATCCAAGTTTTTGTATAATGATATATAATGATAAGGATTCCACTCATAATTGTTGAGAACAATATTTTTATATTGTTAGAATAAGAATATTCGTTTTAAATGTCCAACAATATTGTTTCTATTGAAATAAAAGCTGTAAACATCATGATAATATATGTGAAACTGGAAGCAAAAGTTTGAAACTTATAAAGTGAAATAAGAAGAAAGCTTGAAACAATTATAAAAATAATAGCAGCTTTAGGTCCATAAGCTTCATTCTAAACTCCTCCAAATAATTTCCATTCCTTAATCCCATAAATAGACCCACTCACTATAATAATTAATGAAAAAAACAATAAAATAGCTAATGGATGAAAATATGTCTCTGAAGCTCCACAAAATTTATAGTAATATGCAGTGTGTTGGTTTTCATTAATTTAATACATAATTTAAATTGTTGTCCAAGTTTAATCTTCTATTTGCTTCAGGCAAATATATTTTACATTAAATTCAAATGAATTATTAGGTTTTATAGTTATCTTTTCTAATTATTTTTTATGATGAACACTTATTATATTACTATCGACTGATGTGATGTTAAATTTAAAGTGTAAATCTGTTTCATTATTGTTTTTTACAATAAATTCACTTTCATTTTAAGTTGAGCCAACTATGTAAAGTCTTAAAGGTTAACATTAAGTTTAAATTGGGTTTGTTTGAGAAAATTTGGAAGATAAAATTGAATCTTATTCGATTATTGTTGTATTTTCCCCATGAATCACAAATGTATATGATAGTACTGAATAAAGGAAAAAAAATATAATAATCATTTTAAAAATATTTACAATGTTGCAAAGAGCTGTATTAATGTTTTGTCCATTATGTGAATTGGAATTTGAACCAAAATTAACTAAAACAAATATTTGTCCAAATTGTTTGATTGCATAAATGAATATCACTTAAGGTACTTTAAAAAATTGAATTAGATATTGATAATGATAAAGAAATACTGTTTTGCCGATATTGTAGAAGATATCAAAGACCTCCTTGGGTTCTTTGTGAAAGAGATTCGAAAGAATTATTGGCTATATGCTTAAAAAAAGTAATAGGGTAAAATATTCCTAATTATTATATTAGATTATCAGAAAAGACTATTATAGATACAAAATTTATTTTTACAGAGGCAAGCACCAAATAAATCAAATTATAGATCACTGTATAAAAAGAAGCAATGAATGGCACTTGCATTCAAGATTCAAAAATTTTAAATTTTGAAGAAGTTTATCATTAATGTGAAGATTGCAAGAGAGAATTCACACCTCATATTTGGGGAGCTTGTATTCAATTAAGATAAAGAGTAAATCATAAGAAGTCATTTTATTATTTAGAACAACTAATTTTGTAACATCATATGAATTAGTAAATGCTAAAAGTTGAATCAGCAGATGATGGAATGAATTTTTACTATAAATAAAAAAATCAAGCATTACATATGTTAGAATTTATCAGATCATATCTTCCAATATAAGTAAAGGAATCAAAAGAAGTTTTTTCGTTTATTAAATATACATTTGTGGTGGATGTACAAAGAATATGTAAAGATGATTTAGTGATTTTGCCACATAAACTTTGTCATTAATTAGGAGGAATTAATAGAGTTTAGATATGTTATAGAGTAGCTAGTTCAATATAATTAATTGATCCAATTAAATTAAAGGTTTGTGAAATTTCAGCTGAATAATATTTCAAGCATGATTTAGATATTAGAACAATGCCCTTGAGAGAAAATTGTGATGAATTTACAGTTTTAGATGTGGAAAAAATTAAACCTTAAAAAAATGATTAAAATAATCCATTTTAAAACAGTCTCTGTTCTGTTGAACTCATGAAAGATAATGATTCTGATTATAAACAATACTAAGTTAAATCACATTTAGGTAATTTTTTATAAGCAGGTATGACTGTTTAAGGATTTGATTTAAATAAGTATAATAATGAATTAGATGAAATTTATGATAAACCAGAATTAATAATTATTAGAAGAAAACCAGAGAAAAACAAAAAAAGAAAGACTCAATTAAAAAGATTAGATATAGAAGAAAATTAGGAGAAAAGAAATAAGAAAAAGGAAGGATTGGAAGAATAATAAATAGAGGAATTCTTGGAAGATATTGAATAAGATTAACATCTCTAAGAGACCTTGAATTTATAATAAGTATAAAGTTAATAGTGAGATATAATTAATCATTATTTAAAATCGAATATCTTTAATTTATCAATTAATGATTTGGAGCTTTTATTTAAAGTGTCTTTTCTATCTATAATTAGAATTATTATTTCAAATTAATATAAGCCTTTAAAATAGCGATATTAGTATTTTTGTATTAAAATCTAATATATGTGATTTTAACTATAACTGTTAAAAATTCATATCTATAATTATATTTGATTAAAATTTCTTAGTTTAATAATTATATTGAAACTAAATATATACTATTTTTTTTATAGTCTGTTATTGTTTCATAAAAATATTTGTAATTCATAATGAGTGATCTTAATTAATATATTTATGGAGAAGATGTTGGATATATAGAAAATTTAATTTAAATTCATGATAGTAAATTTTTATATTTTATAAACTAATATCAAAATATTGTGCAATTACATTCTTATGGCTTGATAGTATTTTAATTCAAAGGAGAGGAAAGGTATAATTCCAAATTTCTTATTGAATTAAGCAAATGAGTAGAATTATAAATTGGTTCAAGAGATTTTTTTAAACAGCGTAACAATTTTAGATAGGTATTCACTATTAGATATTAAGTTGAGTTATTCTAAAACATAGTCCTTAGTTTGTTACATTATATGCCCATGTCATTAGGCAAATTCTAGATATAATTTGGTTAAAATTCATCTAGCAGTCCAATACACTCATCATATTAGAATGTAAATATAGTTCCTAATAAGTAATCAAAATAGACAACTTTCCATTTTTTGGAGCCAGGATTTTAATTGATGTTGATCCCATTTCTCCAAAGCATCTTTTAATTAAGTTGCATTTTCAATCCAAAGTTCCTTATACATACCAAATAAGGGTTGTAAATTATTAATCATTTGTCTATATTTAATTTATTAAAATATGAACATGCAAAATGAACAAGATAAACTTGTACATGAGGAACAAGGTTTAGGAGAAGTATTTGTTCCATCCCAAGTTGTGAAGAATTTCAATGAAATGGTATCTGACCCAAATGTTGTAATTTATTGATAAAATAATAGCTTCAGTTACCATCTGATAGATCGGCTAAGCGTTCTTCTGAGAATTAGGGATAAAACTAGGCCCCTTTAGTATATAATAATTAATATTAGTTAACCGATAAACAGACTGCTTAACCATTAATTCGAAAGAAAGAGCCACCACCAGATGAATTGAAAAAATTAAATAAGTAAATGAATGGATCTAATCATCACAGTCAGGATGATGTATCAATCAAGAGTTCAGGAGGAGGAAAGTCTCCAGTTTAATGTATTTATTTTGATAATTAATAATCTCAGAAACAACATAGAGACGTGTAAAAAGAATGAATAGTAAATTGAAGAGCAGACACCATGTTCAAAAACAATAATCTGATTTGGCAAAAAAGATTTTGAAAATAACTGAGAGCACTCCATTCTCAATTATAATGGCCATAGTTACCATTTATGCACTCTTTGGAGATGACATTCGCATACTGTCAGTTGATAAATAAGGAGATGATGTATTCTTCATCCTAACAGTGATTTGTATGGTTGCTTTCTTAGCTGAGATAATTCTTACTAGTATTTGTAAACCTGAATATATTTTCAATGTAAAAAATTTTCATAATTTTTAGTTTTATTTTGTATTGGATATTATATCAACAATAACAATGATATTAGATTTAGGATGGATAACTGATACATGGTATTCAGGTGACCTTTCCAGTGCAGCATAAATTAAATCAATTGGAACAGCATCTAGAGCAGCTAGAAAAGCAGCTAGAGTTATTAGAGTTATTAGATTGGTGAGATTAGTAAAGTTGTATAAACATGCTCGATAGTAGATGGAGAAGGAATAATAGAAAAAGATGTTATAGGAATTACTTCGATAAGCTTAATAAAATAAAAGTTAAGATTAATAGGCTCCATAATAACCATAAATATAGGCTTAATCAAATCAATAGGTAGTTCCAATTGTTTCTAATATTGAAGAATAAAGAGTATCATAAAATGATATTGAATCTTCTAGAACTCCAGATAAAAATTCAACTGGTTCTAATTTAAAAACTTCATAAACAACTTCTCAAGCGGAAGATCAAATAAAAGAATCTGTTGTAGGTGCTTAACTTTCAGATCTTGTTATGAGAAGAGTTATCACTATTATTTTAGCAATTTTAATAAGTATTCCAGTTCTTTCATTGGATACCTATTAAGAAATGATTAGTAGTTATGATTCAGGAATATATAGAATTTATCAATTTAGAAATAATGAATAAGTAATGAAGTCACTTTTATATTAATATGCATAATTTCATGTTTCTGAAATATTTCCAATATATAGTGTAGATGTTAAATTAGAAGGTGATACAAATTCAAAATTACATGAATGGAGTTATGATACAAATCCTGAAATATTTGAATAACCTGCTTATGAAACAAAAAATCAATATAGATTTTCTGATCTTTAATATTATGTTAAAGCTGAAGGTTCTGATTTATAAACTTATGCAGCTGCTGATTTAGTGACTTATAATTAGACGAATGCAATTTTATCAATCTTTTAAACTGTTTTTGTCTGCATTGTTTTAGCAGTTTCAGCATTAATGTTTAGTAAAGATGTTTCAGATTTGGTAATTGATCCTATTGAAGCTATGATGTAAAAAATAGAAATGATTGCTGCTAATCCTTTAGAAGCAGTTAATATTGAAGAATAGGAGGATTTAATTATGGAAGAATTGGAAAAATAATAAGATGTAGAAAAATTGAAATAAAAAGAAATAGAGAAACATATGGAAACTTATGTTTTATAAAGATTAATAATGAAAGTAGGAGCACTTTTAGCTGTTGGTTTTGGTGAAGCTGGTTCAGAAATTATAGCTGAGAATATAAAAAAAGGTGGTAGTGTTGATCCTATGATTCCTGGAAAGAAGATATTGGCTATATTTGGTTTTTGTGATATAAGAAATTTTACAGATGTAAAAAAATAATAAAATTATTATTATAGGCTACAGAAGTATTATAATAAGGTGTAATGTTATTTGTAAATGAAATTGCTGAAATTGTTCATTCAACTGTTGATTCCATGAGTGGATCTGCTAATAAAAATATAGGAGATGCATTTTTATTGGTTTGGAAATATTCTCCTAATGATTATCATCCAGATCCTGATAATCCTAAGAACTTAAAACTTAAAAGTGATAGATACATTAAATAGAAAGGAGATATGGCAGTAATAGCATTTCTAAAAATAATTACTGCAATTTCAATTTCCAAAAAATTAGAAAAGTATAAGAAACATGAAGGTTTAAATGCAAGAATGAAAGATTATTCAGTTAAAATGGGATTTGGTTTACATATGGGATGGGGAATAGAAGGAGCTATAGGGTCTGGCTTTAAAATTGATGCTTCTTATCTTAGTCCTAATGTTAATATGGCATCTAGATTGGAAGCAGCTACAAAATAATTCGGATCACTAATTCTCGTTAGTGGCATTTTAAAATAATATCTCACTGAAGAATGCTAAAAGTAAATGAGAATGATAGATATTGTTACTGTAAAAGGAAGTATTGTTCCTTTAGGTATATTTCTATAACTAAAATAATAGAATTACATACAATTGATATGTCAATCAAAAATCTATAATCAAAAATCAAAGGATTAAGAGACAAATTTGATGTATCATAGATGACTTAAAAGGAGTCTAAGAAATTTAGAGTTGTAAATAGATTTAAGAGAGAAGATTTAATGAAAAAAGTCTAAAATAATTAAGTATCAGTGACAGATCTATTTACAACTGATGATGAATTGGCAGCAGCAAGAGAACCTTATACATAAGTATTATATATAATTGATATTAGGTATTTTATGAAACTTGGAAATAAGGGTTTGAATAATACATAAAAGGAAGTTGGGGGGATGCCTAATAAACATTCCAAAAAACATTAGTAATTTGAATATTAATTTTATATAGACTATGATTCCAGAACATAAAGATGGACCTTCAAATACACTTTTAGAAGTCATACATTCATGTGGTGGTAAAGCACCAAAGGATTGGAAAGGATTTAGAGAATTAACAGAAAAATGATCTAAGACAATCTTTTTTATTTTGTCTTAAAAAAAATTATTTTTGTTATTCAAAGTCTTAGTATGGTCTTTTTTTATTACATTTTCTCTCTTATGTTAAATTTTTGGAAGTATAAATCTGAATCGTTTAAATAGTTTTCTACTTTAATATTTATATATATATATATATTTATTTATTAAAATTTGGTAAGAAATGAAGAAATCTAATTCATCTAACTCTTCATCTATTTCTAAGTAAAGTCAAAATAAATAGTTACACAACTAAAAAACTAAAGCTTCATTCTTAAGAAAATTAAAAACAGAAGATTTTTCTTTAAGAAGGAAATTGATGAATCAAAATGTAATTGGAAAATTAAAAGTTTTGATAAAGGAATGTTAATAGCATGTATATATATTATTAGAAGATCCACAAAGTTCAAATTTAGCAAAAGTGATATAAATTATACTTTTGCTAAGCATTTTATTATCATGTATTACAATAATAGTGGATTCTATTTATGAATCAGGCAATGAAACCTATGATTCTGTAAGTTCTACTATTGAACTGTATTTATTTGTATTTTTTGGTACTGAGTATCGTAAGATTATATATTTATAATTAGTTTTACGTTTATTTTCAACAAGTGCTTTTGATAGATCACTCTTGTAATTTATAATTTCTCCAATGAATTTGATTGATTTTGTATCCATTTTACCTTTTTTGTTAAGTTTAACATTAACAGATGGTTCATTTTCATAATTAAGAGTTTTAAGATTAATTAGATTCATAAGAATATTTCGTTTGTTTAAATTGTCTAGATTCATGAAAGAAATTTCAATGTTAGTAATTTATTTTGATAATTAAGGCAGATACAGTGAAAAATTCATTAAAAGATATACTAATGCTTATTGTAATGTTATTTCTAATGGTGATCTTTTTTTCTACAATTATATACTATTTGGAGTATAATGAAGATGAAAGTGATTAAGGAGAGAATCAAATTAGATCAATTCCAGATGCAATATGGTGGTGTGTTGTTACAATGACAACAGTTGGTTATGGTGATTTGATACCTTAAACAATATAAGGGAAATTTATAGCATGTATAACAGCCTTATTAGGAACTACAACAATATCATTACCAGTTGCTATAATGGGGATTAATTTTTATAGAACATTAAAGGAAAATGATGAAAATTTAGAGATTGATAAATTAAAATAGAAATATTCAATTTCAAATGAAGTTGCTTCAAATGATTAATTAAATTTAAGAGAATTATAATTTATGGAAAATCGTTTAGAATAATTATATGAGAATAATGAGAAGGTTTTAGATTATTTAGAATAATCATAATAACTATTTGATGAATTGACAGCTAATTTGATGAGTTTATATAAGGCATTATCTGAGGAGATAGATTTACATTTAGAATATAGAATGAAAAGACTTAAGATGAAATAGAGAGTAATGAAATATATAATTATATTTTAGATAATGAAAATTGAAAAGAATATAGAATAGAAAAAATCAATAGAAATTAATCAATTAATACATTCTTATCGAGAAAATTAAAAAAAGATAGCATTGTCTCCTATGATGGATGAATCTAGAATTGAGAGTATAAATAGTGTACATTCAAGATTATAAAGTCTTGGAAATATTAAAAGAAGTAGTAGAATAAGTCAAATAAAGCATTTGAAGAGTTCAAGTCTTTTCAAATCTGCAAGAGAAATTAATTTTGATGCAAATAGTGAATTAAAAAGTGACCATATATAAATACATGAAATTCATATACCTGATCCAATGGATGATACTCCTTTAGACAATTAATAGATTAGATAAAGTTAAATAGAAGTGAGCATAAGAGATGAATCAATACATTCAAGAGGTTCAAATAATTAAGAGAACTGCGATATTTAAAATAAAATATAATGCTTGAAAAAATAAAATTTCATTTAACATTTTGTGGCTTGAAGAAATTTTATAAATTAATGTTAAAAGTTTTACCTCTTTCTAAAGTATCTTTTCTTTTATCTATGTTTTTAATTAATCTAAATATATAATATAATAAAATTACTTTTCTCTTTTATCTTTAGTTCCTGAAGGCATATAAAATTGGATTAAATGAACTATTGCTAAAAATCCTTTTAGTATACTAATAACAGTTAAAATTACAGACACAAATAAAATTAAAAATGAAGGTAATATTGAAATATCCATTTTCAATAATAATATAAGAATTCCTGATAGTATACAATTAAGTAATATCCATTTAATTACAAATAGATATTTTTTATAGATTTTATCTGTAAATACTTTATTTTGACTATTATCTTCAGTTAAACCTTTTGTTCCCCAAGATAAATCATCAATCCTACAAAAAGCATAAGTAATAAATAAATGTGTATAAGTAGGTTGATAATAGAAATAATGAATAGCATTAACAACTACACTTAATATTATTGAAGGTTAAGTTACTAAAGTGAATAGAAATGGAAGTCCCAAAATTCCAAAATTTATAACTATAAGTAAACTATAATATGATTATGGTACATTTGGCACTTCAACAAATTAAGCAAATGTGAGTTCTAATATAATTTATTAAATTAGTAAATAAATAGTATAAGCTACAGTTGCTAGACTCATTAAACCCAATATAGTAGATACAAAATAATATCTTGAATAATAGTAATTCTTAACTTTTTCTTAAATTTGTTTTTTTGATTCATCTCGAGATCCATTAAGATTATTTAATATCTATTAGTCAAAGGTCAAAGATAAATATACAAGCATTAAAACTAAGAAAATGTAAATTCCCAAGATTACTGAAACTATAATATTATCAGTAGATTCCTATAAATGATTATAATTTTGATCTTTCATAGTTCCATTTGAATTTACTACTGCTTACAATATCATATACAACCAAACTATTTAGAATGATTAAAAAAAGTATTATTATAGTTAATTTAAACCTGCACATATAATGCTAAACTTAAATAATTATTTTGCTTCCCATGTATGAGAACTATCCTCTAATTTCTCATGATATGTTTCTTATACATAATTTAAAGCAAACCAACTTCCATTTATCCATCTCCTTCTTTAAAATAGTAAATCAATTAAACTTTAACAAGCATCTACATAAACAATTGCATCTGGAATATATTTTAAATAAAAATCTTAACAAAACAATAATAAACATAATACTCTATCTTCAGCTAAAAACATATTAGCTTCAGTAATACTACTATATTAATAATTTGATTCCATCACTTACCTTAAATAAAAATTGAGAATATTATATTTAGTTTAAGTATTCAAATTTTAACAACTTTAATAATTTTCTATATCATTATTAGGTTCTTATTAATTATCTGATGTATTCCTTTACAAATCTTATAAATGAATTCTAATCTAATCTCTCTATTTAGATCTCCTGACATAATGTTAAGAGAAAGCTTTGTATCTATAAGCAGAGAATGCTCCAGGTAAAACATGAATATAATTCAAGGCTGATTCATAATTTTTATCCAAAGTATGTCCAATATCATATTCACATTATTAGCATTTTTTTATAGAAAAGAAATGTTTATTTAAAATTTTACTTAGAATATCCATCTATTAATCATTCTATATATCATTATTTCCAATCTCCTCTTCTATTCTCATATTACCACAAACACCACCTATTTTTGGGTCTGCTTCCATTGTACATATTAATCTAAAAATACTATTTTTTGCTGGAACAGCTCCACAGTCCATCAATAAACAATAATCTGGTTTCAATTCTTCACAAAATCCTTTAAAAAACCATAAATGGGAAGAAAGTTTAGATCCATTTTTAAATTTGAAAACATAAAATATTGGCATTGTACATTCCTTATGAACATGTCTACCTTAATATACCCATGCAGTATTTTCTCTATCTTAAATATATTATTTTGATAATTCATATTATCTAATCATAGCCTATATAATATTGGTTTCCACCCATTCATCTTATGGTAACCATTATGAACCTTTTTATGCTTTCATTATTGGAAGAAGAGAATCCTTATACTTTTTATATTTCTTTAATAATAATTCCTTGTTTTTTCTTAAATTGATAATGCTTTCAGGATTGTAATCATTAAAGAATTTCTTATGTTTCTTATATTCCCAATACTAATAATCAAGTGTCTTTTTATCTTTGATTCCATATTCTTCATCAAGATGACTTTTAAAATAGGCTAAAATATTTATAATATTTAATTACGTATAATATTTTCATGATATGCTGCACCATTTTCATCAATTACATTATGTATATTCTCTATTCCATCAAAAAATACACATACTCCAATTTAATGAGGAGCTATTCCATACTTCATAAATGCATCTAAAGATTACACTACACCATCAATTGATTTTTATAATTAAGTTAGAGGTTCTCTAAACATGGTTATACATACCAATAATTTCATAGCATTAACTGAATTATCTTGAAATATAATTTAATTTTAATCCTATGAGTTTTATGGCTACTATTAGGATTATGCTATTTCCTTTTATTTAGATTCATATATCAATGCACTCAATAAACCATTATGAGTATGATCATTAATTTCTTCATATTCTATTATTTACTAAGTAAAATTCATAGATCGAAAATTTCTTGAAGCTTCTTGATTTTATCTCCTTTCTATTTTTTGAATTTGTTAATTAGACTAGAATATATTCTTGGGTATCAAATTGAACCTCTTTCTTAAGTCGAATGTCTTTAAATTATATTATTGATCATTTTAGAATGTATTTTTTACTACTTTCAAGCCTCCCTCATCTACATTTATATTAAATTTATGTACATTATAATTCCAATTCTAAAGTTTTGTATAGCATTCTATTTTTGAGATCAAGTTCTTCAACTATACATCTTCCAATTTATGTTGATATATACATTTTTTTTAAATAATAATTATTTATTCTATTTGAGGATTTCTCTATTTGTACAATTATTTTTACTTATTATAAAATAAATGAATTTTTGAAATATTAATTTTAATTTATTCATTAGAGTTAATAACATAAATAAACTCATAATAATTATTACTATGCTCAAATTTTATCTTATGAAATTGATTATTATATTTTATCTTTAATTATGTCAAGTGATTGGGATAAAGAAATTTAATAAAATGATTCTCCATTATATCAAAATTATCAAAGACTAAGGGAATTAAATATAAAAACGAAAGCAGATATTTGTAAGTCTCTTCAGAATCTCCAAATTTAAATGATTTAATAAGATGATTAGTTATAATAAGAAATTGGTTCAGCTTTACGGCGTAAATAGAGTCGTATTAAAAAAGTCTAAAAAGAATCTCATTATAGTTGTCAACGAATGGCTTCTTTCTCAAAAACTCCAAGTTAACTTAATATCTCAAAAGAATCAATAGAGAAAAAAGGTATTTTGAAAAAAAGAGAATCCTTCCATAGTTCAAGTTCCAGTGAAAAAATTTCATAGAAGCATGTCAAATTTTGTTCAGAATCATCAAAATTTGTTCATATGGTACTAAAATGATAAGAATTCACCATTTATTTGTATTTTATAAACTAATTTATATTCCTCAACAGAAATGTCAATAATTCATAAAAATAAATAAATCTGTACTCTAAGTTTTGTGTCTCTTTTAAACATAATAATTTTTATATTATTTTAGTTTTAAAATCATATGGTTTATAGGTTTTCATAAAATAGTATAGATTAAGAAATATAAATTTGAGTTATTAAAATAATTAATAAGTTGTGAGAATTCTAAATACTTAATTGATTTAATTAAACATCTTGAGAGCTTTCATAATAATAATTAATGTTTAGAAGGTATATAAATATGTTTTCAGATTTTTGAATTTTCTAAATTATTTTCTATGTATTTTTTGCCTAAAACATAAATTAATTTATGTAGTAAATCAATTTATTCACAAAGCCAAAAGTAGAAACAAAGAAAACCACTTGTGGAGGAATATTAGCCCTTTTTACTTTATTTTCAGTTGGATTTCTAATTATTGGAGAAATAATAAGATCATTTTAATTGGAAGTATTGTCAATGATTGATACCACCAATATAGATGAAAGAATAAGAGTAAATTTAAATATTACCATTCACGATATGACATGTTTTGCCTTATCATTAGATTAATAAGATATTACAGGTACACATTTGGAAGACATGGAATATACAATACATAAATTAAGAATGAGAGATGGAAAATTCATTAATAAAGATTATGCAGAAAAAGTAAAATTATTTGAACAATCTTTATATTAATGGAATTGGTATAATACTAATGAAGTAAATGATTGTTATGGAGCATAATTATTTGAAGGATAAAAATGTATAACATGTTAAGATGTTTTATTGGCTTATGCAAGTCGTGATTGGCCTTTACCAAGAAAGGAAAATATTGAATAATGCAAATATTCATATATTTAATAAAATGGAAGAAGAATGTTATTTACAGAAGATTTTGGAGAAGAAAGAAGAGGATAATAATATATAGATATGAATGATTTAACTGCTATGGCATTTACTTATGGAGAATCATGTCAAATCTTTGGTCATTTCTATGTAAAAAGAATTCCTGGTAATTTTCATATCAGTTTTCATGGAAAAGGATAAGCAGTTAGTGTATAATATTAAATTATTAATAATAGTTGATTTCTTAAGATATTTAATTATCACATACTATCAATTGGCTAGAGTTTACACCTTAAAAGTAAGGACCTACTTTTGGTAGATATTTTAAAACAACTAATACACTTGATGGAACAACACATTCATTAGAATAAAAAGAAGACACTTAATATTATTTAAAGTTAGTTGAAAGTCATTATGAAACTTTATTTAAAGAGACAGATTTATATACATTTACAGCATATGAACAGAAGTAAGATGTTAAAAGTTATCTATAGTCAGATTGCCAACAAGTGAAAGGTTAACTTAGATCATATTTAAATATGAATTTGATCCAATAACAACAATTTATAAGAGCAAAATATCTTCTTGGACTCAATTAATAGTAGCCATATTTGCAGTGATTGGGGGTGTATTTTCTACCAGTCAATTTATAAATTCAATTTTTAGTAGATTAGGGTTATGATATATATATTGAATGAATATCAATACATAAGATAGTGTATATTTAATCTATTATTAATAAACATTTAATTAATAAATGAAGGAATTGTTAATTATTTATAGTATTTCTTCAAAATTTCATAATAAAATCTCCATTTTTAATCAACATTTACTAAATTATCTAGGTTTGCAAATTAAATCATTTTAAAAGAAGTAAGAGTAATAATAAATCTAATAATAAACCTAAAATCCAAAAAATAATATGTCTATAATTTGAAAATCCATTTATAAATAAATTAATGGAATTGAGATATAGGCTTATACTAATGACAGTATTTCTTGCACTTCTTTATTTCCTTTGTAGTTTGATAGTGCTATTAGGGTTATATTTTAAAGGTACAAACATTTCCTTAAGTGAAATACTATCTTCCTAGCTTTATACTCAAACTTCATTAGTAATATTGAAATTTTGATTTAGAACTCTATCCGATTTACGAGATTTTATTATGGTAGATCTATTAGACCAGATATTAATTCACTATATGGTATATCTAATCTTATAGATTCCATCAATAAATTTTAATAATTAAAAGAAAATGAACTTGATTAAGTACTTTGGCACTTTTAATTAGCTACAAGTGTATAATAATTGAAACAACAATATCCAAACTAATTTTCAACCTTATTATTATATTCATCACTTACTAGAGTTATAAAAATCTATACTGAAAATTAAATATTTGAAGAAGTTCATTTATTATGTTAAAATGGTTTGGGAATTACATTTCAAAGTAAAAATTAATCAATATCTAATGAATGGTATTAATAATAAATTCAAAATTGTAAAACATCAGATAATTGTGAATCTTTTTTAAATCAATTTTCTTCTCATATTGTTTTTCCTAAAATTGATTAAAATAATGAAATTTGGAGATTAAATGTTGGAAATCAAAGTCATTTTTGTAATCTTTAAATTCAGACTAAAATTAGTATTCCAATAATAATAGATTCAAATTAACCAATTATTTATTCACTTCTTACAAATGGATAATTAAATGTTATATAAGATGGTAAACTTATAAATGGAACTTTGGAAAGTGCTTTATAATTATGGCCTAATTAAACTGAAGAATTTTAAAATTAATTGTATTAATTAATAAGTGTTCCAATTTAATAGAGAGAATGGAAAATGTTATATGATGGAATGGATGAATAAAGAATTGTATTTTTCTAATCCTATTATTTTACACATCCAAATTATCCATAAATTGATTTAACTGAACAATTATTGAAAAAGTGTTCAGTTGTTTTTCTATATTCTATGTCACTATCAGATTACTATTAAATATCTGGAGAAAATAGTCTAGCAAAATCAACACTTATTAATTAAATAGTTATAGGTTGTGCTATTCATATTGTCTTATTATTATATTTTTGGAGAAAAGGAGTTGTTTTAGCTTTATCTTTAGAAATGCCAATCAATCAATTAATTAAATTAACTGATGTAGATATGAAATATTTAGAAATTTAGGATTTTAACTTATAAAGCTATTCAAATTTATTTTACAATCAAGAAATTAGATAATCTTATGAAGTCATAATTAATCTATTAAATAGTATAAAGTATTCAAACAATAAATTGTTATAAGAATCATAAGAAATAAATGAAGCTGAAGCCCTTATCATTTTGAGTATGTCTAAGAGTTTTTATAAAAAATATAACAATAATCCTGCTGTTGGAATATGTGCTAATAATATTGCAAGAATTCATATGAAAAATTAAAGATATCTTGAAGCTATGAATGAATAAGAAGAATCTGTCTTAATTGCAAATCAAGATTTATAAAGTCTCATTGAAATGCAAAAATATGCTAATTAAGCAGCTTAAACATAAGATGATTAATAACTTATGAAATTATATCTTCGATTAAAAAATAATGTGTTATAAAAGTTTTAGAGATAAGATGATTAAGTGATGAAAAGTGTAATAAAAGATATTGAAAAAAAAACTAAAGTTATTTAAAATGCATAACCTAATTTATCTAGAGGACAAACTATATAAAAATCTAGACATTTCATTGAAACTTCATAAATGAAAAGTTAACCAGAATTTGAAACACGTATTTTGAGATAAACAATAAATTAAATAAAGAATATAACTTAAGAAGATTAATAAATTAAACACTAAAATTCAGAACTATTAGAACCTATAGATAGTCCAAGGAGATCCTCTCCAAGAAAATCATCACCTATATCAAAAGCATATTTAGATGAGGAATTTCTTTAAAAGAAATAAATCCTAGAATATAAGATTGCATTTAGAAAGTATTAATTAGCTTGTATACTTTTTAATTATAGTATGTCTAAAACATAATCTACATTTTTGAATGAAAGTGTTAAATAATTCAATGATGTAATGGATGATTTATAAAATTTACCTGATTCTTTTTCAATTCAATACATGAAAATTAATATATACATAAAAAAGGCATTTTGTTTTGTTAAGGCAAAAATTATGGAAAAGGCTTATTAAGAATTAAAAGAAGCTTAAAATAAGTTTGCTATTCTCAAATCAATAAAAGAAGATATTAAATAATTAGATTCAAAAGAATTTGTAGATATCTTTAGAGATATACCTCTAGAAATCCTATAAGAGAAAATATATGGCTTAGAAGTAAGTTGAATTAATATAATAGGCTTTAATCTTGATGATTAATGAAGATTATTTTTAGGCTTCATAAAAGTTTGTATCTATTTTAAAAGCAGATGGTTACTATGATCCTGGATTATAAAAATTAGTTTTAAAATCTTTAATAAAGATTTTTAAGAAATGTTAAATCGATATTGATTGTTTAATAAAGTTTTCTTAATAAAATTAACCTAAAAAACTTGAATTTATCTTTTTAATAGATTATTCATCAGAAATGACTAATGAGTAAATTACTTTGTCTCATTCTATGTGTAAATATGTAATTTAAAAATTGGATGAAGATGCTGAAGTTGCATTATATGCATTTAATGAATCACTTCATGAAATATTTTCATTATAAGTGAAAGGTACTTATAAAAAATTACTTGAATCAATTATTGATAAAACATTAATAAAACCTGGAGGATAAGCTAATATATTTTCTGTTTTAGAAATTGTAATAGCAATTTTATTTGAGAAAGATAAACTTGAATAGAGAAAGTAATTAGCTTTACACTTAAAATCCAATAAGATTAAATAGTAAATAGAGTAGGAAGAATTTAGATTTTCAGATGTTGAATTTAGAGGATTTTCTAATTCTTCTAAAAATGGTAAGACCTTTTCATAAGGATTTAGTTAAATAATAAAAGATGGTGATGAATTATCAGAAAATAATAGTTTACATGAAAATATGGTATGATATAATTTAATATGGGTAGAATTAATATAAAGTTGATATAGATATGATAAATGAAGAGAAAGATGATTAAGTTCTTAGATATGTTTGTGTATTTAGTGAAGGAGTAAGAAATTACAATTAAATGTCTATCAATAGACTTCAAAGTTTAATTAAGAAAAAGAATATACATCTATTAATTTTTAACATCGCCAATCAAAATATGAATATGTTGTATTTAAAATAATTAGCTAATGTCTCTGAAGAGAGCAAGTTCTTTACTAATGAAAGGGATATTGAGACTTTCTTTTAATAATTGAAGAGAAATGATTTCAATAAAAGAGTGTATCTAGAATTTTTTTGATTACACTAATAATATATCTATATTATTTTATTTACTAATTATTTTTAATTTGTTTTAAGATAAGAATTTAATGAAATGAATTATAGTATGAAATTTGATTATACTCAAATTCAACTTTATTAGTGATTAACAATAAAGTAAACTACTCATTACTATTATTAAAATAAAATCATATATTTTTATAAGATCAACTTCTTTGTTTAATCTAAGTGATTCTCTATTATTTGGATATGTTCTCTTAATTCTTCTATTTTAGTTGTATTATCTAAGTTTTCTTCTCTAACTTTAATTATTTATATTACTACTATAATTTAGATATTCTTTCTATTATATCTGCAATATCTTGTCCTTAAAAATCGTTATTTTTACTATAAATTTTTAATTTTTTCACCAAGTGATTCTTAATTTAATTGACTGTTGCACCAGGAATTTATTGTACAATATCTTTGAGGTTGGTTCCTTTTCTGGTTTATTCCATAATAAAAGCTTCTTAGCTTATAGTAAATCTTTATTTAGCTTATCTTTTAATGAATATACTTACTTGATTTATTTGATCGAGTTCTTGATTTTTTCTTTTCTTTTTTCCTATTTTAACTTTCAGAACAGTTTAATTCATTTCCCTCCTCTTCAAAATTCTCGTCAATTTCAATTTATGAAGAGTTTTATTTTTAAGTAATAAGAAGTTCTTCTTCACATTTTTCATTAATCTGGCTTGATATTGGAGGTTATGGAAAAAGAAACTCTTCAGTTTTTTTAGCAGAAACTTCAAAAATAGAGTATTCAACTAGGATATTGGAACCAAAATTAGTAGAAACATCTTCAACTTATTTTTTTGATGGTAAAAGCTATGATTTCCAAAAATTAGTTGCTTAATTACAAATCTATTCAAGTCCATTTCTACTCATGAGATTTAATAATTAATTAAAAACAGAAATTATAATAATATTCATTTCATATCTAAAAAATAAATTTGTATAAATTTAGTGGGTTTAATCTTAAAGATTTACTATTGTAAATGTTAATACTTTTTTATTTATAAACAATAGATATATTTCAATTCTAATGATTTTTAATATATATATATATTATTTATCATTAATTAAAACTGCTGTTTATAAATAAATTAATTAATTTTACAAATATTCTTATTTCAAATCATTAGCAATTTCATTATTTATTATTAAATAAGAGAATAAAATACAATATTATATTTAATATAAATAATGAAATTATTATCTATGATTATTAATAGATTAGGATCTTTACAAAATTATAGAATTTTGAATTGAAATTGAATTCTTTTGAATTAGATTTATGAAGATAAAATGAATAATAATTAACAAAAATATTATCATTAATTGCTACCCTAGATTAATACTTATAAAGTATATTTATTATTTGCTAGAATTTGAGGAGGAAATAAGTACATAATACTTTTGGTGGATTTAACTAATTTCTTAATTTATCTATGTATTAACAATAAAAGTGATGTTTAAATTATAATAATAATTATCACACTTATCTCTAAAATGATTTATAATGTTAATTAGGTATTTTTTAATCGAATTTGCATATAATCATCAAATTCTTATTTTTTTTTTATTTGATATTCAAAGACAATTTAATAGGCTTCCATAATTTCATCTTATTAATCTTAATCATATAAATGTTAAGACACATAAGATTAAAATCCATAATATCCATTCTTCAATTAATTTTACAATAATGAGCAATTACATAAAGAAGTTGTAGAATATTACTAAATTTCTGGGAAATAATCATATTTACTATCAAAAGGAAGATCATATAAAACAAAATATTCTGAAGGTGTACATTCATCAATTACATATTGTATAATAGTAGTATTATGGATTAAACTAGTATTATACATATGTTCAGTTTAATTAATAGATAACCAAGTGAGAATTATAGACTATTTCAATTACATCATAGCAAGTTCAGTCTATAGTTAATTAACATCGACTGATTATAAATTGACAGAATCTATATAAAGAAATAGAGGTATGTAAAAACCTAAAGAGATGATAGCAAGTACAAAAAAGGTTAAGGCTGCATAAATCTACCAAACTAATTTAATTTTTTTGTTTTTTTCTTCATCATATCCCTTATTATTTAAGGTGTAGACAATCTAACGACTAATTGAATCTGATAATTATGTAATCAACATTTATATGTTATTGAATAGAAATAATGTTGAATAAAGCTAATTTCTCCATTAAATAATACTAATCAAAATTGTCAAATATATTAATATCCCAATAAGGTTACAAATAATAGAAAGTATCAATAATAATTATGACATTTAATCTAATTAGTCTATTCTTTCAATTACATCTCTAGTAGTTTTACTTTTTAAATTCCATAATTATTATGCAATTTCTGGATAATTATCAAATAAAAACTAACTATCATCTCCAAATAATGGAACACTTTTAGCTTCTTAAATTGTTCTTAACTTTTCTACCATATAATTTTTTAAGAAATATTTTTTATAATAAATAATAGGTATTCCATTTTCTTAGACTTTTATTATTTCTTCATCAAGTTCTTATAAAAATGTATGATAATCAAGTTAAATATCATTAACATGAATACTTAAATTTTAGTATTATTCAGCTCCTAAAACTTTAAAATTATATGCAAGTTCATAATCTTCATTGTGCCAATCCTCTAGTTAAATCCCTAATAATACTAAATTGATATCTTAAAATAATATAAGAGGATAAGTTTAATTATTTGAATCCATTTATATTCCAGCTATATTTATTATACTATTAATAACAAATCCAAGTATAAATCCAACATTTATTAATACCAAAAAACATGATACTATTTTGAGAGATAATAATGAACTTAATGAAGATATTTAAAATTAATGAACTATATTTCTAATAAGTTATTTTTAACTTTATACATTACCATTTCCATGCCAAGTACTAGCTTTATGTTTATTTTTCATTTAATTTTTCATCTCTAATAATTCTTTACGTGTTTATCTAGTTTTCACAGTTGCTAAAATAATTTATAATTATTCTTCTATATTTTGATCTTCTGCAGCATTCAACTCAATTTCTATAAGTTAATTAGTATTCCTTTTTTATTTACTATATGTATCCAACTCTGATTTGGAACCTTCTAAAGTGTCAAATTTTTATTATTATTCGAATGATTTATCCTTACTTAAAGTATTATGATAATCTCTATATTATTCAAATGTAAGTAATAATTTCTCATTTTAAGTTCTAATTGAATCTAAAGATGGAATAAATTCAGGAAGAATATTTTAATTTTTAGTTTAAACTTAAATTTCTCTTTCTGAATCATCTTCATAAATTAAATTATACTCTCCTTCAGTAAATTCTATAGTATGAGTTTAATGAAATTTAAAAGTCTTTTTAAATGTTTATATTTTACGAACAGATTCTGCAGATGCCATATATTGAGATTTATTAACTTATTTTAAGATCATAATTTATCTTATCATAATGTCTAAAGCAATTATTTTAAAATCCAATTCTTTTAATTAATAAAACGAATTAACCTTTAAACATTAAATAGTAACTGAAGTATACATTTTTTTTTAATGTGTTGCATTAACTAAAAATATATAACATTCATCTGGAGATCCTATAAAGTATCTCATATATCCCAAAATATCAGATCTATAATGTCTTTTAGGTATTAATAAGAATCCATCAAACTCCTATTCTACCTTATCTTCTAATAAACAAGGTGAAAGGTAACAGTAATTCAAAGAATTAATATCAACATCATCCAATTTTAATAGAATTCCAGCTGATCTAGAATATGAATCAAGCTTTCCTTTATCATTTGCTAATAATAAAATACTATCCTTATCTCTTAATTGTATAAAACCTATAAACCTTAGAAATTCTAATTATCTATAATCAAATCTTAATAATGCATCCACTTCTAATATATATTTTTCTGATTTTACCAATAAAGTATATTAATCCTTATTAACTAATTTCGTTTAACCAGTATTAATCATTTAAGAAATAGCAATTCTATGATATTGTTACAAAATGACAGGAACAATTTATTCTATAGCACTTCCCTTTATTTATGAACTTACATTAATCATGGAAATGAAATTATTAGAATAATCCTTTATTACAAGGTCTCCTTCATAATCACAGATTACAAAGGCAGTTTAATTTTAGTTTATGAAAGGAATAGTTGTTTTTTTACGAATATTCTTGAAACCATAGTCTACCTTAATTTAAGAGTAAAAATCATCCTATAATTCTCTAACTTCAAGTGATACTCCATTAAGTTAAATAAGTTATTTTATTAATAATTCAAGTTCATCACATTAATTGAAATATTTTTAAGTAGAATTATGTAATAGATATGGTACTGGATTTTAATAATTTCTTTTCAAAAGTTCTAAAATAAATATTTTACCTTCAATTACTTTACAAATTTTTGTTTGAATATTTTCTAATAATTTAAAATATTACAAAGATAAAGAAAGATCAAAATTCAAATTAATAATTCCACCTATGTATTATTGTAATTTTTAAGTAACCAAAGTACATGTTGCCCATCTCTCTAAAAATTGAGGATGATATTTATGATAATATATCTTTAAATATTAAAATCTTAATTTTGCTTAAAATAATCTTTGTTAAAAGTTTTAACTTTCATACAGACTTAATTTTAATATTAAAGTTTCCCCCATAGCAGTATATCTTACATGTTTGATATAATTATCAAGGAATAACAACATCAATTCCTTAAAACTCATTTAAATATCTTATTCTGCTACTGCATAATTTATTTATTGTTAAATCTCTTTAATATCTAGTTATAATTATGTTGTTATTTTAACACTTTCATGAAAATTTCTATTTTAACAAAAACACTTCAGATTTTAACACATATTCATATGATTACAAAATATACTCAACATTAAAACCCTATTAAATGGTTTCTTGTAATCTATGATTTCAAAATAATACTCTATATAACATTCTATCAGATTGTCAATCTCTCTAAATTTATCAAGACATATATATTAGAAAAACATATTTGTTCTGTATATTAAATTCATAAATCTATTGTCCCAAAGGATGAAATGAATTTATATCATAAATGGAAGTGAAAATAAAGATAAATATAAGATTTCATCGCCTTAATAATAAAATAGAAATAACTCTAATGGAAATCTCATAAAAGAACAAAGCACAACCAATTTCTATGTTTTCATATTTAAATATTGCATATGAGGTTTCACATAGTACAATATACCAAAATAAAGGTCGAAAATCAACTATATTCCTAAATATAGATATGATAGGTATAAACTATTTATTTGAAAACCTGCAAATAATGCTAATACTGAATAACAAAATGGAAGCAAACTCCTTTCAAAATAAGATTTAATTAATTTTTGGGTTGTATTTTATGAAAATGTATACAAGCTGGTTAATTGAGAATTTCCAATTGCTAATATAATATTTATTATTCCCAATATTAAGTTAGTATTATCAGTTAGTAAACAATGACCACTATTTTAAATAATTACCAATTGCCATATATTTGGATAAGCATCCCAAAGTATATCAAGAATCTTCTTTGAATATTTCTAGTTTCCTCCAAACAATACAGTTAAAAGAAAGGTTAATGAAAAAATTATTGTTATGCTTTAAATGATAACTTACTCAATATTGAATAGTATTGAAATAGTTGGTAAACTGAAATAATAAAATATTTTAAAATGCAGGTCTTCTCTTTATTCTCCTAAAATTTATATAGCAATAAATATCCATATAAGAGTATAAAAAAATTATCCTAAAATAATAAGGTTTTAATAGAGAGTATTACGAATTTTCTAATTTTGTTTTATTATTTGATCTTAGAATTTATTCATTTATTAAATATTTTATCTAGTATTTGTTTATGTGAAGATCATATTTTTTTGATTAAATATCAATTAAAAAGGTCAAGTGTTTATTAAATTTGAAAATAAAATTGGAGTTGATAAATTTTGTTCAAATTTTGAATAAACTCTAATTACAAATGTATATAATATAATATTAAAAAATAATATTTCATATAGTTATAATATTAAGGGTTTGCATTTAATTTCATAAGTTACAAAATAGATAGATTCAATTTGGATGTAACAACATTATAATTTAATAAATTAAGTGAAATTTATATAGATTCCTTAGCAATACATTTGAAAATTAGTATAAGACTGAGAAATTGATAAATTAATATCAGCTTAAATTAAATTAAAAAATTATGCTATTATACAAATATATATAAAATAGTCAAGCATTTTCAAATAATTTTCACAAAATATTGCATTAATGATTATTGTTAATCAGTTAATAATCTTAAACATTTTCTTTTACATTCATTTTATTCATTACATTGTTTATCACAAATTTAAAATTCTTTTGTTAAATTATTTTATTCAGTCTTATATTTTAAGTATTCATTAGTGCAAGAATTGTAATATTCTAAATCTGTATTTGATTTCATTTGCAATTCACAAATAGAGATAGCTCTTAAAAAGAGATCAGATTAATTAAATTCCATTAATTAATTTATAATGTTTGTAATTAAAATTATTGTATGAGTTTTCAAGCAATATAATTTAAATTATAATCATAAAGTTCATTACCTTAAATTTCATTAAAATAAAGTATTATAAATCTAATATAATATATATTATATATATATATACATATGACTTAATGGCTAATCTTTAAATTCATTATTGAAGTAAGTTTAGATATAATTAAAATTAGATTTTCTTTGATATATTAATTTATTAATAAATATTTATGTTTTTAATAGATAAATTCAATCTAACAATTTATTTATATTAAATATAATTATATAAATGATATAAATTTTTAAGGATATTGAAAAAATGAATATAATTCGAGAGTAAAATTTCTTACAATATATACTGAAGATCCATATTATATATTCATTTCAATCAGTTTAAGTGCCTTATTATCCTTCTTCTTCTTATTCATTTTTCTATGGTTCTTCCTACTGTTCCTTTTGTTCTTCTTATGTTTTTTCCTATATATATTATAAATATAATCATACATGATTTCCTTATTCACAAATTATTGATTAGCCACCTAAATATGTTTTATCAAATTCTTCAGGAGCTAATCTAGTTGCTGCCATTAATTTCTATTTAACATCTTATTCTCTTTGTTATGTAGCTTGTAAATTTTTTAATAAATTAATTTCTTATGCTTCTAATTATTTAATTTAGTATTCATATCTTTCATTTTCAATAAGAATCTTTTATTTTTCAAGTTCTTATAAAGATCTAACTTTTTATTATTTCTCAAATAATTTCTCTAGAATCTTAACTTAAGAAAACTTCTCATCTTCTTTAATCAAAGCAGCTCTTAATTTTAGATTTTAAGCTTTTTTATTTTAATCCTCACTAGTTCTCATTAATTCATATTTAATTGATTTTTTCATCAATTAAGCATCATTATGTTTCATCTCCTTTACATCTTGTTTCATTTTAATAAGATTCATTCTATCATATTATGTTTATTAATATCTTAATGGATCTACAGTAGATTATTATTACATTTTCTACTCTTTCTAAACAATTTTATAAGAAATAAACAATTACCTTAATCTTCTAAGCAAGACGAGAAGCATAAACATCTAAAGCCAATTACTCTGCCATTTAAACTTTTTTGGACAGTTTCTAATTCTCTTTAGTAATTTATTTGATTCTGTTTTCAACATTTTACTATTCCAATTCAAGATGCTTTTAACGTCTCTTGGCTTCATTTAAACTTAAATCTTCTTGAGATTTCATTTATATTGATGAACTTGGATTTAATTTAGGTAGCATTATCTAATAATTTATATAATATATATATATATAATTCAGGTAAAGTTTTCTCTTAATGCTTATGATTATGCAATAACTTTTCTTATTCTCTCCTCAATTGATTCAGCTTAAAATTAAGGTTTTTATTGATTGTATTATTAAATTAAAGTTTTTGAGTTGTCAATTTCTTGTTTTAATCTAGTAATGTTTTGTTCATTAGAAACACCATGAATTTAATTTTCAATATTACCAAGAACATTCTACCTTTATTAATATTAAGGTTATGGTTATTAATAATATTATTGTTATTAATATTATGGATTATATTAAGGTTACTAAACAAACTATTATTATTATTATTATTATTATTATTATTATTATTATTATTATTATTATTATTATTATTATTATTATTATTAAGCCATCAATTATTATTATTAAGATATCATTTATTATTATTGAGCCATTATTTATTATTACTGTGGCATTGCTTATGGTTATTATTATTATTATTATTATTATTATTATTATTAAGGAATCATTTATTATGGTTTCTATTATTAAGGTTATTGCACTAAAAATTATAATAATATAATAAAATACCCATTCTTGAAGCTGATTGTGATTTCTCTTAGTATTCAACTCTACCATCAGGATAAACTAATTTCTTAATAATTTTGGTAGGAACTCTTTCTCTAGAAATACCACCTTACATAGTTTGATTCATATCAGGTTAAGTCATCATAAAATCTTAGGATGGTCTTGATTGATGATAATTTTATCTTGGTTGTTATGTCTAAGTATATTGCTATGATTATTATTGATATTATGTTTATTGAGTATTATATTATTATTATTATTATTAAATTGTCTATTATTATTATTAAAAGTATTAAGTATTGACTTAAGTTTGTTGTAATTATGGTAGTTATTATTATTAAAAGTTTGATTATTCAACTTATTAATGTAAATATTATATAGGTTATTGTTAATATTATAATTGAGATTATTAAGCCTATTGATATGTTAGTTACTACTACTATTACTAGGGTTATTAATATAATAACTATTATTATTACTATTATTATTATTGTTAACATAATTATTATTAATATAATTATTATTACTGAAGTAATTGTTAATATTACTATTGTTAAACAACCTATTAATCTTATTCATTTGTAGTTCTTTATTATTCAAGTAGATAATTAAATAGATTTACTGGATCTAATCTCTCATTTGGATTGAAATTAAGCATAAGAGCTATATTCTCAGCATATTGTAAATTGTAAATTTAAGCTACTTCGTTAATTCTATCTTAGATCAATCTAAATTATAAGCCATTCTAATAGAGATTGTCATTTTGTTTAAGAGTACTTGCTTCTAACATAACCATACCCAAACACCAAACATCACCTTTACTCAATTACAACTCAGATAATGGTTGTGTTGGGTTTTGTAATATTTCAGGTGCAAGATATTTCAATTTTCCTGATAATAATTATTGAATAGAAGCTCCTCTTCCATTAATTAAATTTGAATCCAAAACTTTGAAACTTGAACTGTTTGAATCGAAAAAGATTTCTGTTGTGCATATATCTAATTGATAAATCATTTATATTTACCTCCATGTGACAATCCCTTTTCTTATAAGAAACTCAATGCACTGCTTATACCTAAAAGCAATGCCTATAAGTCTTCTTCAGGAAAGTACTTTTTTGTTCCATATCGTTCCTAAAGTAGAGATGTTAAAGTGATTTGACAGTATTCAAAAAAATATCTATACTAATCACCTTCAGGTTGTCCTCCCAATGTTTACAAGAGATGAGGATGTTGCAATCCAATTCTCCATTCATTCTACTATACTTTATTGATTTAAGTTGGTTCGGGTGCCTTCTTTTAAACTGGTCTTAAGAAATCAATCTTATCATTTGGAGCTGATGGTTCGTTGCCCATTTATTTTTTAACGATTTTTTTAATTATATTTAGAATTCAAAGGATATTAACATAAATATGATATTTTTATTATGTATTATTGACAAAGTAATAACATTTCATATTAATAAACATGCAAATTTTGTTGATAAAGTAAGAACTGCATTAATTATTATTAAAAATTCAGAAATCTCAATATTTCATATATATTTAATGTATTCTATAAACTATATCAGTATTTTCCAATAAATTATTATTTCAATATAAAGAAATCATTTTCTGATGAAGATTGACAACTCCTAGTTGATTAAGGTTAATTAACAAATTTAAAATATTGTTTTAAAATTTCATGTAATTAGATTGCATGTATCATTGAAGTTGGAATACCTTAAAGAGGAATATTAAATGAAAAATATCTATTTGCTTATAAGTGATATTTTGATTTTTTATAAAATATAGATAACTAAGTGATATTTAATGCTCATTAAAATTTACTTAAAGGATAGTTTTGTGGATATTTAGTTAGGGCTGTAACGAAAACCCATCTTCCAGATTTATAAGGATATCCATTAATTCTACATTGTTTGGAATAGAATTTATATTCTAAAAATTCTATTTGACTATATATATTGGTAAGAATTTAGAATAAATATTGAAAAATGAAAATGATTGTATATAAAAAAGATTGCTGAATATCATAAAGGAGAATGGAATGTATTTGAATATGTAATTATGAATCAACTTGACTCTAGTAATTATTAAATTAACAATATTAAATGTGAATACTCAGAAAGAGTTAATTAGAATCTATCTTTTATACCATCTTATTAAATAGTAAATAAATATATTAGAGTAATTGATAGCGAGATACTTGTATTCATTGAATCATTTTTATGAATTGGATTCAATCATAATGTAATTGTCAAATTAGTAAAATGGAAGCTTTAGGCTATTTAATAAATTTGTTGATCTTAAGTATTTTATTCAAAGTTCAATATATAAAATAATAATTAAAGTTGAAATTTGATTCCATTTAAAATTAGGAAACCATAATTTACTTTTTAGATATGAATACTTTGAGAGATGAGATTAACTAAATTTGTAAATAGAAGAGAGGGTAGTAATCATTAAGATAATTGGATAAGAATCAATAAAGTGTTTTAAACATGTAGGGTTAAATTGGTCATATCAGAATTGAATATTAATAAATGATAATTATTTTTAATTACCTAATCTCAATTGTGCTATGTGAATTTCAAAATGGGTATTATGTAGATAAGAATGAGACAATAAAAATATTTCATGGACTCAATCTAAATGATTATCCATTACCAAAAATAAGTGAAGATGATTTTATTGCACTTTCAAAAATTGGATTCAATCTTATTAGAGTTTCTGTTTTTTTTGATCAATTAATCCCTTATTAGCCAACATCATTAAAGAATATTACTTATAATTCTTCATACTTAAGTGATTTAGATAATATTGTATAATTAGCAAAGAAGAATAATTTTTATGTTATTTTGGTTGCAGATCAAGTTTTATTAAATAAATAATTTTGTGGATATGGATTTCCAGATTGGGCAATTCAAAGATCAAACTTTCCAGTTCCTTATGATAATTATGGGAAAATAAAATTTGATCTGTATCCGAATAAAGATTAATGTTCAACAAATTTTGAATCTTTTATTAAAACTGATGATGTTGGAAATAGTTTTGAAAATCTGTACAAGAATGTAAACAATTTAACTGAATATTTTGGATTATTTTGGTAAAAGTTAGCTGATAAATTGAAGAATTAAGAGAATGTAATAGGATATGATATTCTAAATAATCCATAATGTGGTAATTATTATAGGACATATTATTAATGTATATGGCCAGGATGGAATAATAGATAATTGATAATGCCATTCTATTAGAAAGTAAATTAATATATAAGGGAAGTGGAGAAAACTAAAATTGTATTTTATTAGACTCAAGACACAGATTTTATAGGATCAGGATTTGATGATAATATAAATGGAAATGAATATAGAAAGAGAGAATCTTACAGTTATAGAATTACTTATAAATCAGAATACTTTAAAGAACTTGCAACAAATTTGAATTATTATTCAATGTGGTTAGAATATCATGTTGGTAAACATGCTTAAGTTCTATCATTTTTATCTGAATTTAGTGGCACTGATGAATATTTATTAAATAGATTACTTAATTATGCAGATTATTTCCAATCTTCTTGGTAAGAAATTATTTTATTTAAGGACATATAAGGGAAGTATATAATAAGCATTGAAATTGGAAGCATTAAATAGACCATATGCTTAATCAATATGTGCCGAATAAGTTTTCCATCATTAATATGATTCAATTAATCAAGTATTCAAATTGCAATTCAAATTAAAAAATGAATGTTCTACATATTTGTTTATACCATTTGATTATGGATATTAATGTTAAAATTGCATATTGAGAATGTTCAGCGAAAGAGTCTTTGAAATCAAATTGACAAAAAATACATAATCATAATAGTAAATTAATCTAATAGTATGGAAGAAAAAAGTTTGATTTTTATTAATATATATATATATATATGAGATTTGATCATTATATTATGATATTAGTTTTAATAAAATTAATATATATTATTATTATTATTAATATATATATATATAAATCATAAATAATATAAAACATGCAAGGTGTTTCTATATTTGATGATGATAAATCAGCTTTGGATAAGATGTAAAACTCTTTTAAGAATCTACTTTTTGAAATCATCTACTATTTAATTTCTGGAGAGAACTTCCCGCTATTTCTTTACATATTTTTTGTTTTGATTGAAAGTTTCCAAGTTTTTTACTTTGCTTTTAGTGATGAAGTATACATATATTGGTGATTATGATAGTTTTTATCATTATGGAAAGTGAAATCATGGTCAGAATCATTTCAATCATTTTTTGGGTACTTTATGATTTCCCCATATCTGAAGAATGTGGAATTTCAAAGCTTTATTTTAGTACTCTATATCATTATGGGCTTTTTCTTGTTACTAATAATTCTAATTATTTTCATTGCAATTAAAGCATAAACTACATCAGTAGGTAAATTGAGTGGACCATTAGTTGTTCTCAAAATATTTTTTGAAGTACTCAATTACATTTTCTTTATGCCAGCATTGCATCTTTTTTTAACTATTTTCTATTGTGATTCAGGAACTGGCTATCATAGATATTATACTGATTAAGAATGTTATACTGGTAATTACTTACTCCATGCATTTTTATCAGCTATTGCATCATTTATTTTGATATGTATTAGTGGATTAGTTACAATGACATTTTATGAATCAAGATTCTAACCAAATAATCCACTTTGTAAGATATCAGGTAGAGATGATATGAAGTTTTTAATATTTAAAATTGTTTTAGTATTATGTTTTACTTTACTAAATGTAAGTGAATTAAGAATCTTAGTTGTAATCATAATTACTTTATTTGCAGTCATATAATTTTTTTCATTTAATAAATCAAGTGTCTATTTAAATTACTATTATTCAAAAGTATTAAACTCACAACATGCTATAATTATGTGGACTATATGTATGATAATATTTGGTATCATTGTTGAAGATACTTATTATGAAGGTGCACCTTATTTATGGGTATTTGGAAGTCCTTTATTATTATTGATAGTTATGCTTAGGAAAGAGTATAGATATGATATAATGATGATTGATTCAAATAAATTTGATTCACTTAATTAAGCAATTCAATAATTATAATATTTAACTAAATTTTTGAATTATTATCATACAGATAGGAATATAGCAACATTATTAGATGGTTTTGTAGAATATCATAGAACAATATGTAAAAGAGAAGATTGTCCTTGTTAAGCAAAAAATATGGGTAATAAGAAAATAGCTAAATTTCAGAAAAACTTTAAATTGTAAAATTAAGATGATGAAATTAAAGAGTAATATGTTGTTTTAGTATATATTATCGAAAGAATTTTTACTTTATCTTTAACTAGATTTCCTAATTGTACAGAATTAAGAATTTCTCATTCTTTATTTTTAATGGAAAAAATGTAATCAAATCAATAAGCATTATAAGAATTAGTAGCAGCAGAATAAGAGAAACCATATGTTGATGAATAATTTATTATTTATAGATTAAAGAAATTAATAGAAGAGTAAATGTTTGAAAATTCAAAATCATCAAGAAATCCAGCTGCTGGTATTGATGCTGTTAATGAATTGACAACTGAAAATAATCTTAGAGAAATTAGAGCGTAAATTGAAAAATCAGCATCATAACATATAGAATTTTGGTCACAATTAAGTGAAGATACACCAGATTTAGGAAAATTATATGATGTTGGAACTAGAATGATGTATATAGATAAAATGTTGGAAGATTCATGGAAACGAATAATTAAAATGAATTTAGATGTTCCTCCAAATTTAATGATGATTTATTCAAGATATTTAGTTGATATACTTTATGATAAAGAATCAGCTGAAGAAGTATTGGAAAGATTGAAGAATTTTTATTCTGTTAATATGGATAGAGGTAAAATCACAAACAATATTAATGATTTTCCTAATGAATCTACTGCATTAATTAGTATTTCAGCTGAAGATGTGACTTTTGGAAGAATTATTGGATTGAATATGTCAGCATCTAAAATGTTTGGTTATTCAAAGAGTGAATTAATTAATAGAAAAGTTAATATATTGATGCCAAATGTATTTGCTTAATCACATGATTAATTTATGGAAACATATTTATAGACATATGAAAGTAGAATAATGAATAGAGAAAGAATGATTATTGGAAAATCAAAGAATGGATATATATTTCCATTTTTTATTTATGTAAGATATGTTCCATCATTTATACATGGTGCATAGTTCTTTGGAGCTATGAGACAAGAAAAAGTATTTAAAAATGTAGCCTTTATGATTGTTAATGGATAGACTCAAGAGATTGAAAATATATCAGCTACCTTTATTACAATGTTTCATATAGATTTAAATTATATAACAAAAAAGAAAACTAAGGTTACAGATATTATACCTAATTTTTAAGAAAATATTACTGAATATTTAAATAAAACAGGAGCAGAAGCAGATATCAATTTTAAGAATAGAGATTAATCTGTTTAAGGAAAATTTAATATAACTGCTGGAGAAATCATGTTTAGAGATTCTAAATTATAAGGATATATAATTAAGATTGAAAATAACAAATAAGAAAAATCATTTCTTAATCCTAATGAATAATCTTAATAAAAGAAATAATAATCATTAACAAAATTCTATTTCTAATTTGATTAAGCATAACATATGTATGTAGGAGAATATTCAGGGGATTAGAATTTTTAGATGTCTGCTATTTCAAGTGTTAAATAAGATGAAACCTTTGATTTTTCACAAAGAGAACCATTAAAGGAAGAAGAAAAGACTCCTTCTTCTAATGTAGGAGAAAAAGATGATAAAGTTGATTTTGCTGTTGGAATTAGAACAATGAAATATATTAATGGATAACTTTTTGATATTGATGAATTTAAGAATCAAGATTCAGATGAAGAAGAGGATAATGATTAAAAAAAAGGAGCAGGAATTGCAGGAATGTAATAAATATAAAAAGAAGATGATGAAGAAGAAGCAGAAGGAGGACATGCTAATATTTATAAATCTAGAAGAACTTTTGTTTAATTTTTATAAGAAAGTAGAAATGTCAATTAAAGTAGTATGATTTGTTTTAAATGGAGTGCTGCTGTTTTAATTATTTGTTTAGGTGTATTGGGATTACTTGATTATGTATTGACATAATAATTATTTTCTGATATTTAAGAAGGATATATAATGATGTAAGATTCTAATATAAGAGTTGCTTTAGGGTAAAGAATATAATGGTAAATTATGGAATTGTGTAGATTGAATAAAATTAATATATTAGCAACTGATGATAAAGTAAAGACATAATTGACAAATATGAATACAACTATAAGTGATTTGAAAGATATCTAATCAAAAATTCAATCTTCAACTGAAGTATCAGGTAGACAAGATGAATTAATGACTACTAATACTATTAAAATGATTAGTAAAGATAGTAGTGGATCTGAAAGCAATTAATTAGTTGATATCAATTAAGGAACTTCATAGATCATCTCAAAGGCATTTGAAGTTATGAATTTTGATATAAAAGACTTTACTCCTGAAACTGATTCCATCTTTTTCATTAGATATAATTTGCTAAATGATTATTATTAAGCAACATTAGAAAGTGCAGATCTTTATACAAATCAACTTATAAGTCTAGCTTACGATTCTAATGTATTACTTGTACTTCTAATTGTTGCTTGTGTATTTACAGTCATATCAATACCCTGGATTGCTTGTGCCTTTAGTTTAGTATCCTAAAATCAAGAAGAAGTTATTAAACTTTTCTTAGAGATTCCTTTAGCTAAAGTTAAACAATTATTTGCTAAATGTGAAGCCTTTTCTAATACACTATAAATAGGTGAAGATGAAGATGCTAATTAAGAGAATGATGTATCATTTGAGGAAAATGAAGAAGGAGAAGGAGTTGTTGAAGAATTTGGAAGAAGAAAGAAAAGAAAGAAGTATAAATATGATTCCAAAGATAAACGTAACTTTTACATTAAATTCATTATCTCTATGGGATTGTTGATTGCTTACTTTATTGCTCACTATCTTATTGGTGCTAATTTATAGAGTTCAATGTAATAATTAATTCAAGAAATGAATGCTACTTCACTTGCAGTACCTTCAATTACTTTTGCAAATAATGTATTTAGATAAATGTTATGGGATCCCAACTTCCCTGTTAAAAATAATAATTCAAAGATTGTTTCTGCAGACTTTGTAAAAGATTTATACAATCTTAATACAAATATGCAAAAAGATCATTCATTAAATTTAGGTTATCACAATTCCCTTTATAATGATTACTTTGATTCAATCATGAAAGCAGGAGCATGTGCTTAAGTCATTCAAGTTGCTCCTGTAGATTTGACTAGTTGTTAAGCATTTGTAAAAGGAATTGTAGATGAATCTTTAGCTTTAGCTTTATCTAGACATTTTGAAAATCTTAGATATTTACTCACTGTTTATGATTCTCTCCTTAATGATTCTTCAGCAACAACTATTTCAGGAATACTCTACAATTTCACAGATAATTTATAAACTAACAAAATATTATCATTAATGTATACAGATATTGCTGCCATTGAAATAAGTAATATTATACTTTATTATATAGATTAAATGTAAGATATTTATATCAGATCAATATTTTAATAATTGCTAGTTACTTTTAATCAAAGTTTGTAAAAAGATATAGATACCAATACAACTACTACTGTTACCATTTTCATTGTTTTCTTAGTTGTTTTGGTCCTTGTTTATTTATTATTCTGGTGGCCTATTGCCAATAAAATTAATAATGAAGTAAACTTTTTTAGTCAATCTTTTAGATTAGAAGGACAACCTTGTTATTATCAATGATACCATTAAATCTCATTCAACGCATAAAAGCCATTAGAGAATATTTAAATAGGATTCATAAAGTGGATCAATGATGAATTTATTCTAGATTGATTTTTATAATTATTTTTTAAATGATTTATTAAGATATAATTCTATTCTTTTTATTCTAAATAAATATATTATCCCTTATGAATTAATGGCCTTATTTATCCATCATTATAATGATACACATATTCATTGAATAAAATTATGGTTGCAATTTCTCTTTTCAAGTAAAATTGGTTAATAGATTAAAAAAACAGAAATCACTATAATCAAATATAAATTTAAATAATCGATTTCTTAAGAATCGTATATGTTTTAAATAACTTTATAAATGATTTATTTTTGGTATATAATAAGTAAATTTAATTGGAGAAAGAATAAACAATATATATGATTAAGTGTTTTATTACATAATTGTTCAGACCTAACTTAATCATGCTTCATTTAAATCCCTTACTTCTGAATCTCTCAAAAATAAGGGTCTAGTTCAATTTAACATTTGTCTCAATAGCAATAAACTTAATTTCTTTGAGATCTTCTTCAGTAACAAAAAATTTCAATTTATTTTTTTCTTAACTTTTGTGATGATTGTATTGATGTCTTGGAAACTATAGAGAATCGAATCTAAATTAAGTTTATTTTATAAATACTTTAAGATTGGTTACAATTCAAGGATAAAGGAAAGGTTATCAAATCATCTTAAATTTCCAATGTTTCCTAATACCCTTTTTATTGATTTCCATTATGTAATGGAACATTTAAGTAATCATCTTATTTATTCGATTTTATTTGAATATTTGAATATTTCTTGGTGTAATCAGCACCTTTTCTAATTTTATTCACTATTCTTAATTATTATGGTGTTTATCTAAGTCCTTTATTAATCTTTTTAATAATTCTAAAACATAAATATATATATATCTTACGAAGCTTTCCTTTTCTTTTCTTCAACAGTTTTAACATTAATTCCTAAAATCTCTACAAAAATTTCAGAGAAAAACTGTTATTCTTATTGAATTTCAAATATCTCTTATTCTATGTTCTATTATGTGAGGAAATTAGTGATCTCATTATTCATAGAAATAGTTGAACTGTTTTAAGACATTTTATTAGTGCTTGGGAAATGTAGAATATTTATTAAATAAATTAATATCATCAGGGATTTAATAATCAACCTTAAAATAAAGGATTTTAAATGTGAAAATTAGATTTTCTTACATAAGAACACCATCAAAGCTGATAAAATAATTAAATCGATTGCTTAAAGCTTTTATAAAATAACTATGTAATCTTTTAAAAATAGCAAATCTAAATAGAAATATTTATTTTATAGCAACTAATTAGTAAATAATTTATAAAAAATTATAATTCTTTCTTAGTAAATAATTAAAATTTGATTATGGTTAAGATGCCATAAATTAGATTTAGTTTAAATTATATTTTATTTCCTTTGATTTAATTAGGAACATCTAAAATTTTCATTTGACAAAAATTATGCTAAATTATCTCCAAAAAGTCATCTTATTGATTTTCTGTAGATTAAAATAAAAAAAAAGGAAATTTAAACTATGTTTGAAAATTCATAATAAAGTATTTACTCATTTCATTCCTTTTAATTTGAAGTGTCATAAGTTATAAAAATTATTATATTAATGAATTAAAATCTATTTAGCAAATATAATAAATAATTTAATACATATAGTCTATATATTATATTGGTCATAATGTAATTATATAATTTGTTATAAATTATAATCTCTAACCAAATAGAATTAATAATTATTGAACCAATACAAAAAAAAAGAATGAAGTATACAATATTAATTATTAATGTAAAATATAGAAAAATTTAGTAACAGAATTATTGAAATCTATCAGGTTTGGAAGAATTTAGTTCATATAAATATAAACTAAATTGGTAATTAATTGATTAATTATTTTTATTTCTAGAATAAAAGACAGCATCAATATGCTATTCAGAGGCATAAATAACTACAAAAGCATGAATATTATCTTAGATTAAACTGAGAGTTAAGGAGCTTTGTGGTTAGGAGACTACACTGCAGCAATCAATTAATAACTCTTGAAATAAAAGAATATCAAAACAGTATTAACAGTAGCATCTGGATTGAATGTTAAATACCCTCCTAATTCTGATATTGTTCATAAAGTATAAATTCAATTAATAATCATAGGTTTACAATATTCTAGATATTGAATCATGTAATATTAAGAGAATATGGGGAGATACCTATTAACAAATAGATGAGGGATTACAAAAGGGAAGTGTACTAGTACATTGCGCAGCTGGTGTTTCCAGATCGGCTGCAACAGTTATTGCATATCTTATGAGAAAATAAGCAATGTCATTTTAAGAAGCCTTTTAATTTGTAAGGTTAAAGAGAAGTGTAGTTTGTCCTAACTTTGGATTCCAAAGATAATTAAAATAATTTGAAAGAGAATTATAGAATGGAAATGGGAAGAATGACACTGAAATTACTTAATAATAATAATTAACTTAATAATAACAACAATTAATAAAACCAATTATGTAGTAGCAATAATTATCAAATTTAACAATACAACCTCATTCAATTTCAATTTCTGAAAAAAAAACAATGGTGAGAAGAAATTAGTTAACTCCTGCATCTAAATTCCCAAAACCAGCTTATCTAAGTAATGTTAAATAAGCTTAATCTTTAAAAAAATGATTTTTATATATTTATAATATTTATAATCATTTCATAAATTTTAAACATTTAAGCTAAATTTGTTAATATTTAAAATCATTATTAATAAGTTTACTATCATGAAAATCTAAACACCATAATTGATTTTAGGAGTTGAATATATTAGTTATAAATGAATTAAAACCATTATTGGCTAGAGAAACCTAAGGACAAATAAAATAGAAATAACAGATTCTAGAATATTTAATAATTTTCTCATATACTTTCAAAATGTCTTAATGAATATAAAATAATCAATTTAGTGTATTAGCAAATAGGTAATTAAAGTATATCTGATAATAGATGTTTTGATAATTTAATAAATCAACAATGAATCAGTTTCTAATCTCTTTTGAAATTCTAAAAGATATAAAAATGAATATAAATGTTATTTTTTGAATATAGAAATAGTATTAATTATATGAGGCAAATAAATATATATCATAAAAAGCACCTTTATTTCGATAATAATAATAATAATAATAATAATAGTGATATATAAAGAATAATTTATATCATTTCATATTATGATTTTGAGTGATAATTTTATAAAAAATTTAGAATTCTTAAATTTAAGGTAGAGAGAAAAGTTTTATTTTTATAAATATGATATATTAGATTATATATAGAAATTAGTGATAAATTCAGTTCAATTGATTAAAAGACTTAGTTTTATTCAATCAGATGGAATGTCAAATTATAATTTGGAATGGAGATATGACATCATATTATCATTTAGAGGATAAAAAGAAGAGTTTAAGTCTAGATAATTATGAAATTTGATTTAGAGTATGAAAATTTTAGGTAGTATGGAAATAATTGAGTAAATGTTTTTGAGAGAGTCTATTAAATTTTAGATAACCGTTAACAATAACTACATAATTGGAGTCAGTTAGACAGTTGGAAAATAATGTAACTAGGATAGATGTTATGAATTTTATAAATATAATATCAATAAAATAATTATTTGCTAAAAGAATGTCTTCTAACATATATTTAACATAGACTTAAATTCATGATTTGTTTTAACCATGTGAAACCAAAAAAACTGAGATAAAAACATTAGAAATACCTTCATTTGGAGATGTTAATTCAAGTGAGTAGTCCCCAGAGTTTCAGTAGGAAGTATATGAATTTGATTATTATTTAAGGCATATTATTTCCTTTCTAGTTGCAAAAAGGATGAAAACTACACCACAAATCCAACAAACAACACAAACAGACACTTGAGTTAGGATTCTATAATAGAACTGAAAGATGATACAGTTAGAAGTATGTAACAATGTTTATTTAGTTCAGTATCTAAGGCTGAATATGAAAGTTTGAAGAAAGATGCTTAAAACTACTAGGCTTTGATGAAACTGAATGGTAAATTGAAGGCTCATAAATAGCTAATAAGTTAAACAAATTCTTATAAATGTATAAATGATTGTTATGTAAAATTTAGCATAGATTTATGTTGTACAAGAATGTAACAAGAAATTATAGGGACACATTTATGAATTGATACAGAATATAAAAATGTTAGAAACAGAAAATTAATAGTATTCTGAAGATTTACTAATATTGAGATTATAGATATAGGATCAATTAAAAATAATACAATAAGGGAAGATTGATATGGAGAGATTAAAAATATAGATGATAGAAAAAGAAGAAAGTTTTATAAAATTACAAGATAATTACAATAAGCTTTTTAAGGAAACTGAAAGGACAAAGAATTCTAAGAGTGCTTAACGTAGCACTTATGTTTCTACTCATACTTCTAGTCCTTTATTCAAAGGATTATCAAGAATTTGTCTTAATAATTACTGTAACACTAGTTTTGTTATTGAAAAATAGCGATGATAAGTAATTTGTTTTTTCCATGATTTATGATTTTATTATTATCATTAAACAGGTTGCCACTTAACTTATATAGATAATTTTAATTTTTGAATTCTGTTTGATCTAAAATGAATCATGGTTTCCATTTAACCTGAATCTAATCGTTTTAATACTTTTGAAGTTTTAGTTGAAAGAATTAAGCCTTTACTTAGAGTAAGATCAATAAAACATTCAATTGGATATGTTTGATCATTAATGGCAATAATACAAAATGTATCAGAGTAACGATTATAACATTAAATAACTCTGATGCCTTCTCTTTCAGTTTTAATATTTTCAATCTAATGATATTGATCTGGAAAAGTTGTTGCAAAGACATGAACTCTATTATTCAAATCAGTATTAATAGCATCTCTAACTGTTACTGATATTTCAATAGAAGAATGAGCAGTAAAGATAAAACATCTACTTTTTATAGAATTTAGATTTTTATCATATCCTAATTTTTCTAACCATCTGTAAATAGTTTCAATTCCTAATTATTTTATTTAATCAATAAAAAATTCAACAAATCCTGTGAAAGTAATACCTTTTTCAGTTGAAGTATATTTAGTAAGCATTTATTTAAAATATTCTGGATCAAGTTGTTTCTCTAAACAATCATAAATTCCTTTGAATTCAATATAACTCAATTCTCTAAGTAATAACATATCAAATTTTCTAAAGATATCATTTAATGTTGAATAAAGTAATGGATGAACAGATCCATCATTATTTAATAGATTAATTTAATTAGTATTCTCTCCATATAAATATAATCCACTTGTTCTTGGTACTACAACATAAACACCAGGATTTAAATCATATTCCAATTATACTTATCTATCTTATTTTGTTATAGTTTATGCAATTAATTCTAATCCTTTTTCTGTTTATTTAAATAATGTTAAACCAATATCTAAATATGGTCTTAATAATTTAACACCTCTAATTCTCTCATCTTCTTAATGGATACCAAATATCACTTTAGTTGACTTTGTAATGACAAATGAATAATACCATTTACTAAGTACAACATCAATATTGTTATCATTTATATCAGTTACTTTAATGAATTTTCCTTTTATTCTAACTTCTTCCCAATTTCTCACTTTACAAATATTAACACCTTTAAAATAATTTAAGAAATCTTTCCAACACATCCAAAATTAACCATCATTACTATCATTAACAAAATTAACTAAATTTTATATCTCTTAAGTCCATAAAGGAGATGTATCACTCCAAGCTCCCTTCCATTCAAAATTACCCCAAGGATTACGAATATTTAATAATTTATTTCCTTTTGCTTCTTTCACTTATAATATTGAATAAGCATGACCAGGAATCAAACCTATATTATCTCCTTATTATTCTTTTCTCTATCCTTCACTCTAAGTATCATTTCCTTCTGTAAATGCATTAATTAAATAACCTTCTTGATCAAATTACAATAATTATTGCCACATCTATTATAATTCACTATAACCATAAACTACTGTTGGACAACCAGTTAAATCTACCATAGCTTCTCCAGACAGACCTTCTCTAAGTCCAAAATAACTTCCATGTAATTTAGCATATGCTTTTTCAAGTAATAGTACCCATAATTCATTACCATGTGCAGCTGAAAATATTGGAGCACCCAATGGATAACATGGAAATAAATCATCAATAGTAACATATACCCATTCACCATTCTTACAAATTTTAATTCTATAAATTCCAAGTGAATTTGTTGTCATTGTTACAAAGAGTCTCTTCACTAATGCAGGTCTTTCAGCTAATGATGAGAGTGCTGATAAAAACCAACAATTTCCTAATGCTCCTTATTTAATATCATTAGGTTCTATTTTATCAAAAAATATTTCTGGTCTTTTATTTGCATCTTTGAGTTAAAAGAATGCACTAGGTCTTCTCCATTATATTAATGTATCCAATTCGGTTTCTTCATCTCCAAATATACTTGACTATATAAATATTGTTTAAATACATCCACAGGTAAAAATTCAGGGTCAACAAATGGAGATTTTAAATATCTAAGTATTTCAGGAACCTCTTTTAATTGAAATGGATAATGATATAATTATTTCATCTAATCTTGAATTTCTAAGGTCAATTACATTTGATCTTCTTTCAAATATTAAGATTGAATTGTTTTATCTGCTGTTTTTAAACTAAATTTAAATTTTGTTTTCAATTTCCAGTCTTATTTCATAGTCAATTAAGCTACTTGTTTAGTTTCAAATGGATTAATTATTGTAATTGTTTTCATCTTATTTTAACCATCAACCAAAATATTCTCACTTCCTGTAAAATCAGCTATGAATTCCATACAATTTAATCTATTCAATTACACTTTAAATATGTAAATCATTTCTGGACCTGGTTGTATATGTTTTAATAGTATGATTCCAGGAGAGATTTCTTTTTAAGTTATATTTGCATTCATAATTAAATAAATAAACAATGTAGAAATTATTCATTCTATCATTATTATTGTTACTTTCAGAATTAGTAAATTGTTAAGAGCCACAATCTGCTGAAAATAGAGGTAACTATAATTCTATCTTAGTATTTCAATGGGTATTCATAACCGTATTTATACTAATAGTAATAATCATAATTCGTGCCATTATTACAAGAAGAAGACCTGTAGTATTGTTAGGATTGGTAGAGGAAGTTCCACCTTAAAATGTTGTTGTAATTCATTAAGTTCCAACAAATATAAATTAATATCCTCCTTAATTCACAGCCCCTCCTGCTTAAAACCAATAATATTAAGAATGGGTTAAATAATAATAAGTGAATTAAGGAATGCCATAATAGTATTAATAATAAATACCTCCTTAATATCCTCCATAAATGAATTAAAATTACTATCAATAACAATAACCTATTCAATATCAATAAAATGTTTAAGCTTATCCAGCAAATCCAGTATATCCATAATAGGGAATACCAATAAGTTAACCATATCCAAAATGATCTAATGAAGAAGATTTATTATATTTATATCAGAATTAATTTATAATTTATTATGAGAGCTGGATTACTAAAAAATTATGGACCTACTTAAATATTCCCAGATAATAAACAATAAAGAGCTTCTTCATTTTATGCTATTACTAATCATTATCTAAAAGCATAAGTTAATAAGAATGATCAGAAATCTAAATCAGTGAATACATATGGAGTTGAATGTAGTTTATAATAATATTATATATAGAGAGAGACTTTTATGATTAATTGAGATTAAAAGGGAAGGCAAAGAAAAGGTATTGATATTTAGAATTTTAATGCAGTTAAAATTAAAATTCTCATAACCCTATATTCAAGTTAAAGGGTGACAATATTGTTGCAATTAAATCAAAAGATCGAGAATTATATCCTGTAGATATATAATGGAATAATTGTCAAATAGGTAGAATATAAGGAGAAATTAATGGAAAGATTGATAAGAATTATGCTAAAGTAAATAATATTAAAAAATAGATAAGGAGATATTTGGAAGGATCATCAAGTGTGATTGATTATTCAGAAACTAAAATGTATGACTAATTCAATTCATATGCTAATATAACCAATTAAGAAAGATTTTCAAAAGATTGTGATATCATGTTTAGAACTAGTAATAATGCTTAACCTAGTAAAGTACAAACAACTGGAAGTATAGTGAGGACTAAATTTGAACCAGATTGGATTCATAGAGGGAAAAACTGATAATTTAATACATAATTGTATATACTAGATAAAAATAAATTAAATGGGACCATATTTGAGTTAACCAAATAGAAATAAAACTACCACAACAGGATCAGGAAAATCTGTTATATTTGCTGCTTCTGAAATGCAAGGTATTTTTTATGAATCTAGATTTAAGGCTGGAGAAACACAATGGAAGATGCTCATATTCACAGACCTGATATTGACTAAGATGTTTCTGTTTTTGGTGTATTTGATGGTCATGGAGGAAGAGAAGTAGCATATTTTGTAGAAAAACATTTTATTGATGAATTACTAAAAAATTAAAATTTTAAGGATTAGAAATTTGAGGATGCTCTTAAAGAAACATTTTTGATTATGGATGAATTGTTGATGACACCAGAAGGATATAAAGAATTAAATAATTACAAGACTAATGATTCTGATGGTGACTATTAAAGTAAATAATAGATTCTTATGCTGGATGTACTGCCAATGTAGCTTTGATTTATAAGAATACTTTATATGTTGCTAATGCAGGAGATTCAAGATCAATATTATGTAGAAATAATACAAATTATGATATGAGTGTTGATCATAAACCAGATGATTATTTAGAGAAACAAAGAATTGAAAGAGCTATAGGTTATGTAAGTGGAGCTAGAATTAATGGTAATATAAATAAATTAATAAAATTATCTTTAGCCAATTTAAATTTATCAAGGGCTATAGGGGATTTGGAATATAAACGTAATAGTAATTTAAGACCTCATGAATAAATGATTACAGCATTTCCAGATATTAAAATAATAGATTTGGGCTAATAGGATAAGTTATATTTATAATGTTATTGAAGATTCATTTTAATGGGATGTGATGGAGTGTTTGAAACCCTCTCTCATTAAGAGTTGCTTAATCATGTAAATGCAACTTTGGGAAATGCACCTGTTACTGAAAAGTTATTATAAAAAGCAACAGAAGATTTATTAGATTAATTATTAGCTCCAGACACAAGTTTAGGATCAGGTTGTGACAATATGACAATTATTTTAGTTTATTTAAAAAAATGAATAGGAATATAAAATAAAATTAATGTAATAACATCAAGTATTAATTGCAGCATCAATAAATAGATTCCATTCTATTGCATTATATCTTTAAATTTCTATTGATAATAACTTTATCTTTTGCATTATTCTATCTATTTATGCATTTACTTATTCACAAACATCATTTTATCCAATGCCTAATAATCTCTTTTCAATTAAATTATAGTATTCATATTATTTTGTATGTTAATCTCGAAAATTCAGAAAGTCTTATTGCAATTATTCAAATTATTAATATAATTTTGATTTCTCATCATCAAGCATAGGCAGAAAATATTTGCAAATATTCTTATCTTCATTTTCCAAATGTTTCAATACAATTAGACATGGAATAGTTACAAAGACATCACTATCTCTACATTCTAATTATTCTGCAAATTAAATATGCTTTTCTGCTGTAGTCTCTATTATATGAGAGAACAACATTAATTATATATATTTTCTAGGTTCTAATAAATAATGTAAACCCTTTTCCCATTATGTCTCATATTCTACTAATAATTCTACTAATTCAATATTATTCTTCAACTAAGGATCCACCATCTCAATATTTTCTTCATATTTTCGCATCTACTCTCGAAACTTTTTAAAACTATTATTTCATAATTTTATACTTCATTTTTATACTATCAGCTAATCTTCTTACAGCCTTTGATTATTCTTATGTCACTCTTCTTGTTATTCCTTCTGCCTCTAATAGAATATTCACTCCTAAATCATCTCTTCCTTTACCCTCAACATTTGCTACTGAATTTATCTAAGCTAACACTTTACAAAACTAAAAATAATCATATTCTTATACTGTTGTTTTTAATTGTAAATAACTTTCACTTGTAACCAAAATCTTTCCTCTTAATTTCTCTCTTATTTCTATTGATTGCATTTCTTTATCTATCTAAATTGCTTATAATATAAATCTCCTTGCTTTCCCTTCTATCTCCATCAATTCCTTCACATATAACTATTATTCTATCTTATTATAAGTACCTTCTCAAATTATACCCATATATCATCAAAATTTTCTAATAAAAATTAAATCTCAAGTATTAAACTAGACTTTGAGAAATCTGGACTTTCTTAAAGAGTGTTTGTATATAGGTGTCTAATAACATGCTACACTTTATAAAAAGCATCAACTAACTTTATTCCTGCTTCTAAAACTTCAAGAGTGAACGAATATTTCTCAGAATTTACCCATAAATATGGAAACCCTATTCTAATTATTTAAAAAACCTTCTTGAGCACTATCGAGAATTTCAGTCAAGTAACACAATTTATCCTATGTATATAGAATTTTATAAGCTTTTGAAAAATGATTCCTATATTCACGAGATTCAACCTTAACCTAATAGACCTGTGTTATTACATTTTATTACTTCACACATTTTTTCGAGATTTTGTAAAAACTTTTTGCATTATTTCTATCCTTCAGGATTGTCTAGATCATATTTATGAAAATCTCTCTAAACAAGTTAACTCGATAATCTATATGCCTTTTCTAAGAGCTCATATTCTGTTGACCTAGACAAACTTAATACAATAGGCAATACCTTTTAAATTCTTCAAGCTCTGTCAAAGGTCTAGCAGGAGCTGTCATGCATCGCTTTAATGGAGATTCATCTTATGAAGTATCTGATACTGGAGGTTATTTGATTATTCATACTTTCATCTTCAATGTCTTACTCGTAGTATTGCATTTAATAATTATTATTTACATCTATATTTAGTGGTAATACTCCTTCACACCTAAACTAAATAAATAAATTTAAAAACAAATCTAATACACAACATTCATAACATTATTATTGAAATTTATGTAGATTCTAAGATTGTCTGGTCAAAAATACAATCTTCAAATTTTTACTAAAGTGATGGATTTCAAATGAACAACAAATTTTCTCATTTGAACATTCACATGTATATTAACTTAAACATATATATGTAAGTTGCAAATTAGAAGTAATATTTATTAATACTATTTTGAAATTTCTTAACAGTAACTTAAGAGTCTAAAAGTATTGTTATAATACATAATAATTATCAATTTTATAAATTCAAACCAAACACATATACATTAGATGAAGAATAATGAATAAAATAATAAATTGAAAATTAAAAAACAAAAATAATTTTTTATTAATTTTAATTCTCATATTTTTTGAAATACTTGTAAAATAACAGACATAAAAGATGAAAACATCTTATAAAAAATTAATATTAATGAGTATAAATTTTATAGATAATTATTAAAATGTTATAATATAATTAATATTAAAAATACATTATATAAAATAAAAAAGTTTATTAATAATATTCATTATCCAACCAAATCATTTGTTTAAAATCACTATAAACTACAACTAAATTCTTAACTTTGATTTTTAAGATAAGATTACATTTAAATATCTTCATTTAAATTCATTATTTATTTGATTCTTCAAGATATGAAATATTTATTTATTATTTCTAATTTATTATAGACTAATTACAATAATTATTAGTTTTAAGGTAGTTGATATTTTATTTTGAATAAAAGAAGAAAATAGTTAATTATCAATATTAATTGATTATTGGCATTATAAATTTATTTGAATTAATAGGTTTTGATACTGATTAATGATAGTGAATATAATTTCAAATTATATTATTTCCATAAATAATATCCTAAAACTGAATTATCATAAATCTTTTTTTTATCTAGATTAATAATAATCACTGTGCTCATCCAATTTTATCATTTAATCTAAAATTAAAAAAAATAACTATTCTTATTATGATATAGATTATAATCCTAAAATTAAAGAAATAAATTGTGGCAAAAGTATTCAGTATCATGTTAAATTATTTTTGAAGAGACAAAATAATTTATACAAAAATCTATCTTAAATTCGAACAGTAATCTTTTTAGAGTATATAAAACTTTATAATATAATATAAAAAATAAACAATATTCTTATATAATAATTTATAATACTATTATAATATTAGATAAAAAATTAGCTTTTAACCTATAAATATTTTTATTATGTTGTTTATTTTTGACAAAATTCTAATGATCCTAATAAATTATAAAGTAGTTAAATTTACATTAATATCATTATAATTTATTTAATTGATTTAATAATTTATTTTAGTTAATTTTTGGATGAGAATACATAGTTTAATTTATTATAATGAATAATTCTCTATTAATCACCATTCTAAGAAGGGATCGTCTGCTGGTTTAAGAGCAGGACTTTGGGTATCTGATTCAGGATAGGATGAAAAATTAGATGTATCATTTGGAGCTCTAATAAAAAAGGTAAGAATAAATTATTTACTTCACAACTGGTTTATAGGGAACAGGTAATTTCTTTTGAGTAAGGAGATTCCAATCTAGACTTGCAAACCATCTATGATTTTTGACATCAGCAGCGCCTTAGATTAGATATGAGTGTATTACCATTTTTTAAATTTCCATATCTTTTAGAAAGATCGGCCACAAGTAAATGTTTGACTAAAGATTTGCCATTCCTTTTTGTATAATACATTGTAATTACTTATCAAAGCTTTTTGGGAATTTGACTTTGCCCTTCAATATCTTTTGATAAATTGCCATTGGATCTTCATCAGAGAATGGATCAATTCCTGCATTCATTTCATAAATTAAAATTCCCAAAGTCCACCAATCAACAGCTTTACCATGTCCTTTATTCAATAAGATTTCAGGAGCTAAGTATTCTGGAGTTCCACATAATGTGTAAGTTCTTCCTTCTACAACTTTTGCAAAACCGAAATCTGTTAATTTGAGATATCCATCATCTGCAATCAATAAGTTTTCTGGTTTAAGATCTCTATAGATAATATTCTTAGAATGCAGATACTCAAAAATGGAGGCAACTTAAGCACCATAAAAGCTAAGATTAGCTTATAATATTACGCTGCATGTTAAGTATCGAGTCTTCCAATGCTTCTTAAATAAGTGAATAATTCTCCTCCAGAAACGAATTCTAAAACTAAATAGAGATATCTTGGATCTTAACAGAAGCCTTCAAAAGTTACCTAAGAATGATAATAGATTTTTACAATAAATGGATGCTATAAATTTCCTAATATTGTGTTTTCATTAATGACATGATCAACTTGTTTGAGTCTTATAATCTCTGCCTTTTTTAGACTTTTCAAGGCCACATATTTATTAGTTTATTTATTCCTTGCCAGTTTCACTCTTCCAAATGAACCTAAAATTCAACATTTCAATTATTTATTACCAGTACCCAAGGTTTGAAAGACTTCATAATCTGTAAGTTTAAGTTTTTTAGGTTTAACAAGTCCTGTACTCATTGATATAAAGATTTAAATAAATTATTATTTAAGGGAAATATTTTAATATAAAATACTCAGTTTATATTAAATAAAATTTGAAAAAACTTATAATAAGAAAGGTGATTTATGTAGAATATATGTAAAAATTTATATGTTTAAATTATATTTGTTATTTACTAAATAAATCATAGCTTTGCTAATCCATATCCCTGAGCATTGTTTAGATCATTGAATAAGTGATTTCCATAAGCAAATCTAGAGATTTGTCTAAGGTGGACTTCACATGGTCCATCCATGAATCTAATAGCTCTGGCGAAACGGAATGCAAGTGCCAATGGTTGCTCTTCAGTTACTCCCTCAGCTCCAAATGCTTGAACGCATTAGTCTATAATATATTGACAAGCTTTGGGAATATGAGCTTTACATTCGCTAACAGCCATGAATGTATGTAAATGTCTGGATCCAGCAGAATCCAATAGTAATCCAGCATTTAAACTTAATAATCTGCATGATTAGAATGCAATTTCCAAATCTCCTAATCTCTCTTAGAAGGCAGCATTATCTTTTAATGATTATTTGAATATAATTCTTTTTTCTGATCTTGACATCATTAAATCTAAACATCTTCTAGTTAATCCAACTTATCTAACACAATGATGTAATCTTCCTCCTAATAATCTACCTTATGCCATTTTGAATGCTCCTCCAAGTTGTCCTAAGAGATTTTCTTATGGAATGAAGGCATTATCGAATTCAACTTCTGAATAACCATGAGGTATATCATAGAAACCTAAGACAGGGAATTATCTAATTATTTTTATTTTTGGATTATTCATGTCAACTAAAATCATTGATTATGATTCAATTGGATTACTCATATCTGGAGATGATTTACCCATAACAATTCCAAAGATAGCTCTTTCATCTGGAGCACTAGAAACAAACCATTTACCACCATTAAGAATAAATCCTCCTTCAGTTGGTGTGATGGTACATTAGAAATTATTAGGATCAGAAGATGGTACATTCTTTTCAGTCATTGCAAAAAATGATTTACATTATCCTTCTAATAATGGTTTCAAGTATTTCTCCTTTTAATATGGTGTTCCATAAGCAATCAATAATTTGATATTTCCTGTTTCTGGTGCAAAACAATTAAATGTTTCATGAGCAAGATAACTTAATCCCATAAGCTCTGATAGGAATACATATTCCAAATTAGTTAAACCTTTGCCATACATAGGATCTGAAATGAATAAATTCCATAATCCAGCAGCTCTGGCTTTTCTTTAAAGTTCTTCTACTTCTAAAATTGGTTTATTTTAAACAGTTGTTGGAATTGCTCTGGCTTTATCTAAGATGGTTTTTTCAACAGGGAATATTTCATCTCTCATGAAATCCTTAATTCTATAGTAATAACTTTTGCATCTTTCTGAAACAGGCCAATTTGACCATAATTAACCATCATTTGTAGCTCTCATTTTAATTCCGAATGGATCTCCTTCAGTCATTCTCAATATTATCTCATAACCAGCTTTTGATAAGAAATGAGAATTATCTTAATATTTTTCTTCTTTTGTTTATTTATAGAGGATTTATTAATCGATTGATTATTTCAAAATTGACATGATGAGTTAATATTTAATGTCTGGTATGTTTTCACTTGATCTTGTTGTAAAGTAAGCTTATAAAACATCTTGGAGATTAGGTTAACCTATAATTTCTTCAATTCCAAACCATCCATCAACTTAATGTTATCCATTTGAATAAGGAATATAGTATGGTGAGACAAAACTAGCCAAATCAATGAATGCATTTCCTAATTAAGCTTATTACCAATCTAAGATAGCCAAAACTTTAGGTTCAGTTGGATGGAATACAACTTTGGATAATGAAAAATCTCCATGTACCAAACATAGATTATCTAATTCTGATTTCACTGGTGTATTTAATGGTAACCAATACAATAAATCTTCTACATTTGTTGAAATTTTGGTTTCATGTAATTTATAGAGGTTGTATAATTTTTTATTTTATGTTTAGTATTGACTAGTCTATGATTCTAATTCTCCAAGCCCTAAATAATTTAAACTGATAGAATGTAAATGAGCCAAAGCTTTAGATACTTCTTAAAACAACAATTTCTTTTCAGTTTATGAAACACTCAATAACTTTTTATCATTGAATAATCTTCCTTCAACATATTCAGTTGCATAAAATGGTACTCCAACAATTGATTGATCTCCACAATAGAATAACGTCTTTGGGACTGGCATATTTGCAGCTGATAATTTCTAAGCAATCAAATAATCCTTTTCTAATTGGTTTCCCTATTAGATTTTATTATATATTCTTACAATGACTTAAGGGTTGTTTGATTTAGTGTGTAAAATTATCTTTTTATTTGAGTTCCTAAAAACTTTAATTATCAGATTACTTGAATGTGAGCTTATATGTATTTGTTACTAATTATTAGACCTGATCAATTTGAATCTCTTTTACACCAAGAAATACAGACACAGTTGCTTGTTAATTTAAGTAGCTAGCCAAATTAAGTTAGTGTTGGACTTCTGAAATGGACATTACAAAAAAATAAATGATATTTTTTTTAAATAAGGCAACATCTAGGTGTGTGGATTTAACTCTCAAATAATGAGATATCTAATAATGTGTAATTAAGTAAATATGATGTCATTAGAATTGTTTTCATTTAGTTAAAATTTTATGAAGAAATATTATGATTTATCTTTATACCCCCTTATATATTAATGTTATTATAATAAAATTATTTTTCTAAATCAAACCTTCAATAGAACCATTTTGTTATCTATTCAAATACGTTAATGTTTTTATGAAGTATCTAATTTTATTCTGAAAGTAAGGTAGTTTTGATTACAATATTTAAATATATTAGAATTAGAGTCAAAATATGGATCAAAATAATAGAAATCAATTTAAGAATAAAATGCATCAAATTAATGTTCATTAAGATGCAGAGATTAATTAAGAAAGGAATGGCAAATAAAAATTATTATAAAAAATTTTGAATAATTTATTTCAAAATTACTCTTCCTTCTTTTTATATTGATTTCAAATTATTCATTAAATGAACTAAGATGTCCAATTAATGAACAAATTATATATATATGTTATTAGTATTAAGTTCAAACTATATAATTTGTCTAGAATTCTTATCTCTAATCTATTGTATATATTTGAATAAATAGATGATTATTTAAAGTTTCATGTAAAGTATGATTAAATAACTATTCTCTCTATTCAATAACTTATTTTGTGTATTAGGGTTTTCACTTATTAAAATAATGCTTAAAAATTGCAAGAAACAATTTAAAGAATGTATATATAGATTAGATAAGTTTAATAATGATTGGAAAGTATAATGAATATGCGCGAGAAATAGGAAAGCATTTAATAACTGTTATTAAAACATAATTTGAAATTCAAATTCAAATTGGGCATTTCCCCAATATTTGAAGAAATAACAAAATTAATAAATAAAAACAATAATTCGAATTTAAATTAATTGCAATGATTGCCTCTCTTACCTAAATAGAAGATTCAAACAACAATACATTTTATAATTCCTTAAAAAGAAACTCGAAATCTGTAACATTCGAAAAAGTCCCAAAACATTAACGAACATCAACTTGTGGATCAGGAAGTACTATGGATGAAGAATATAATGAATCATGTCTTAGCAGTAGTAGAATGGATGAAGAATTAAGCAATCCCTAATTCATTAGCAATTATAGAAAGGATATATTTCTATACATTTTAGAAGAATAAGTAAATCAATTAAACTATTCATTTAGAGTAACTACTTACCTAACTCTTGCTTTATGGAACAAACCTAAAAAGATATCAATTAAAAAATGAGGTCCATCCTTATCGACTGGATTGAAGAAGTTCACATGAAATTCAAACTTGTAATTTGTTTCATTTAATATTCTCTAGTCTCCAAATAGTTTATATCTAGCCATTAATTTAATAGATAGATATCTAAGTATTAACATCGTAAAGAGAAATAAACTATAATTGGTTGGTGTTGCATCCCTCTTCATAGCATCCAAATTTGAAGAAATCTATCCTCCAAATATTAAAGACTTTGTATATGTTTGTGACAGAGCTTACACAAAGGAAGAGATATTATAAATGGAAGGATCTATTTTGAATACTGTTAATTTTTCATTAAACTACATAAGTCCACTAAGATTTTTAGAATTTACTATTATCGAAAACACTTAAATTGAAGACAATAAAGTATTTCAAACCTAACAATTTCAATTATCATCCTATATACTTGAGATTGCCTTACATAGTTATGAAAGTCTTCAATATATGCCTTCATAACTGGCTTAGTCGGCATTACTCTTGTCTAATAAAATATTAGGAATACAATCTGATATGGAAATAACAGATGAATCAAAATATTGTGCCACTTATTTATTATAGCTTTACTACAACAACTAAAATAATACTTTATATCCAGCTGTGAAGAGAAAATATGCTAGAGAAGAGCATTTGTAAGTCTCATAAATCACAATTTCAATTTGAATTTACTCTTTGTTTTTTAATTAATTGTGTGTATATATTTTATAACGATTTACACTTATATGAAATTAATTTTGACATTTCTTATTGCAATTGTAGCATTACAAAAACCAACAGACACTGATAATAACTGTGTATTTTATAAATGTCCTGACGAATGGAGAACTTGTATAGCAAATGAAACATGTGATAAACATTTGACATAATGTGTCAATATTTATTAGAGATTTTAAGAAATGCCATATGCATTAGGATAATTTTATAATTGTTTGGTAGATAATGATAAGACTAGATTATTATATAGATGTGTAAGATAAAAATGTAATACTCCTATTAGTAATTGTTTGATTGAAGCCTTTACTAAACGTCTTACATGATTAATTATAATTAAAATATTCAATATTATTCGTCATTGTAATTTGTCTCTTCATATTATTATTGTAATAGAGTTTCATCATAATTTTTCTTATCATAAAATATCTTATCACTAATAACTTCAATGACTCTTTCATGTTTTAATAAGTTTTCTATCAACTTTTCTCTATCTTCTTTCTCCATTTTCACCTCTTCAATACTTAAATCTAAATATTATTATTTACTACTTTTATTTTTCTTCAAAGTTCTTTCATCACTTCTCACTTAAATTATCTCTTCTTTAATATCTTCTATACACTGCCTTAAAATATTATATAATTCTGATTTTGAAGATAATTCTTTAGTATATAGTTATTTAATATCTCTTATCCTTTTTTATTCCTTCTTTAATGTCTCTTAATATGTTTTTATAATATTCTAACATCTATTCTTTTAAAAATTAATATTATACTTGGTTTTTTAAGCTTCATCAATATTTTATTGAGTTTATGCATTAGTTATTTAAGGAAATCTTACTTGTTATTAGGATGATGATTATTTAGATTTCTCAGTTTTTTGATTTTTAACTCCTGATTTATCTAAGATTAAGTCTTAATAAGATTCTTAATCTTCCTCTTTTTGAACATCATTCAATAACTTTTCATATTATTAAATTTATGATTTTAGAATAGCATTTTCCTTTTTCTTAATTATTAATTCTTTCATTAACATTTCTCTATCTCTTTCTTAAGTTTAATATTCCACTTTCAATTCTTTATACTTTTACATTAATTAATGATTTTCATCATCTATTTTTTAAGCAATCTTTTTAATCCATTCTAATTCACTAATTAATTGATCCTCTTTTTAAATATATTCTTTATCATTCTAACCTTTCTTCTCTCTTTCTTCTTAAAATTGTTTCTTTATTTCATTAATTTTATTATTAAAAAATCTTATAATATCTCTTTCTTAATCAACTAGAATTTTAGATGTTCTCAACTAAATACTATTGATTCCTTCAATAATTTTACTATGATCTTTATAAATCAATTCCATAATTCTCTTATCAGTTTAATCTAAGGCAGTTCTAGATCTCAATTCTTATTATAATTCATCAATAGTTTTCTTAAATTCCATTTCTCTTTAAACATATCTTGTTATAAGCTCTTCTCTAAGTTTCTTCTTTTCTTCATTGTGTTATTGTTATATTTCTTATAATTTATTTAACCATTCAGTTGTATTTAATTCATTTTTATTAGCAGAAGTAGATTATTATCCTTTTCCCTTCTTCTACTTACTATCCTAAATATTTTCCATCTTCTTTGCTTATAATATTAATTATTCTTATGTCAATTTAGACGGTTTCAATATACTATCAGAACTAATTGCTATATATTGCAATACTTATACTTTTAGTTAAATCACCAGTAGTAGCATAAATGCGATCAGCAATTTCTTACATTTTTTACATACTTTTAGTATTCTTGATAATTTATTGTTCATCAATTTTAGACATTATATATATATATTAATAATAAGAATTAATGATAAATTTAGAATAATAATTCTTAAATTTTTTGGATTTGAATATTTCAATAAACTTCAGCATGTTTTAATAAGTCACTCTTTAATTATCCTAATGAAGTTGTTGTTAATAGAATTGCTTAATCAAGTAATTTACTTTGTTAATTTCTCTATCTATTTTATTATTAATATTCTTAATCTAATATTGAACATTCTGCTTGAATATTATCAAATTCTTTCATTTTATTTTGTAATCTAACATCAGCCTCTTTCTTTTCATTTTCACTCTATTTTAACTCATTAGACTAACTATCCAATATTCCTCATTTATTCACAAATCATACCTGTCATTTCAGTAAGAGATTTAGAAGCTTCATTAAATAAATCAGCTATTTGAGATCTGTAATCAGAATAAGCAGTTTATCTTGATAATTCAGCTTGATCTTCTCTAATTCGTTCAGTTTGTATATATGATTCAATTTATTTGAGAATTGCACTTAATTAAATTGCTAATTTTAATGCTTCCTAATATTTATGAAATTTAATACTTCTTCACTTGTCTATTTTGATAGAGACTATAGTAATTATACAATATGTTTATACCCTTCAAGTTTATAAGTATGTTTAACTTATTTTAAAATTGATTTCATTTCAACAAATGACTCAAATTTACGTTAACCTTTTTATACAGAATCAATAAATTGATTAAATGCTAACTTTATTTAATGAAAACCAAATAAGGCTTATTCAAGGTTATCAAGAATAATGGTGTAAGTATTATGTTCTTTATCTCTTTTTTCTTCTGCTTATTTTAATTCTTACTTATAATCATCCTATCTGTATTATATGTAAAAATACTATTTCTTTTTATTTTCTTTCTACTGTTTATACACTCTATTTCACATTTGGATTTAGATTATCAATATATGATTTTAGAGTAACAGATTTAATTTTATAATTATTGATTTGGTCATTCAATTAATCTAGATTGATATTGCAATTTGTAGTGATTCTCTTATGTTATTCATCAGCTTTATTTTACACTTTTTCAACTTATGATTATAGATTTTATAACATGTTGATCAAATTACCTACAGGCTCATCTGATTAGATATGCATTTGAATGGTTTCAAGTAGGGTTTAACCAAAATTATCATCATTAAGCTAATATATAGTTATATATATACATCTTCCATTGCTTATCTATATTGTGCACTTGTCGCATAAGTGTATACGAATAACACAAACAATAATAATTTCATATAAAAATAAATGAAAATAAATCCGTTTTACATAATAAAATTAAAATGATATAAAATTGAAAAATATCACATTCCAACAATACACCTTCAAAGATAACTCTGATGGTAAATTTATTTAGCAATGGTAGTACGCAAAATAAATATTGGTTTATAATCAAATATATTAGTTAATCGTTTTTGTTATTGCTTCTTACAGGCTTTTAACTGCAATGACATTATCTTAATTCTTCTCATTTAATGATTTAAAACTCTTAAAAAATATAAAATTTAAAATACCTAAGTTCTATTCAAAGAATTATTAACTTTATAAATAATAAAATTCTTATTATTTATTTTAGATATCTTTTCTACAAATTCTTGATAATGTTCTTCAACTGATTTATTGTAAACATAAATCACTACATCACAATTTTTTACATAAACTAAATATTAATTTATAAATTTTACCATCAACGATATCAGTAAATTTAGTTGAATGAATGTTGTTAATCCAAAAATGATATGTAATTTATTTGTTCTTATTTACTTCAATCTTTGAAACATAATCAAAATCCTTTTTCTGATGATAATCTTAACCACAATAATCAAAAACATTTTAAGAATCATTCTCAGCATCCATCACTATTATTTTAACATTCTATGCTTCCATTTATGTTTCTTCCTCTATTTCAGTATTCTACAATATATATAATTATATTAATACATTTGTTTCCCGCTCATCAAAATCAAAGTTCACTATATTTTAAGTTGATTTCTTAGAGTTACCTTCATAATAAAATAGATCTTTGTTCCAAGCTGATTGAGCTTATTGAATGTATTCTTCAGTAGAATCTGAATGGATTGCCCCGAATCTTTTTCTCATTTATATTTGTTAGTTATTTTAAAAAAATTATTAGATTTCAAGAAATATTTGTGATTTAAACTCATCTATGACACATTCAAATATTAATCCGTCATTACACATATTATCACCATTAAATTAATACGAAGTCCAATAATTTAAATTTAATCTGTTATCCTTGTTATATTATGCATTAAGTCTTTCTATATAGTATAATAATTTATAATATTATAAATATATATAAGCAACCTTCATTTAATCTATTTCTTATGATCTCTCTCATTTATATTATATATTTATAATTCTAATTAAATAAACATAAAATCATTAAGATCCATCTATAATATATTATTTTTATTTTAGTTATCTAGCTCTATGAATTTATCTTTAATTTTGTAATATAAATTAATAATATAATTATAAATCATCATCATTTATTTTGTGTCTAAAGTTCAAATTCTTCATCTAAATCATATTAAAATGGAAAGATAAAATTAATCCAAATATTATTATATTAAAATTATGCTAATTGACATCAACATTAATCATTAATTTTTGTTTTCACCTAACAATATTATAAATTCTAATTACATAAATATCAACAATATTATCATTTTATTCTACCTTATCTATGCTATCTGTAAATACAAAATTAAAACTACATTCCCTTATATCAATCCTAAAATTAAATTCAGATAATTTTAAACTTTCAATTTTCTTAAGATTTACTTTCATTAGTAAATTTTAATCCTTAAACCCAAACTACAATTCCTGAATTTATATTCCTTAACCATAATTGATTACCTTTGAGATATTAGAAAAAGTTCTCTTATATTAATATGCATTATTCTCCCTTCAATTATCCCAAAATGAAAAACCTTCAAGTTGTATTAATTTAGTAATTCTTCAAAAAATCTATAGACTTTCCTATTAATTAGATGAACTATCAAATTATGTAAACTTAATCTCTTAAAGATTTAATATATTTGAAATCTCATTTTATTCCAATTTTTATTCATAATCTTTATTATTAATCCTAGATTGTTTCATAGTATTATACAATTAAATCAAATCTCGAAGTATTTCATCATTTCCTTTTTCTATTGTAATACTTTTTAAATGGTCTGCTTATTAAATAATGATATCTTTGACTTATTAATTCCATTATCCAAAATTAAGTTCACAAATCGATAAATTTGATAATGACTTTGTAATATTGCTCAAATCATCATTTTATATATTTTTATATCCAAATGATTTTAATTTTGAAGAATTAGATACTACTTTTTCAATATATTCTAATGGAATATCAGTAATTAAATAAGAATCAAATTTTGTTAATTTTGATAGATCTTTTGGAATCTCAAGTTCTCGCAACTCTCTTGCATTTATACTTGAAAATATAATTTCCTATGGTTTTATGAACTTAGATGATAGTTTATTCACTTCTTATGGCTTAAAATTTTCATCTTATTTTAAATTCATAAGTAAAGGTATTGGTGTTGAACAAACAGATTAATCAAAAAATGAATTTAATTCTCTCATTTTTAATCGTTAATTTATAGGAATATAAGTTAAAACCTATTAAAGACATTTCAGAATTCAAAGTTAAATTATTTGTTTTTATTTAATTCATTAATTATTAATATTATTCAAAATAAAATTATTAGAGTGAATCATAATTTATCTATATATCTAAAATAAACATACATATACATAATTTAATCATTAATACCCTCCAGAATGCAATTAAAATGTTTAATATAAACTAATAAAGCTTGAAAATGTCCCTAAAATTACAGCTGTTTCTTGTTTGATAGCCTAAGTATTTACATAAGAATAAGAAACTGGGATATCTAACCCATATTTGACTAAATTTTAGAGAATTTGAATTTATCTTATTCTAATTTTATTCTTTGGGTCGTTTTGTAAATTAGCTTTAGCAATATCTATTTGATTGACTCGATATTCAAAACATAAGGATATAAACCATCCAATACATTCTATAAAATAAAACTTAGGTGCATATTTCTTTGTAAATTGATGTAAATTCATATTATTGCATAAACCTATTTAACACATCCAATATATAAGATCACTGATATCTGTAATTATAAGATAAGTATAGAATAGAATATCAAAAAGATTCCTATTATATTTCAAGACATTATTGCTTTTTTATTGACTCAATTTATTAAATAGGATTTGAAGATAGAATGCTGTTCTTGACCATCTTAATATCTACATTTAATAAATTAGATACTCTTCTTGTCATAGAAAAATGAGAACATAATAAATCTAATTTATTTTACCACATTCTTAAACATTCTCCACTCTTAATTTTCTTGAGTAAATGTAACTTGATGACCCGTAACAAAAATGTGTAAGTTCTAAATAATTAACTCTTTATACCTTATCATCCTATCCTATCCCAAAACCGTTGAATTAACTTTATAAATTTTTGTTACGGCTCCTAATATCATCAAGACTTTTCAAAAGAATTAAATGATAATTATTTTTTTATTTAAATAATCAAATAATTCACATATTTCTCTATATCAAACAAATATGTAACATTATATTGAATAATAAAATATGAAATGTAAGTATTATATAGAATTTTTAATCATATAAAAAGTAACCCTATTATAATTGTCTTTTTAAATATTTCACCAATCCCAAAAACTTTTTTTTTTCTTTTCTATTGCTTTTCTTTCATAACTGAAATTAGTATCTTTTGAAAATCTAACTTTTTTTGATTATTTAATAGCAGTATGTGTTGATTTAATTGATTTACTACCTGAGAAACTTCGATAAGTTAAAGATCTATTTTTTAAAATGCTTTTATGACTTTTATGAGTTTTACTTTAACTACTTGATCCTCTTTCATCTACTGAAAAGAATTCACTAAACATTTTTTCATAGGCTTCAAGCATCTATTTTTTTTTGGAAGAACCTTTACTTGCATTATTACTGGCTAATTCTTCTCTTGCTTAAATGATTTTGATTAATGCACTTTTTCTCATAACATCAGATTAAGATGAAATTGATTTATCTTTATGAGGGGGAGTAGGAGTTTTAGAGATTTAAGATTTTTAAGAAACTGTATCATTATCATTTCTCTTAGGAGCAAATTAAGATGTTGATTTAGGTTAGAAAGGATTTGTACTTGGATGTTCATTTGATTAAATAATGGAATTTTAAAAAGAAAATTAGTTGTCAAGTTATTCTTTTTATTTTTATTTTTAGATTTATTCTTTTCTTTAAAGTTCAAGTTCTTGTTCATAAATTTATTGAATGCGTTTCAAATTTTCTTACTCTTCTTAAATACTAGATTATGATTAATATATCATACTTTTTCTTAATTATGTACTTTAATTCTTCTTCTATATCATGCATAAATCTGTTTTTTCTGTCATCTGATATATTGAGATTTTTAATTCTTTTACTAAATTACTTAATTTCTTGAGGAGATTAAAATTCTTCTCCAATGATTTCTTCTAAAACTCCTTTTTATGAACAAATATGATCAGTCTTTGAATCCTTATCAGATTCTTTCCTTTACTTCTGTTTTTATTACATTGTGACTTCCTATTACATTGTAAGTTATTATCTGCATAAATGTTGACAAGCTCCCATTAATTAATTAAAAAATCAATTCGGACAACTTTGTTTCCCAAATAAGAATAATTTTGATTTTATTTTTATCATTATTTTTGATTATCAACTATATAAAAAAATTGGGGATGGGGAGAAAATCCTTTAAGAAATCTTTTATTTTAGAATATGAAAGTCATGATTTCTATATTTATTAACAAGAGAAATTTGTAAAATCAGAATTCTTTGCATTTTAAATGGAAATAGCAAATCAATATGTAAATTTGGATCATTTATGTAAAATTAAATAGATTTTTGATGTCAATCAAAGTTTCAAATATATCTACAATTAAACCCCTTTATATAAATCATTAAAATAATCTTAATAAAACATTTTGATAATTTAAAGATAGGGAGTTCATGATGTTCTAAAGTATGAATTATTTTGAATCGATAGCCTAATAAATATATTAGAGGTATCTAATATTAATCTCATTCCTATTCATTAAAATTAAATATAATATGTCTAATCAGCAAACACCCGAATCCCACAGCTCTTCCATCATATATACACCAATACCTTTAAGACTATAATTTAGTGCATCTCGTTCTAGTAAATAAGGTTCAAATTCTAAAATTCTTTGGGATAGCACTTCAAAGCAGTCATTTGTATAAACTCATTCGTAAAGTCCGCGGAAAGTTTTGTATGTAATCATCACCAATACTAATAGACTTTAAACATTTGAATCGTTATATTATGAAAGGCCCAATAATCCTATGACAAGAGATGAAAAATTTAAGGAACTTGAAAATCTTATCTCATCTTTTGATTCTGATGCCTTCATCCAAGAGGTTGAACTATTCGATTGAGCTCACAAATACTTTTGAATTGTGAATAAAGTATTTTCATAATACAGTATAAAAACTTAAAAAAAAACAACCAATATATTGAATTCTTTGATTAACACATGAGTAATCATGAAATTAACTCATCCCATTACAATCCTTCTCTATATATTCATCATAACAATCATGATTAAAAATATTCGAATTTTTATTATTATAATTGATATGCAAATAAAAGTATTACTATTTGCAATTATTTTCTCTTATGTCCTTTCAAGAAGAATTAAATAAAAGAAATCTAACTTAATACATATATCTTTGATCTAAAAAGGTTAAAGAGTGTAAGAGACTATTAAATCAACTCTAGACTCAGATATCAAAATATCCTTTGAGTTGAGTCGTGAAGTAAAAGAATAAATAAACAATTAAAATTTACTTATAGATCATTTAGATAGACTATAATATGCATATTAGATTGTTTATATTCCATTAAGGTATAAAATATTGAATATCTTATAGAAATTAATATAATGCTCAATATTTTGGTAAAATATAATTAGGTTAATAAGAATAAACTTTTGAATTATTATTTGATACTGGTTCATCATATACGTAAATAAAAGATATAATATTAAGTTGGGTAGCTTCAAATGATTGCAATACTTGTTAAAAAGCTGGAGTGAAACACTTTTTTAATTGTGAAACTTCATAGAGTTGTAGTTATCTTAATAAGAAGATTAAATTATAATATGGTACAGGAAAGGCTGTAGCATAATTTATGGTTGAGAATCTAAAAATAGCATCTTTGCTAATTTAAAATTAAACTATGTTATTATTAGATGAATTAACAGAATTAAAAAAGTTTGAAGGAGATGGTTTAGCAGGACTTGGATTTGATACTTTGAGTGATGGATATCCAACAATAATTGATAATCTATTTATTTAAGATTTGATTGATAAAAAGGTTTTTTAATAATTATAATATAAATTAGGAATTTTCTATTTATTTGACAGAACATTAAAATAGTGAAGATAAATAATCTAAATTAATAATAGGAGGTAAATAAGATAATTTAGGAGATTATAATAATGATTAATGGCATTATTGTGATGTGATTAATAAAAATTATTGGGCTATTTTGGGTGATTATGTATCATTTGTATCTAGAGATGGTAAAATAAGGAGATCATTAAAATCTATAAAACCTGTTCATTATGTTTAGGATGATAAGAGTGACATATTATTTACATCTCTTTTTGTTATAGATTCAGGAACATCATTAATAGTATTATATAAAAAGGATCATGAAAGATTGATTCAATATTTGAAAGATTTTGGAATTGAATGTTTTGATAGTGAATAATATTAAGGAATAAATGAATGTGATTAATCTAATATTGATGATTATCCAAATTTTGAAAGTTTTAATTTAATGATTATTTTTTATTAGTTTCATTATGTGGTAAATAATTCATAATTCCACCTGAGAAGTATCTTTTATGTTCATTTTTCTAATGTTATTTAATGATTGCACCTTTTGATTAAAGAGTGTCAATTTTAGGAGATCTATTCATAAGAGAATACTATACTCATTTTATATAAGAAGTATATTAATTAATAATAAAAATAATTAGACACCAAGAAAGATTGGTTTTATTAAAGCTATTTAAGATTGATCTATTTATACATAAAAACTCTATTTATTTTTTTTTTATATTTATTATTTTCTATTATTAATGGATGATAATCTCATTGGAGATTATGTTGTCTTGATGGATTAGAAATTAGGTTAAGGTGCTTTTGGGGAAGCTTATAAATGTTATAAAAGAGGTAATAGTGATGTGGAATATTGCATAAAAATAATAAAGAAATCCATACCTGCTAATCCCTAAAAAGAAGAAAAATAAAAGAAATAACTATAAGCTGAAATTCATACATTCAAATAGTTAAAAGATTAAGATTGTGAGAATTTAGTCAAAATGATAGACATTATTGATTTATCTTCTAGATTATGTATTATAATGGAATTATGTGAATATGATTTAGAGAAGGAACTTTTATAATTTAAAAAAGATAACAAATGGCCTTCAAGATTAGAGATTATGGATATGATGAAATAAATACTTAAAGGTGCTGATGCTTTAATTCGAAATCATATTATACATAGAGATATCAAGCCCTAAAATATTCTAGTATAAATTGTTAACAAAGGAACTTCAAATTAGAGGAAAATTTATAAAGTAGCATTCTCTACTATTCTCTTTAGATAGCTGATTTTGGTTTTACTAAATACATAGAAGATATATACACTAAGGCTAATTTAACTAGAGTTGGTACTCGTTCATATTGTGCACCTGAAATTATGAAAGGTAAGAAGTTTTCTTGTAAATGTGATATTTATTCTTATGGAGTTGTTTTCCATCAAATTGTTTATTTTATGGATTTTCCTAAAGATTATAAGACCGAAATACAATTAAATTAGTATTTTAATTAAATACAAATTACTCCATATAAATGTAAACCATTAAATGGTGAATATGGTAATTTAATTACTAATTTAATTGAAAAGATGCTTATATATGATTAGGATGAGAGAATCTCATTTGAAGAATTACGTACTCATGAAATTGTGACATTTACGAAAAGATTATAGGATTCAATCTTTTTACCTATTTAAAGAACATTTAATTAAGAGGATTATAAATAAGAAATGATAAAGAATGAAGAATAAAAATTCTAAAGATTAAATTTATTAATAGAGATATTTTATCGTAAATTCTTACTTTGTAAGTACTTTGTTGATTTTATGAAATAGATCACAAATATGAATAATATTGAATACTTAATTTTTTAATTAATTATTTAATTGATTGGATGTTAGTAAATTCTTTATGGATTTGCAATGATAAATTGTATTATAAGTGATTTAGAACCAACTATTGTAAATGATAATGATGTACCTTAACTTATAGACCTTTTAAATTAATTTATGAAAAAATCACAGGAAAACAATGACTATATGAAATTATAAAAGTAATTAACAAATGACTTTTATTAATCAAAGATAACATATCAATAAGACTTAAATAAATTATATTAACTTAGAGTTGAAAAAAATTGGACATAAAATTAACCTTAATTTTAATTGTTATATAAATCCAAAACCTAAAAAATACCTATTCAAAATTGCTGTTTAGTATTGTAAGATTTGACTAATAATAGTAGAAATATCAATGATTTAGTCTCTAAATGCGACAAGTAATAATCAATATTATTTATAATATTAGAAAAATATAATAGTTTCTTTAAACAATAAAACAAATTGATACACAATTTGATATAGTAGATTATAGAATTATAAATCCTGATGATATTTTTAAAATTTGAATATCATTTTTATATTAATTTTTATTATAGCAAAATATATAAAAGTATTTATATTTATTAATTAAATAATAAAATAATCTAATTATTAAATCATAAAATAATACAAAAGTTTTTTTTATATTAATTTTTTAAATCATAAAATAAAATATCATTAATCAAGTAATGTTTTTGTTAATTCTTCAATTTCTTCTTCTCTTTAATTTATAAAATTATTCAGTTGGATTGAATCATCAGTATCCTAATTATTAATTTAACAATTATTTGGTATCAATTTAATATTAGTTGATCCAACTTTTACAATTTATTCTGGATCAAGAAAATAAAAGGTTTTAGGATTCATCTACAACCATACACCAAAAGTACTAGTTTTCCATTAATCAAAATTTTTCTATCCATCCATAATAATCCATTTATTATTAGATGGCATAAACTATATTGTTCCATGGTTTCTAGATACTTAAGTTGATTGAAATGCTATATCTGAAAATTCCATTCTTCCAAAATGGAATGTATTCTTTTGATCTGCTACTAATAAAAAATGTTCAATTGGATTTTCATCTTTTTATGTTTACAATAGAATACAATTTTTATCTAAAGCTGCATATAATTTCTAATTTACTATTTATAATTTACAGTTTAAATCATAAGATTTTCATCTTCTAATCTTTACATATATTCAGATTTATTTATACTTCTTTCTTATACATGCATAAATAATTCTGATACAGAATCATCAACACCTGAAAATTGAACCCTAGATTATAAAGCTTGTAAAGCTTCAAAAATCATATCATCTACATCAGATCTTGTTGAATATCTCTAAAAGAAATTTTCAAATTTATTGTAAATTTTTCTAACTGTTAATTGTGGCTAATAACCAACTCTAAATATATTTCCATCTTCAAGTATTTGATTCTCACAATTTTTTGTTATCTAAATACAAGTAGGATAACCCCTCATTTATGATATATCTTAAATCTTAATCTTTTATTTATTTTAATAAATGGACTAAGCAATTAATTCCATTGTTTTAGATGAAATCATCTAAGAACGTTTAGATGATTCAAATTAATGAATAAATTGCCTACAATGTTCCTCCAAATTCATCACTCTAATCAGATTTGAAAAATCAACAAGAAGGTGTATAGAATTCATCATTTCTTCATTTAAACATTCTACTTTATTGAAAATTACAATAGCTTAAATATCATTATCTAAATTTACAACTTCCTTCTCTAATCTTCCAATTGTAAAACCTTAAATATATTAAAAAATAATATTACAAGTATTGTTATCATCTAATTCAATATCGCATTATAATTGAGGAAAAAACTGTTGAGCTTTATTCAATGCACTAGAAATCTAAGCACGAATACAAGAAGGGTTTGGCAAAAAAGACTTTATTGCAGGTTCATTTTTCTTTTTATATATTATCCTATAAGTATTAACATTGAATATTTCATTAGCATTACGTTCATATGCCTTTGTTTTTTTTAAGACATATTCCCCACTATATAATATTTATGAATTTTCAAATTCATTGGCTTGAGCATATTTTTTTTACATTCTGATTGTAATTTAATTCGCTATTATAATGTATAAAATATGTGTTAATAGAAATATTAAAAAAAATTTACTAGTTTGATTGGAAATCATTATAAAAAATTATAAATTTGAAAGAATTGATAATCTATAAATTTTCATATCATATTATTATAATATAGATTATTAATAGCATAGCAATCTAGATAATTATACTCCAACTTGCTTCAATAACAGGAAGAGAGGTCACTCCATTGAATGAAGCAGTCTATAAATTGATAATTAATGTTACTCCTTTATATAAGGCACGTCCATTAAGATTTTAAACGGGACGATTGTTAGATTTATCAGGGAAGTAATCATCATTGTCGAGGAAGTCTTTGAATTATTTAAGTTAAGTTCTAGAGATAGGCAAGGGGGAAGTAAAGACATACCAATTTACAGTTTAAGAGCAAGGTCTATGGTTAGTTTCTAAGAATATACATAGTAGTGAGACTGCCTGTATAATGATAATAGGTTTTGTCAGTCATTCTTTGGAAGAAGTCACTATTTAATATAGAGAGTATATTAATTACTTCATATCAAAAGATGTAACTCTGTTTACAGTGTCATCAAACCATGGTTTAAATACTTCATAATCGGAAGCAGTATTGGAGTATTAGAAGAGTAATCCAAAGACAGTCAACTTATTTCTAATGTCATTGCAACTCTGTTCTCCATCTTCAACAGCCTGATAAAATTGATAGTTTACTTGATGTACAAAGTGAACTTCTAAGTCAAAATTTTTTCCATCTACTTAATGTTCAGATGGACTATGATAATGGAATTATCTAGCATAATATTTGTATTGAGAATTCGATAAATCGAATGCAGTTATAAAATCGTATTCTCCTTCTAATTCTTTGGTATAATCCCCTGGATAAATATTTTATGAGAAGTACTCTAAGCTTCGAAATAATTTCTGGTTGAAGACTTCAGTATATAATTAATGGCTGGGAACGTATTTTCTTTGGTTGCTGTAGATGTTATAATGTTTATGGGAGATTAAAAGCTAGCACCACAAGTAACAACTTTTGCTATATTTTCTAAAGTAAATACAGTACTTTTCCATTCATCTGAATTTAAGTAATTCCAATCAGAAGGATCCGAATCTCCCCAAGTAGAATTCTTAACTCCATCATTAAAAATTGGATCTGGTAATTAACAGTAGGTTCTCTAGGAAACAATTAAATCAAAAAGAAATGTCAGAAGAATCTATTCAAGAATCATATATAATTTAAATTATTAATGTGTTCTCATAATATAAAAGCACTCATCACTATTGTTGATAGTAATAGATATGCATAAGATGATTGTACATCTGGTATTTCTGTCACTCCGGTTGTGAGTGCAGTCTTAAATATAGTAATCAGATTAAATTACTCCTTTTAAGATTTTCCTTCCATTCAAGTGTTAAATTGGACGATTATTTCTCTTGAGTGGAAAGACCGTTGAATCTGCAAATGCTGTTCTAAATAGATTCAATTGATTTGTTGAGATTGGCAATGGTTAATAGAATACAATCCAATTAACAATCTAAGAACATGGCAAAGTTGTTAAACTACCATTATAATGATAATAGGTAGTATCAGTCATTTTTTAAAAGAAATCACTATATATATTAGTAATTAGATTCTTACTTCAAATCAAAAGATTCCACTTCTCCAGTTACATTTTAATCAAACCAAGGCTTAAATACTTCATAATCAGTGGCATATGCTTATTCTGTGAACATAAGACCAAAAACTGTCAAACTATTCTTTACTTTGTTACAATCTTGTTCCTCATCTTGAATAGCCTAATTATATATTAAAAAACACTAACTTAATGAACAAAATGGATTTCTAAATCAAAGTATTTTCCATCTATAGTATGTTCTGATGGAGTATGTATATGGAATTATTTAGCATAATATCTAACTACTAATCCAGAAGCATCAGTAACTTCTATTTCTGAATATTCTCCTTCATATTCTTTGGTATATGGTTCTAAAGTTAATTTTATATTATTACTGTTTGCTTCTTCATATGCAACGTCTGAAGCCTTATTTTTATAATGTATTTATGGTTAAATGGGTTCTTGATTAGCAACAGTAGTCACTATATCAATTGGTGATTGATAACTTCCACCACAAGTCACAACAAGTTCTAAAATAGCATATTAAATAATACATTCCCAATTTTCTGCATTTGCATAATTCCAACCAGTGGTACCAAAGTCAGCAGCCGATACTCCATCTGCAAATACAGCATCTGGAAGTTAGCAGTAGTTTCTTGTAATTGTTTCTTCTGTTGTGGATGCTAATACAATTATAGAAATTATAGACAATATCAATACAAAAATCATTAATTAAAATATATTTCATAAAAGATAATGGCTCGTTTGATTAATCATTAATTTTACCTTATGATTGTTTTAAAATGAACAATATTAAATAAAAATCTTATGTTTTTCTATTTTTAGTATAATATTTTTAAAATTTTATATATATTATTGAACAAATAATAATTTACTACTTGTATTTTATAAGCATTTATATTATAAAATATTAATAATCATTTTTTGGCTTTAGAATTTCCTCTTTATTATGAATTACCAATTGATAGATTACGCTAGAATTAGATTAAAAATGTGTACCCCTTATAAATTAAGAACTGATATATCTTTTGGTGGTTTAATATTATTAGGTTTGATTTATTATTAAAATTATAATTATTTATCTTTTGGAGGTAGTACTTTATTTTAAATAGCAGATCCACCTCCATCTCTTTTATTACGAGATTGATCTCTTACTTTAGGTTTTGATTAGGATTAACTAATTTCATCATAATCTTCTTAAATAGATAATTCTTATTTATTAAATTGTTTTCTTGGTGCACTTTTATCTCTTTATTTAAATTGATTAGGTGAATTTTATTTTAATTCTTCTTTTTTAATAAATTCCTTAAATTAATCTAATTCACCTAAATCTTCTAAATCATCATCATCTTATTCTTATTGAAATTCTGGATCTTCTAATAAATCATCAATATATTCAATATCAGTTTCTTCAAAATATTTTTCATCATCTTAAGTATCATTAATAAGTTTCTTTTAATTTTCTACAATCATTTTTAAATCATTAATAGTTTTTTCTTATATTTATAGATTAATTTCCAATTCAACATTTTATAATTCTAATACATGATTTTTAATTTCTAATTCCAAATAATCTCTTTTTTCTTTACTTTAAATTCTTTTTGGAATTGATTCTCTAATTTTTTTAGCATTATTAATATTTTCAACTAATTATAAACCCATTAATTCTTTTTTTATCATATTTTTCTCAGTACTTGTTTTTAATGTTTAAATACTCTTTAAACCTTATCTAATATCTTCTGGCATATTCTTTTCACCAGATTTCTTCCATTATAAAATTTCACTTTATCTTTTTTTAATTTCTAAAAAATTCATAGCATTCTATTCTTCTATTTCCATTAATGCTCTTCTTAATTAAATTCTTTCTTAAAAATTTTCAAATATTTCTTCTTAAATTGATTTCAATTCTTCTGATTCTGGTTTACCATTTTTATTAATATAATTATTTATTGTAATAGATTCATCTTCATTATCATCAAATTATTTCTCATTTAATCTTAATTTTAATGATTCTATTTCTGATCTCAAATCACTAATTATATTCTTATATTCTGCTATATGCATAGCAACTAATTTCTTATTAGGTAATTATTTTGTCTTTATATTTTTAGCTCTATTAGCATATTTCAAAGTATTAATTGTTTCTTCAAATTAAGATGAAGCTGGTGATATATTTGCTATCATAACTGTTCTGCAATTACCACCCAAAGAATCCTTTAATAACCTTGTCAATTTACTATCTCTATAAGGAACAAAGAATCCCTTCTTACTCTTATCCCCCAATGCATTTATACAATTTGCTAGTGCCAATAATGACCTATTTATTTTTGCACCTTCCCTTAATCTAAGTCCCCTATTCTCTGTTACAGTTCCTCTTTCACTACCTGCTAAATCTATTAAACTCAACTTCCCATTCATTGACTCCATCTCAGTATTTTTTACTTTACTTCTTTGAGTCACATTTATTTAAAATACTGCATGAGATCTAGAAGAAGTAAGATTTGCATTCGTGGCTTCAGTTGTCCTTCTCCTATTTCCTTACAACAATAAGTTCATAACCTACTGAACACTTATTGCTTTATACTCAGTAACTCCTGCTATTGTCACTCCCTTTATTGGATCATCTCGTAACTCCAAATATTAAGATTATTAAATTAGTAGATCGCGAATGGCTTCATTGTATATCTCTACATAACTTATCATCACTATGTAATCATTATCCAAATCACGTTTTATGAATTCAAACATGTCTCTTATTGTAAGTACACTTATTCCCATTGTTTCTTAGTTTCCCAACATTGTATAAGTCTTTCCTGTACCTGTAGGACCATATGCAAATACAGTTGCATTATAACCATTCATCACAGGCTTAATAAGCTATTTGCATGTTTATTCAAAGATCTAAACTATACCAAATAATATCAAATACATCATCTGAACTCTCCTCTCTAAACACTTTATCAAAGGCATATCGCTGTTCTTTGCTTCTATGATAAACTTCTAACATTTTCTTATTCTCTGCTTCATATTCCATTTGTATTGGGTCTAAAATGATCTAAATTAGTCATCCAAATCATTAATACAATCAAATTATCCTCTACACGTACAATATCTAAGTCTTCATTTGAAATCTCCTTCTAATTAAGAGGTCTACAACGAATAGCTACTAAAATATTTGATTCTTCTGGGTTCATAATAATTTATTTTATAAAATCAAATGTATAACTATTATTTAAATTGATTATATTCAATATTTCTACAAACATATATTACCCACTTTATTTAATAATAAAGTAAACATTTATTCAAACCCTACTCTTATTTTCAAATTCATTTTAATTAACATATATATAATAATTTTAACTACAAAATGATCAAAATTTTATTTATTTAAAAAAGAAATAAAAAAGTTGCAATGTAATTCTAATATATTCATAATTTATACTTATTAAACTTTTTTAATTGAAATTTTGATTTATATAAACATTCTAATTAAGACAAACTAAATTACTTAGTTGTTGTTCAAGAACATTTAAATAGTTTATTATATTAATCATAATAATTCAATTATAACTTTATACATATAATCAAAATTGATGTTGATATAATCATATCAAATTATTCTTTTGATATTAAATACAATTTAAAAATACTAGTATTATAATTTCATAAGTTTTTATTTTCAATTAATTTCTGAACTATGTATCATCATCTTATATAGTCTCATTTAAATTTCATCTAACTTAACTTCTCATTCAAATAATTATCTTTATTCTTCAATTCAGAGCATTGCAATCATTCAAATATTATTAAAGAAAATTTATAATAGTTTATGTAATTTTTAACTTTTAATATGCTTTTTGCTATTTATAAAAATAAGAACAAGAGAATATAAATTAACTATTTTTATTAAAAAGATATTTATTAAAAACCCATTTTAAAAACTAAAATTATTGATCATTGAATATTAATAATATAAATAGCAGTTAAATTTTTGAAAAATGAATAACATTTAAGGATATGGATTAGATAAGCCATCAGTTAGATTACATTAAGCACCTGGAGGAAATTCATCGATCTCATTTGTACATACCATATTTAAAAGTTCAAGGGAGATTATACTCCTTAATAGCAAGTACCTCAACCATTAGGAAGAAAACAAGTCAATCAACCTCCTATTTAATAATAATAATAGGATGTTAAAACATCAGTTAAAGTAAGAAATCCTCCAGGTGGCAGATCATAAATTTAGTTTGGATGAATATAAATAATAAAAATTACTAAAGTCATCAATCCTATAATTATAATCTTATAATCTAATCTTCTCTATCAAGTTAAAAAGTTTAAATAAAGAATATTGTTGAATTGTACTATTATAAAAATTTATGTGAAATAGAAAATAGTGGCTTTATATAATTTATGACAAAATAATTTCTATAATTATTTAATTCCCTCATATAGATTAGTTTGATTTGTATATAATTATTTTATAACATCATTTTCTTTTTTATCCTCTAATTTTGATTGTAGATCTATTTACATCATCTATTCTAACATTCCATATAAAAACAAATAATTTAGTATCATTAATATTTTTAATAATATGACTTTCTTTTTAATGGTATAAACTTTAAAATGATATTGTATCTATATATTTTTTATTTAATAATGATCTTTTATATTCTAAGCAATATTTATAGGATTTCATATAATTAATTAACAAAAAAAACTTTTTTGAATGCATCGTAACAAATTTACACAAATCATCCCAAGTATTTTATTTTATTTAGTCTACTTACTTCTATTAATGACCAGATTCTCTCATTTCAGTTTCTGTTGGCTTATAATTTAATTTAATTTTAATTCCTACTTAAAATGACTGTAGTATTTTCTCTTATAATAGTTATAATAATTACAATTGAAAGTATGTAATTTAGGATAAGTCTGGAGAATTTTTTGTACTAAATTTCAGCTATCAAATACAGATGGGAATAGCACTAAAAGTTCCTAATAATTTGATAGCTAATTATAAATTGTTTCAATCTCTTAGTTTCAATACAAATTAACTTAAATAAACTATCTATTATATGCTTTAATTACTTGTCATTTATTATATGTCTATTTTATTTCTAAAACCGAAAATCTGAATAATCCATACAAACAAAAATACTCTTTATGTAAATTCATTTTCTAAGATTTTTTGTTATTTTCTAATATATATCGTCTCAAGAGAATGTATTTAATAAAGCATAATAATATTTTGTAATGTTCCTAATTATCTACATTAAATTTTGTATAATTCTATTAAGATTTAGGTATCATTTGATTAATTAGTCTATAATGTGAATTTATATAAACCATTCATTTAATTGTTATCTACATGCAACTCTTAAATCTCAATCCTCTCCTCTTAGTTCTTAGTATATCATATATTTAAATTAACAATATTAATTATAATAACATTATTCTTTTATGATTAATTCTCATGATATTAAAAATGAAATTATTTATTTAAATTCTTATAGATCTTTATTGTAAATATTTATTCATATATATATATAAAGTAACTATCAATAATTGAATATATTGTCAACTAATAATAATGTTTTATTTACAATAATTCTTTATTTTATTAGGGCTCTATAAATATAAAATTAACAATATGAACAATTTATTAGTATAATGTTGATAAAATCTATTTTACATTATGATAAAATATGTATTTTAACTAATAAATTAAATTCTAAATTTGGAATAAGGAATTAAAATGAAAATAAAAGATACACTAATATTAGAGTGATATATGATAAATTAATATTATGTAAATAAAAAAATGAAAAAAGGTAAATAAAAGGAAATTAAGCAGAAAGATGATTTGGAATAAGTAGAAAAACCAATTGCAAAAAAAATAAAAAAGAATGAAGCAAATCCAGCTGAAGAATATTAAATGGTTGAAAAAATGCTAACATCAGATTTCTATAAAATTGATGTAGTTGAATTAGCATAGAAGTTGATTGGTAAAATAATTGTAAGATAATTACCATAAGGAGAAGTCAGAGCAATAATTGTAGAAACAGAAGCTTATAAAGGTATATTATATGATTATTGATTAATTATTAGCTCCTGAAGACAAGGCTTGTCATGCTTACAACAATAAAAAAACAGACCGAACAAAATACTTTTGGTAAGATGGTGGACATTTATATGTTTATTCAATATATGGAAATAATTATTGTTTAAATATTACATCAGCAACAAAGGATGATCCAGAAGCTGTATTGATTAGAGCAATTTAACCTTTAAGTTTTGATATCATAAAAGAGATTAGGAAAACAAAATCTACAAAATTATAGGATCTTTCAAATGGTCCTGGAAAATGTGGTGGTTGTTTACTACTTGATAAATCTCATAATGGATTAAATTTATGTGATGAGAAAAGTGGAATGTATTTGATTGATAACAATAAATAATATGAGATTGGTGTTTCATCTAGAATCAATATTGATTATGCAGAAGAATGGAAAGATAAACCATGGAGATTTTATATTAAAAACAATAGTTTTGTATCCAAAGGTTGATTTATTATATAAAATTAAATCATTTATGTTATATATGTTCTTATGAGAATTCTTTTTAAGAAACATCTAGAATAATGATAGTTAACTCTTGAATTATTTTTGGATTCTGTATGTTACATTTTGATAAATAAATTTAATATATGAAACCAAATCATTGTGACACTATATTTAAAGATGATTAGTTCCAGACTCCAACAAGATAGCAAAAAAGAGTTATAACTGAAACTACAATTAAAAAACCATTCCAATAGAAATAGAGATAATGTACTTGTAAAAAAAGCTAATGTCTGAAAATGTATTGCGATTGTTTGGCTTTTGGAGAATATTGTGGAAGTGAGTGTTCATGTTAAAATTGTCATAATGATGATAAACACCCTGAATAAAGAAACAAAGTACTTGAATAAATGGTTGAGAAGAATTCTTCTCCTTAGATCAAATGTAATTGTCGTAAAAGTAATTGTTAAAAAAAATATTGTGAATGTTATAATGCAGGAGTGAAATGTTCAGAATTATGTAAATGCGACGATTGTAAAAACAGTGTTAAATTGGGTTACAACTAATTTTAAATAGGAAACCAAAAGTTTATATTAATACCAGTTTAAACTTTTGAATAGTTGAAGTAACAATAAAAATGAACCACATAAAATTGAGTATCACATTTTTCCACATCATAAACAAATAACATATAAATTATTAAGATTTATGGTTCTCTTCTTATTTATTTATATGTAAATGTAATATTCCTTTTAATACAAATATTCATCTTTATTATTTCTCTTATTAGTTTCTAATTAATAATACTAATCTTTTAAAAAACAAATTTATTAATTAATATTTTTAATATGATATTATTAATAACGTCACTCTTAACATTACTCAATTTAGATTGTATTACATAAATAATAACATTATTCACCAGACATTATTATTATACTTTGTTTATTATAAATAATTATTTAACTCTGCAAATAAAAGTTATTTTTTAAATTTAATTGAAGGAAATCAATGCTCATTTATCATATTTTTGAAAGACGAAGTAGTAACAGGGCTATTATACTTTAGTGTTTCTTCTAAATACTTGAATTATTTAAGTCAATTTATTTTTTAGGGGAATTTTGGATTAGAATTGGAATCTAATTGGAGTTTAAATAATTCTAAATACACTTTTATCTATCAAAAAGGATGTGGCTAATGATTTAAAATATGATAATCGTAAAGTTAAAGTTGGAGATCTCACTTTTTTGAGACATATAAGCTTATGTATTTTATATTTTCTATTCATTTCAATATTTTGAAATCAAGCTTAAATGATGAATAATCCATTTTTTAGTTATCAAGATGATTCATTTTTGGAAAAAAAGAAGATAAATAATTTGAAAATATTTTTATTAAATATCAAGTAGATTAATGTTGAGCTATACATTAATACACTTATGTAAGAGATAAGAAAATAACATACAATAAGTTTGTTTGGTTTGATAAATATTAAAATAATACCTTCATAACCCTAGAGTATCATATTTATAGAAGTAATTACTGATAATAATGAAATAATACCTTTAGATTATTGTATATAATATTAAATTATTTTAGATCCACCAAAGTTTTATACTAAGTTTAATATTTCTACTTGGATATTAATTCTAATTAATGTAAAAATATTACCTTAATTACATATTGTGTGTTGTGAATAACAAAAGAGCTAAACAAAATTTTGATGTAACCATGTGATAAAATGAAATACATTATAATTTATGAATTAAAGATCCACTATATCTATGATCATCATTTTTTAATTAAGTATCAGTATTTAGTTAAGTGTAATTGACTATTTTTAATAAAATTATTAATGAGAAAAAAGCCTTTTAAGGATAACGGAATATATCTAGAAAAACATGCAAAAGCTTTGTTAGATTATTAGTAAACATCAGATGAAGAAGATGCCAATACTTAATCTAAATATCGAATCAAAGCTATCAAATATAAAAATAATCTCTTAGAATCATAAGAAGTAATCAAAGCATTAAAAATTGAAAATTAAGAAAGTGTAATTGATAAGAATTTATAAATTAGAAAAAAATTATAAGTGAATTACTCTTAGATATTGAAGAAATGAAAGAAAAAGAAAAACAACTAGAATCTGAATTAAAAGAATAAAAATAACTAACATAATCAGCAATTGAATAATTGGAACAAGAACTCTAAGAATCTGTAGAAGATAGATTATTGTAAGAACAAAAGCAATTCTAAGAAAAGCTCACTATCTAATCTAATGAGGCTATAGAAAAACTTAAGAAACATTTTGATGAATAACTCCAGATTATTGCACAAACACCAAAAGCTGCTGCACCACCTTCCAAAAAAAAAAAGAAAAAATAAACCTCATCTAGTACATCTAATTTAAGACCATAAAGTTAAAATACAGGAAGATCTCCTGCTTCAGTTTCCAAGAAAAAAAAAAAATGATAAACATAAATAAAATTATTTATTATTATATTAATGTAAGCAAATTTACCAGGTGGAAATGGTCATCTCAAGCCTAGTTTAAAATTAAATTAAATTGTCTATCTTGGTGCTCACAATTCCCCTATGTCAAAATGTTATGGATGGGTATATGCTTAACAAAATGTAACAATAACAGAATAGTTCGAAACTTATGGTGCTAGGCATTTCAAAATTCCATTACATTGGCATGTATAAGATGGAATACCTTAAGTATTTTTATTTAATTAATTAGATTGTGGTTGCACATGAGGGAGATGGGGGTTCCAATTGCAAACTTAGTCTTGTATAGAGAGCTTTGAAAAATCCAGAAAAAGCCATAGAACGTCTTAAAGAATTATTTGATTTAGCATTCAAATATCCTAATGAAATAATGATTGTGAAACTTGAGAGTAAATTATTATGTAATACAAAAAATAATGGGACATTTGGATGGGATCGAAGCCTAATTACTAAAATGTTGCATAGTTTATTAGTCGAACTCAAAGGAGAAGAAAGAGCTATAACATTTTAAGAAAATGATCCACCTACTTTAGGTTGGTGTAGGGAAAATCAAAAGAATATATTAATTACAATTGAGCCAAGAGAATAAGTTGTAGAAGAATTATAAAATTATACATATTATTCATATAGAATAGGAGCTCAAGTAGATTGGGAAACTGATCCTTTAGAGGATGTTAAAACTGGTAAGGTATAGAGAGGAGTAACAAATAAGAATGATGGATCTATTTGGTCACCTTTTTTAGAAATTCATTTAAATCCTGAAAATTCTTTTAAGTAAACATTTCTCTATATTATTTAGACCAGATTACTAATATAGAACTAAATATAATTTCTATTAACATGTAAAAAAACGGTTTTTACAATATTATCATCATTGTAGAAAGATGCCTAATTTTGTTGTTGCTGATTTCTTAGATTAAGGAGATGCTTCAATGTTTGTGGATGATGTTAATCAAATTATTAATGAAAATGATGGTTTTAAGCCAGAATTATTTTGATTTCTATGATAATAATTTCATTATTTGTATATTTTCATAAAGGATATTATTCAACAATTTTACAAAAAATGTTGAATTTACCTTCTTGATTAGGAATTAATAGTTTCGCTAAATATAGAAATTAGATTATCAATTGAAATCTTTAATTACTTTTTTTAAGTAAAAAATATTGTTATTTTTGAGTTATATTATAATTAATAGAATTCTAATTATGAAATTACTAATATTTAACACTATCAATAAATATTGTTTTTGTTTTAATCATTATAAATTTCATATACTCCATAAATTATTATATACAATAAAGATAACCAAAATGTTATTTGTTTTTAATTAATAATATTTATTGATTAAATAGTTGATAAAAATTATTTATAATATATTTCTATTAAATTTAATTAAAATTATTAAATTACTTTATGCTTTATAGTATTAATATCATTTTAACAAGAGTATCTTATAAATAAATAAAATAGATTAGTACTTATAGAGTTTATCTATTAATCTAATCATCTAATTGATTAAAAATACAAATAAAAATTTTAAATTTACAAATTAATATAATTAATATGCTTAAAATGAATAAAATGCATCAATCTGCTGTGTATGCTAATCTTGTATAATAATCTGATCCTTTATTGCTATTATGTGGATGGCAGCAAAGACAACAAGTCATTATGACCATCAATCCAAACACTGATGCTATAGAGATCAGAATAGCACCTGTTGTATTAAATGCACTTTCAAAGTAGGTAAGCATTGCTTTGTAACAAGGATTACTAGAAAATATAAGAATCAAAAGCATACTTATAGCTTTTAACTTTTGAATTTACATTATTAAATTATTGAATAGGATATCCTGTACACCACCCAGAACATTCCAATTTTTCTTCCATCCATGAGAGAGCTGATGCTGACAACTTATAATCTTTATTAAATCCAGGGCATTCTTATACTTAAGTTGGCTAAAATGAGATTATTTTATTATATATACTTTTGTTTTATCACTAGGTGTGTAATTTTTGACAGCTGATTCAACCTATTTATTCATTTCTTATGAGTAATAACACTAACATGATTCCTTACAAAGAGTTTTTTCAGCCATACTGTATAAATCCTCAATTTATTATACACTTTATTCTTTTAGGCAATCTTTATCTTAAAATAGACTTCCAAAAACATAAGCTACCAAAGAAAGAGATAAGAAAGCCAAAAACAAACAAATATTTCCCAAATTAAATATTGCTAATAAGCATTTACTCCTATGTTTGGCTCCACATAAACCACTAATTGCAAAGAATATAACAATTGATGCAAATATCCAAAATGGCACCACAATCACACTAGTATCTATATCTGTCTAAATTATATAAATCAATCATACTATCCCAAGATCCTTAAGTGCACTATCAAAAGCCTTTTATATCACTGTGATTATAATAGCAGCTACAATGGCTAAAATACCAATCACAAAGGTTAACCATCCTTCTAATTAAACGAAGCATTTGAGACATCCATAAGGTAAACACATATTTTATTATTTTAATTAATGATACCACTTTACAATGAATTTTTGATTATATATTCTAAAATAATTATCAAAACTAATTGTATATTGATTCGAAATTTATTCAACTATAGTTTAATAATCTTTCCATAAAAAAAATCTATATTTTTTCATTATGTAAATTTTTAATAAAATCATATTGAAATTCATTAATTCAAATTTTATCCTCAAAAATATCATAAGTTTTGATTTCATTCAATCTCTAAATTAAAAAAAAAAATTGAAATTAATTAAAGAGAACATAAATTAATCACTTTCGGTTAGGAAATTTGAAATTGAAAAAAATCATAAAACTCTTTTTGGACACATGAGGATATTTAATATTCATATAAAATTCTAATATACTATTATTCTATTCTTCTATTACACTGATATCTCTTACTTGTATATATTTATATTCAATCTGATTTTTACAGAGAAAGTAGATGTAATTATAGATATTCGTTATAGAATATTTTAATATCTCCAAACGATAAAATAAAAATTTAAGTGAGCTTGATTAATTTAATATGTTAATAAGGTATAGAATATTTATTTTGAAGATTTATTCACTAGCCATGATATAAATTTATTAATATATTCATGATAATTAACAAAAGTAATATTCTTACAATAACGATAAATTATGATAACAATCATCATAAATATATAATTTTAATCTCTTTTTCTAGGACAAATTAGAGTATAAATTATTGAGAGTATTATTGTTTTATAAATTTTATTTTTTGTTTGAATAACAATACAATAAAATGAATTTCAAACATAATACTTACATAAGAAATTAATTATAGCTTTTTAATTATATTAGATTAATTAAATAATCTTCAATAAATGGCCTCTTAAACTATTCCAAAAGATTTGATAATTATACAAATGATGAAAGGTTGAATATCGATTTTTATTTACGAATAGCTTGTAGCTAATGATTTATGCAATAAAAGGAAATCATGTTTGTAAAGAATAGAGAAAGAGTTTTAATTTATGCAGATCTACTCCACTAGGAAAGTATGTAGAACCTGAATTTTGTAAAGATAATGCAATGTCACTTATTGATTGCTTTTTAAAAGTGTAATATATTGTATTCATTTATATATTTATAGACAAAGAAATACTAAATGTAACTAATCCTTTTAGAAAGTATTTGAAATTGCAAAAACAGGTTAGTATGCATAGGAAAGTTTAGAGGATTATTTGAAATGTTGATTAATTTCATAAAATAGTATCCAAAATAATAATCTAAGTCAAATACTCTATTTCTTGTAAAATTCAGTTTATTCTTTTTGAATGGCACCTCAAATTTAATTATAATAAATAACCTAATTATTATTTTGATTAAGAGTCAATACCCTCAATTAGATTTATCAATAGTATAAGTTTCTTAAAATTAATGATAAACATAATATATTTATAACTTCTTAAAAATCATAAAATAACCAAGTTATATATTTCAAATTATTTACTTATATTTTCATTCATTCATCCTTATTAATATAATTATTTTTTTTGTAAATTTCTATTTTATAATAGAAATACTAAAAGATGGAATGAATATTGAGTAGGATTAATTCTCTTAAATCTTAAGAATGATCTATTTAAATTAATAATAATATTTGAATATATAGGAGCCATCATTATATACAAAAATAATAAGATCACACTTTATCATTGATAGAAAAGTTCAAAATTTCTTAACATTCATTAAATAATTCATCTTCTTCTTCAGTGTCAACAAATAAGAATTAATATATGCTGAATTCATTAATTAGTTTTCTAATAATGAGTAATTTAAATCCTTCAATTTCAATATTTGGTTCTGATACACTTGTATCTTCAGGTGATTTTTTTAATTCTCCTTCATTCATAATGGTTTATGAAATTTATGGACTTCTTTCACAAGACTTAAATTATGTCTCAATTCCTTAACCAGTTATCCTTAATACAAATTGATATAAAATGTTAATTAATCCTTTTGAGAAATGACGTAAGGAATTAATTGATATTCTAAATATTCTAGCATATTCTCCAGGTAAAATATATATTGATTAAATTTAGAATGCAAAGTAACCTAAGTTTATCACTAATCGACTTGGTCGTTTACTTACACAAAATTATTTCACTAATTGTAAAGAGAATATTCTAATCATCACTTATTTATTTGTCTCAAGAATTTCTTCAATCAATTAAGTATATGTTTAATTTGGTTTCTTCAATTTAAGTAATAATGATTATCCTTATCCAAAAAAATACTTTCTCACTTTCTCTTAATAGTATTATATCTGTTATAATAACTTATTCATATCTCTTTAACCATCATCTTTGATCATTCTTAAATACTTCAATAATTTTCTTGATTTAACATTAAACTTATTCTAATAAATATTAAACTAAAATATTACAAGTAATTGCTATATACACTCTGTCTCATTGATGCCACTGGTATTCTTTATCAAAATATATGATAATGCAGTAGTAATATATTTAGTTTTTACATTCTGATCTAATAACTTTATTTAATGAAGTATTTGGGATCTTAACTCTTATAATTGATCCTTATTTTATAAAATCAAACTCTTACATTTGTTATCCAATCAAAAATATAACTCAGAGTACTTAATTACGATTCTACTTAAATATTTATTTATTAATCATTAGAGTGAAATCTCGATTCTTTCTGACCCACAAAGTATTCATTTTCTACGTATTCATTGTTTCTTTCTAAAAAAACATACTCCTTTTAATTCATACCAATAGTAATTTATATTAAAATTAAATCATTATGCCCAAATATGGGTTTATAATTAATTATTTCACTAATTAAATATGATGTAAAATAAAATGTCCTCTTTAGATAGTTCTTATTATAAGATAACAATATTTAACTTTATAGAAGAAATTATTATTTATTTTTTTGTATTTCAATGAAATGCTTTTAAATTCTTCTCTTCATTCATTATAATAATCTACTATTTAACACAAAATATTATCTTTTTAACAAATATATATCATATAAAACATTAAATTATTGCAGTATATTTCCTATATACAAAATATAATGATATAATAAATATTAAGAACTGATTTTATTATCATTTTATCATACTTAATAAATATCAATTACTTCATCTTTCCATTATAAATTAAATATATATTTCACAGAGAATATTTGTTGTATGACATAATATTTTAAAGTTTTGACAATAAATTAAATTCAATACTTATCTGAAATATTATTATTAAAATTAAAAGTGGATAACCATCTTATTTTTAAAATATAATAATTGTAAATTTATTATACCTATGTATTTTCAGATTCTTGGTAACAATTATTAATTAATTCTTTTATCTTTTCTTACTTTTATTCTATTCTATTTATTTTCAAATGTTTAATTTAATATGAGTTTTTAATATTTAGATATGAAATAAAGCTATATATATAACTTATTGCAATAGTATTTATATTCTATTCTTGAAATATACAATATTTAATATATTTCTTCTTTAATTTTAATTTGTATTGATAAATAATTAAATATGAAAAAACAATAAATTGATACCGAGGAAATAGTGAAATAAGTTTTATCTAATGTTACAGAATCCTTCGATGAATTAAAACAAAATTTTGATTGGTAACTAGGAATTGATGAAGCTGGTAGAGGACCTGTTATTGGACCAATGTTGTATGCTGCATGTTATTGGCCCACTAAATATCATAAATTGATTTCAGAAACTTGTAAATTTGTAGACTCTAAGTAAATTAATGAGGCAACTCGTGACAGATTATTTGATGTGTTGACTCAATTAAAGGGAAAGGTGTTAACATTTGAAACAAGAGAATTAACCGCGGAATATTTATCAAAAAATTAATTAGCCCACCTAACAATTAATTTAAATGATATATCTCATAATACTGCTGCAGACCTTATTTAAAATGCAATTATAAAAGGATATAAAATAACAGGTAATTTATCGTATTAAAAATAGAAATTTATGTTGACACTGTTGGTCCAAAATAAACATATCGTAATTTTTTATAAGGAAAACTGCAAGAATTGGGAAAAGTAGCAAATATTGTTGTAGAAGAGAAGGCAGACTCAAAATATGCAAATGTAAGTGCAGCCTCAATTTGTGCTAAAGTTACAAGAGATTATAAAATAACATAAATATAATAAGAAATATTGCCTAATGATTCTATTGGATCAGGATATCCAGGAGATCCTAAAACCAAAAAATATTTGGAAAATACAAATATACGATTTTTTGTATTTCCAAAATATATAAGATTTTCATGGTAAACCATTAAAACCATAATAAATGATCGAGATTTGAATATAGATTATAAGGATGAATAGGAAGCATCAAAATAAGTATAAAATCTAAAAACTTACTTTCCTTTATAAAACCAAGCAAAAATTTATAATTATAAATCTGTAACATTTTCTAATTGCATACTCTGAGTTAAAATAATTAATAAATATATTTAAAATGTTAAAATAATTTATTATTATATAATATTTCCATATTCTACTAATTATAATCGAATTTTAATCTAAGATTTAATTGAATTAATTAATATATTTAGTTAAATATATGTTCTATTCTATATTATATTTGTAGTAGAAATAAAAAAAATAATTTATTATTATCTTTAAGTTTATTTTGTCTTATAAGTATATATATATAAATCCTCTAACTCTAAGTTAATCTATAATTGTCCATATAAATAATATGTAATTAATAAAAATTAGATTTTTTATTTTATTATGATAATATCTATGATTCAAAATTTGCAAATTTAAGATAATATTGATAATGAATATAATTTTATTTATTAACAACTTTTCTTTTAAAAAAATAAAATTTATGTAAAATTAATACTTTGTTAAAGGTTTAGGATTTGCTTAAAGATAGGAGCCCCAAGAAACAAGATCATATGGGCGAATAAAAAAGACTCCTTATTCAGCTTATAATAACAGAAGTTACAATTCAGTACGTGGATATTTTTTAATTTAGCATTATCGTGATCTCAGGATTTGTAATGATCGCTTTAAGAGATTAATACATATAGTCAATAATGCAATTAAAAATTAAGCAGCTACTATGTTTAAATATTTAAGGTGTATTTAATTTTTAAAGATAGCATTTATGTTCAAAATAAATAGTAAGAAGAGATTAAAGCATAATAAAGAGTTATTTAGGAAGGACTATTAAGATTTTAGCATGCAATATCATTATACAATTAGCGATTAAAATGTTTAGGCTTTTTTCGTCTAGCAAAGGTTGATGTGGTATCACATTTGAAAAAAGAATTAAGAAATTAAATATCATAAAATTAATAACCAATTACCCATTAAATCTTCAAGAAATGGATGTAATTAACCTTTGAATCTAAATTCAATAAACTATTAAAATAATAGAAATTGAATATGATAGGTTTTTATAAATTTACTCTAAATAAAATACTAACTAAACAAGAATGTTTAAAAGCATGGAGTTTCAATAAATTAAAAACTTCACATAGAAAATAAATTATAAATAAATTAATAACTAACTTAGGTTTATAGATATTGAGATTGAGTTTATTTGATTCCGAATAAGGCACCTATTAATATTTAAAGAAGCCTAAAAATTTAGAAAAAATAATTGCATTTTAAAAGTTAAAGCATTATTAATATTTTAATTCTAATCAGCATTATTTTATATTAATCTTCACTAATACCATCAGTAACATCATTAAATTACATAAGATAGTAAATTAAATGCATTGAGAACTTTGTTCATATAATCCATTAGGATAATAGATAAAGAAGCTGATAATACAGTACCTAAAGAGTAATTACAATAATTTGACATTGAATTAGCTAGATAATCTGTGCACTCTAAATTAGAGCATTAAAAAGTGTTATAAAGATAGTTAAAACAAATAGATTAAAAATCTCATAGAGGCATATGTGAAATGATAAAATATCTAGTAAATAAACAACTCTATAAAATATTTTATTAAATAAAAGGATTGAAATAGGTTTAAGACACAGAAGTATAAGATGGGACAGTTAAAAATTTAGTAAAATGTGATTTTTATTCAAGAGTGTTATAGCAGCTAGACTAAGTTAAAAAATAAAAGCAAAAAATGGAAAATCATAGAAACTTGAGATAATTTATCGTTTAGAATAGATTTTTCGAAGAAATTATCATAATGAATAAGAAATACTTAGAAATAAATTTAGATAATGGTAAATTAATGTAACTTTTCCTATTTCTATGTATCATGATTTTGAAATCAGATTGAGAGTTTTAAGAAATGAAAAGGTTTATTTATAATAATATTAAATAATAGGAAGCAATTATGAGTGATATTGAATAATTAGAAGTTCTTAATAATGAATTACTTATTACAATGAATTAAGTCAAAAAAACATTTTTATCTGAAGAATCTAATTTTAATACTTCTCATAAAAATGAATAAAAATAAATAGAAATATAACGATTTGATATTTAAGAAAATTTAACATCATAAAAAGAATTCAAGATAGCTTTTGAATATGTAGATTATTTAAAAGAAGATGTACATTTTAATATATAATATAGAATATTAATTTAAAGAAATAAGCTCAAAAGAATGAATAATTGATGCTCGAAGAAATCTAATAATTGGAATAATAATTATAAGTATTAAAATCATTTATATTATTTACTTAGGAACTATAAAAAGAATTAGACAGTTGAATCTTGCTTCAATTTATTTTTTATATTTGTCAATTACAACTTATTTATTAAATTTAATGTTCAATTTTTGAAATCTGATTATAAATATTTTATGTAGTAAAACAGAAACTAGTAGAGTACTTAAAATATATCAAAATCACTTCGACCTTCATCTAGAAGAGTTGTCAAACCAGAAATACATCTAAATACTAATTTCAAGTCTTTAACTAATATACCTTAATTAACTACCAGAATATAAGAAAAGTAGTTTTAAATAAAACATAGTTTCAATGAAATTAATAATGAAACATCAATTAAAAGATCTAATTATCATTCTATCTTAAATGAAAAAAAAATTTCTTTAATAAGTAACACTGATCGAGATTCTGATCATAATTTTAGATTTAAAGAATTCAAATTGAATAATTTAGATAAAAGTTAACCTAAAGGAATATTAAAATCCATTAATTCTAAAAGTAAAGATCATTCTAATAATGATCTGAATGAAATTCATGAAAATGAAGAAGAAAAATCAATTCTTACTAAAAGAATTAAATTTTCAAGCTTAAAACCAATCAAAAATTCATTTGTCTAAGTGAGTCCAGATTTTATTTAGAAACTCTCTCCTAAAAGAGTCTCTTTTAATACATAAGTACATATTAAAGTAATAGAAGAGAAATTTTAATTTAAACCAAAACGATATGTATTGGCTGATCTTATTGATAATATTTGATTACATTTTCAGTACAATTATTTAAAAATATTTTCCAATTTTTTTTATATATTTCATATTATATTTAAATCTTAGGTTATTCATATTCTTAAAATGATATCAATCAAAAATCATTTAACTATGATCAAAGCTCTTTCTAGAAGGAAATATTTACATTTTACTAAATAGTTTTGTAAAATAAAAAATATAAGAGATTTATTCAATTATATTGGTTTCTTGATAAAATTAATATTTTGAAATGAAGCTCTTAAAATGATTTTCATAATTAATCTAAAACTTAAGATTCATTTACAGAGTCTAGAAAGTTGTCTCATATTTTTATTCTTAATACACATATCAATTTTGTTGTTGAATATTCATAAGATATAGAATATTATTAGAATATTAATTGAAATCTAATATCGTCATCTCAAGGTTATATAAGTCTTGTCGTTTACTATGAAATTAGATAATGATACTAAAAATTAGATATAATTAGTGAGATTAATATAGATTTAAAGATATAGAGAGAACTTCTTCCTGTTAAACTATTTAAATAAAAAACTAAATTTTTAGTATACAAATCATTATTTTCTAACATATGATTATAGAAAGATATCTTCCCTCTCTATATCTGTTGTTTCAAATCCAGAGACACTGAAATCAAGAGATGGTTTTTTTTTTATTGTTTTCTTATTTGTACTTTTTTTCAAAAATTGTAATTCTTATAATGGTTATGTTTTCTAGCAGTTTTACAATTTAAAAAAATGGAAATCATTCATGACAGGTCTCGAATTCACTTTTGGTGATATAGAATTCATTTTAAGAGAGATAGAAAATGAGTTTTTGGAAATATGGTTTTTGTTGAAAGTTAATGCTCTTGATCTAGTCAATTATATTTTTGGTAAAGCCCCTTAAAATTAAAAATCTGATTTATATAATGATTAACATACCGATTGAAAGAGTTCTTTTGGCTCTTTGTGTTAAATTTATAAAGCAAGACATTATAATTAAATATGCACTGTATAATAATATCAATAATACACCTTTTTGGTCATCACATTATAGAAATCCTCAAATGTCATCTTACCATCTTAATTAGAATCAGTTTTTTTAAAGATCTTCTTTTATTAGATAATTTACTTCTGCTAAGACTTCTTCATCAATTTCCTCTTTCAAATCTTTATATACTACTTATCTTAAATCTTGAAGAGTTATAAAACCTTTATTATTTTTATCATATTTCCTATATATCCTCCTTATAGTATCCTTTCTTTCTGATTTAGATTTATCTTGATTCAAAATACCAAGAAAATATTCAAAAGTAATTCCTCCTAATTCATCTTCATCTAATTCTGAAAAAATCTCTAAAAAGGTAATGATAGAACCTTAATACCATATAGAGTCTCTTTAGTTGGATGATATCCAAAACTTGAAAGCAATTACTCTAAATCATTAGGTGATAATATGCCAGCTTATTCAGAATCATAATAATCAAAAACTTGTTTGATATCTATAATATCAGATTCCTGTAATAGATAGCTACATTACTTTGAGATCTTTAGTTACAAATTTCTTTGGATTAAATTCATTAGGATTTCCACCTTTAGCTGATGTTCTTTCATTTGCAATTTATTTTCTAATTTATCCACCTTAAGCTAGAGCATTATTATGAGATTAATTAATCTTCATTCTTGCTCTGATTGATTCTCTATTTTATGGAATTCTATTAGTTGAAATGCTTGATTCATCTAATTAAGTATTTGGACTGTCCCTCATAATAGATTAATTAGTTCTAAACGGACTCTAAAAAATTCAATATTTTAAGTTACTTATGATTTTCTTTGATTTCTCATATTATATTATTTTTATTAAATATTTCATAGTATCAGATTCATAATTTTATTCTATTTTAAGTGAGAACTTTGAATGGTTATTAGTTTTAGTATTTATCAAATGGGTTATTTTGAATTTTGAGAGAGTAGTTCACATTGTAATTTAGAAATAAGAGAATAAAATTTATTTAATGGCAAATATTTTATCAAAATTGATTATAAATAAATTTGTATAAAAATATTTTATGTATCTAACTTGAATGAGAATTTATGGATTTATATAAGGGTTTATAATTTTTTGAGAAAAGAATTGATAAAAATTTAATGTCTCATAAATTATTTTATTTTAAATCTTTTATTTATTTATTTATGAATCAGCCTTAATTTTAGGCACTCCCTTCATATGATAATTTGGATATGATAAGGAAGACCTTTCCACCATTGGAACATATAAATTTTGATCATGAATTTAAGAATTAGGAAAAAAGCAAATATTTCATCATTCGTACTTAAGGCGAAGATAATGTACATAGAGCCATGAAATATGGCATATGGACCAGGTAGTTTTCAATTTTATGAACCAGCTCTTCTCGAAAGAATGAACGTTTGAATGAAGCATTTTCATAAGGAGATGTTTATCTCTTTTTTACTGAAATAAACAGTCTTTGTTTTAGTGGGATGGCCAAATTGACGTCAGGATTTGATCCTAAATCGCATTTTAAATATTGGTTAATTGAGAACAAATGGTTTGGCTTATTCTAAATAAAATGGGTAAGCACCTTTGCTTAATGTAGTTATATGTAAAGGATCTTCCTTTTAAATTATTTGAGAATATCAAATAAATCCAAAAATTTGAAGGAAGTGATGAAACAATTAAATCAGTTTATGATTTGATTGATTGTACTGAGTTAACATTAGAAAACGGAATTAAAATGGTTGAAATTTTTAAGAAAGAGGAATCCAAAAAAAGTTTATTTGAAGATTTCTCTTAATTAGATAAATTAGAAGTAAGTATTATAAGTAATTAGAATCAAAGTAGATAATAAAGAGATTCCAATCCAAATTTTGAAAAGAAATTTGAAGAATTAAGAGCAGTATTTGAAACAATTCCTTATTCATTTTCTGCTGCATCATATGAGAGAAGATAACAACGTAAACCTCAATATGGATATTATAATTATGGTATTATTCATGTATTTATTTTAAGGATATTATCAATAACCTTAATATTGGTAATCCAATAGTGGATTCTATCAATAAGAATAATATTAACAATATCCATATTAATAATATCAAAACAAATATTAAGATTAAACAGATCAAAAATTCAATAAGAAAGAGACTTAACAACCTGGTAATTTAGAGGATAAATTTGAGATGTAATAAAATAGAAAATATAAATATGATAAAAAGAAAAGATTCAATAATCGTAATAACTAATAGATTGAGTATGTTTAAAAGTATCAATAAGAAACAATAGTATAGTAAAACATATGAACATTAAAATTAAAAAAAGTCAATAATATTCAAATTTATTACACTTTTTAGTGTTATCTTCTTTTATGCAAATCATCATTCTAAATTAATAAAGCCTTTTATTCAAGTGGTTACAAATTAATATCTATTTAAATCAAACAATTTACTTTTATTGTTCTTATTTGGAGTGGCTAGGGATAAATTGCTATTATTCGAATACCCATTATAATTATATTAACTATGCTAAGTTTAGACAGAATTGTCCCTATTATCAATAGGACTAAGAATAATTTTTTGATTTAATTTTTTCTCAATAAATTGTTAGTTTACTTAATCACTCTAATAACGTTATTTTCCTTCTTGTTATTCGAGCAATTAGTAATTCTATTTTATTTTCTCTGCCACTAAATATCCCTTATCCAATTAAGGTTAACTAATTCCATTTTGTTTTTGTTAAGATTCTATTTATTATTCTATATAATTACCTTTTCTAGGTATCCTAGGAGAAACAAGTCTTTATCTATTATCTTATTCATATTCAAAGAATTATTATCGAGAATTAACTTCAAGTACTCTTTCTGATTTCTCTAACTCAATTAAATCCATGGCTTAATTTTATTATAAAAATACCTTGTTTATAAGGAAGAGCTGGAAAGTTGACTTTTTTTGCTTTAAAATTGAATGGAGGAATTTTATATTCTTGAGCATCTTCATCCCATTCACTTGCAGCTTATAAAGTCTCCAATTCCTTTTAATTAAACATCATCTTGACTAAACCTATATATAGTTTAATCTCCTTTTACTGATTTCTTATAGTTTCTAACATATCTTCTTTTTCATTTTCAACTTCTAATTTTAAATCCTTTTATTCAATTGTAGCTTCTTCTAGTTTTTTTCTTAAATATTTAATTAATTTCCTAAGTTTCTCAACTTCCTCTTGTACATTTTAATATTTAGTTTCAATTTCTAGCATTTCTTATTATTGTTGTTCTTATTATTATATCAAAGCTTCGTGTTCTTTCTTTTATTAATCAACAGCTTATCTTAATTTTTTGTATTTCTTTTTATCATCTTCACTTCCCTTTCCACCTTGAACCATCATTTATTCTTTCTCCTTAAGTAATTATTCTAATCTCTACCTAACTTATCTTTCTTATTCAACCTTCAATTCTTTTTCTTTCATTTCTTGTTCAAATTTTTCTTTTTCTTATTGTAGTTAATTGTTTTTTTCTTTAAATTGATTCAACTCCTTTAATTTTTCCTCTGAGTGTTCTGCAGATGGTAATCCTTACTTTTCTCTTAATAATCTATCATTTTCTTCCTTTAATCTAGAAATCTCGGCATTGTTATTGTTTTCTGGTTTAGCTATTAAGGATTCTATAGAAATAGGTTATCCAGCTGCTTATCTTGATAGTAATTCTTTAAGTTTTTTAATTTCTTCAGCTTACTCTTTTAATAAAGCATCTTTTGGATCCTCATTAACTTTAGGTTAATTTTTAATCATCTTTGCTCTTGAAGCATACCTCAAACTAGACATAGTCTCATCATAATTAAAATCAGATGGACTGATTGCAGCAATCATAATTGTCTTAGTATTACCTCCTAAAGAATCTTACAATAATCTAGTCAACTTTGAATCTCTATAAGGAATGTGTGAAGTTTTTCCATCTACTAATGCTGAAATTACATTTCCTAATGCAGATAATGACAAATTAATTTTAGTAGCCTCTTTTAATCGATCTCCTGTTGCTTATGTTTTAGATTATCTTTCACTTCCTGCCAAATCAACTAAATTCAATTTTCCTGCTGTTATTCTCTCATTTCCTTTTGAATCAGTAAGAGAACATTCAATATATACAGTGAAAATGCAATGACTTCTACTTGATTCTTTATTCATAGCTGTTGCACCAACAGATCTATTCTAAGTACCTATTTACATATATTTATCCATCTCTTAAGTAGTTCTTACCACAACAATATTGAGATCCTTTATAAATACTCCCTGTTATCCCTCTTTTAGTTCATATTTCTATTTTACATCTTTGCTCAACAAATCATGAATTTCTTCATTATAGATTTCAATATATGAACATCTAAGAAGGAACTTTTTATTTGAATCTGAATTATTGTTGATAAGACTTATTATTTAATCAAAGGTCCTTGGTATTATACCTTTCATGTTTTCCTAAAATTGAGAAAAGATCTTACATTTGTTGGATCTCCTATCATTGTAAAAGTTTTGCCACAACCTAATACTCTTAAATTCGAATTTACCTGTTTAACCATATGCAAATATTGTTCCATTATAACCATCAGCAACAGATTCAACTAAATTAAAAGCTGTTTTCTAATAAATTGATAATTATGGAGTTTCAGCTCCAAACACATAATCATAAGTAAAATTCTTCAATTCATTATCTTGACTCTGATTAATCAAATATATAAACTAATTACATTTCGCAATTCAAGACTATTTGTATCTTCATTTACTAATACACATGGTTTACTTCCATTTTCCTTCTCTCTTTAATTAAATGGACGCATTCTCACTATAACTTTTACACATTCAGCAGGCATTATTTTATAATTAATTAATTCTTTTAGTATTTTTATTATCAAAATCTTACAATAAAGAGTAGAAATTTGAAAAATATTAATTTATTTAAAGAGTTTTAAAATTAAATACAAAAGATAACTTGTTCGTTTTTTATAAAATATTTTCAAAATACTAAAAATTTTGAATATAATTAATAAAATCTATAGCAAAATTTTATTTAAATTAATTTCTCTACTTAGGGAAGTAATGCCCTAAGAAAGATTAAGAATTAATATCTAAAATCTGGAAATATTACTTTTAATAAGTTTTATTTTTTCAAAGTAAAAATTAAATATATAAAAGGATTAATTGAAGTTATGATAATAGCATTTAAAATAATTTAATTTATCTCTTTTTAATTAATAATAATAAATAACTTTTTTATTATAACATTTTTAATTAAGTAGAATTAAGTAATATAGATCATTTTAGATTAAATGATAAATAGATATTTTTAAATAATAGAAAATTTATAATAAATCTTTAATGATTAAGAATTCTAGGATAACTGTTTTAGATTTAAATAATCATAATATTAAATTTTTATATCAAATGTATAATAAGATCAAGATTACATTGAATTTTAAAGTTCATGAATTGATTTAGCTTTTTCTAAATAAGAGATTAATTTTCCACTTTAAATTATATCTCTTACTAACTTAATATCTTCTAGTGTTATATTTTCTTTAAAATGCATCAATTATTTTATTTACTATTAATATTATTATCTTTCTTCTTCAAAATTTAATTACTCATCAATTTATATATTAGAACTCATCAAAAGTTTTAATTACTCAGCTTTCATTTATTCAATTTACTTTTTTAAATCATTTAATTCATTTTGCATTAATTTTTTCTCATATAGATCCTAATTTCCCTCTTAATACTCTTCCATTTATTGAATGGATCTTTACATTAATTCATTTACTTTCTCTTATTCTTCTATTAATTTCTATTTATAATTTTCCAACTCTCTTATTAAAATATAATCACATCCAATTATAGCTAATTCTTTATTTTTTTTTACTAAGATATCAATTTCAAAATTTTTATTTTCTTCTTTTAGTTCAATAAGCTAACATTTAATTTCATCTTCTTTTATTAATATCTACTTTTCCTTATAATCAATAATTTATTTTTATTGAGATAATTAATCTCTTTCTTTAGTAACCTACTCCAAACTTATTTTTATTTCCTGAATTTCGGCAGAAGTTAAATTTAATTTATTTTGGTTTTCTATTTTTTCTTATTAATATAGTTATTTATATTATTCCATAGCTTTAGCTAAATCTTAATTTTCTTATTCTAATTATTTGATTTCAACATTTAATAGCATAATACTTTATTAAAATTCATTCCCAAACTCTGTTATGGCTTATTAATATTATTATGTTTATTCTGATATTTTTTTATTTAATATTCTTATATTATTTTTCAAATCATTAATATCTTCCTAATTATTTAAATTAGTTCTATTTTCATATTCAATTTATTTAGAAAATTATTATAAGGATTCCCAATTGATTTAATCTTATTAAAAGGTTAATAATTATTTTTCTTTACTCTCTATTTCTTGATTTAAATTAATTATTCTTTCATTTAATGTTTATATTATAATTTTATCATTTTCTATTTACAATTTCATTTAAAGAACATTTTAATTTTCTTCATTATCAGTTGCAATTTAAAGTTTTTGAATCTAATTATCTTTCAAATATAGTTCTTCTCTATATTTTTGAGAATCTAAATTTAGAATTGAAATTTTCTCTTTCAATTCTTATATTAATTGTTTATCTTATTACCTTTACTTAAATAATTCTTAATTTTATTAATAATAATTAATTTATTCTTTTGAAACAAATTTTGATTCCATTTCTTATTAAATTTACTTTATTTTATTTTCAAAATCTTTCTTTTATTTTTTATTTTATCCTTCTAATATTGAAAATTCTTCTTTATATTTATTTAAATTCTTTTCCATAAATTCTTTTTATGCTCTTTCTTATTAAATCAAATTTCTTAATTTTTAAATTTCGTATTAAAATTCTTCAATTTGAAATTCATATTTATTTTTCTCTAATTTCAATTTTCTATAATCAGCCAACATTTACGATTATTTTTATGAATAACATTTAATTTCTATATAAAATATATAAAATAACTTACTTTCAATTTTCTTTGCTATAGTTATAGTCGAATTCTTCTGAAATTCATCCTATTCATTATCTAAATTAATATTAGTAATTTTCTATTGTAAAATGATAATTTCTTCATCTTTTTTATTTATAATTTATTTTAAGTTTAGATTATCTTATGTCAATTTCTCAAATTATTTGATATTAGGACTTTTAATAAATTCATAATTAAGCATGATCTATTAATTAATTGATGATTAATTATCTTTGCTTTAAGAGTTAACTATATAAGTTTGATTATTTAGATTTTCTTATCTTAATCTATCTATTTCATTTTTTTATATTTAATCTTTTTTCTTTAATTAAGTTAATTCTGTCTAAAGTTTAAATATATCTTCTTTTAATTATTTATTTTATTAAATTTCAATATCTAATTTTTATCTCTATTATTCTACAAATGCTATTTATTATAAACATTCCTATTTCTTTTCAGAAGCAATTGTCAATTCTTTCTGTGTTTATTCTTAAATATTATTTTTTTCTAATTACTCTTTAGCAATCTAATTTTAAAGTTATTTAATAGTATTTTCTTATTGCATAATTTTCATTTTCAAATCTATTAAATCATCTACATTAACATTGTACATATCATTTATGGTCTAAAGATTCATTTAAGGAGAGTGATTAATACGCTAATGCAATTTTTATATTTCAATTTTTTGATCAGAAATCAATTTGTCCTTTTTGTGAAGAATGACTTTCATTTCTCTTTCATTTTATAATTTTTATTCTTCATATTTTCTTTAATTAGTAAATTCCTCTTAAGCTTAATGTTTATACATCTCTATCATCTATTTTAAGTATAATAATTCTTCCTACAAATCTCTTTTCTCCTCCTCATTATTATTAATGATGGATTATAATTTATCTAATCTCTTTTAATTTTCAATTTCTAATATTATATTTCTTTCATACTTATCTTATCTTCATGTAACTAATATTAATGAATTTGTCTCAAATATTATTTTCGTTCCTCATCAAATTTATCAAGATATTAATCATAATTTTGTAAGGGTTAATTATTAAAATCATTTTGAATATAGACTACTTAACTAGCTGTCTTGATATTTAACTCATTCATTAAATTTTATCGTTCTAATTCTAAGTGTTCCAATTGATTTTTTGTTGTTTTTAGTTCAATCTATAACTCAAAAACTTAATTGTATTATTCTTATAATTCATGTTTCAATTATTATGTCTAGATTATATTATATATTTATTACATCTGCAACATGATTTTTTATTAAAACTTATTCTTATAAACTTTTTATTTATTTTTCCTTTATTTCATTTAAACATTTAAAAGTATCTCTCTCTTATTTGATATCAAATAATTATGATTACAAACTATTTTGTGTATCCTATAAATTCTTAATTTGTATTTAAGCTTATTAAACAAAGTTTGATTATTGTTCAACAATCCTAAAAATTGAATAATAATTACTTGGTCAATTCTTCAATTTTATGTTATTTCTATTAAATGTCTCTTTCCAAATGATTAATTTGTTTTTCGAGAGTTAATTTTTACATTTAATTACGATTTATAATAAATTTATAAACTATATTAAATAAAAACAAAACCATCCAAAAATTGTTATTCAAAAATTCTATATAATAATAAACAAATTTTAGCCAAAAATATATTTGATATTTTTATTATATTATAATTTATAATGATTATTAAAAACAAATAAGATTAAAATAAGTGAGTAATTTTATCATATAATTATTTAAATCTAATTTATTTATATAATATTCATTCTTAAAAACCAAATGATATCTTAATTTATAATTGAACTATATAATTATTAAGTATTATAAAATTGAAATATTTATAAATTACAAATAATAATATTCTAATACCTATAAATAAAGAATATAAAGTAAATAATTGCTTATAATTCAAATAAATTATATTATATCTATCATATCAATAATTTACTATAAATTAATTATTTTATATCCTTCTCTTTATTATAAATAAATTATGGAATTTTTAAAGTAAATTTAAAACTAATCGTTTCATTTCTCAAAAGTAACCAATTTTAAATCAAGCCAAATATTTTTCATTTCTCATATGATCTCATAAACAAAATAAGATCCATAAGTCATTATCAAATCAAGACACTTAATTTAATAATGACTTAGATTTCAATTTTTAGTTATTAATGAATAATACTAGATTTATGTCTTAAACAAATGATAGATAAGTATTTTGAATATTCTAAATCATCGGAATAAGTAATAGAAGCGAGTAGAAAATAAATTAAGAAAGTATGATGTTTTAATATAATAAATAAATTTATTCATATCCTCAACCAACAAAATGAATGAAAGAGAATCTCGAACGTCTCATAGGGCATTTTCTTCTAATCCTACTTCTGCTCCTTAGAATGCATATGCTTCAGCACTCAAAGCTTTGTAAGAGAAATTAAAGGGAGTTGAAGGATTAAGAAAATCCATAGAAATCCCTTCTGATAATTTAATTGACTAACTGAAAAAACAAATATATGATCTGTAAAATGAGAATGAAAGATTATAATACTTATTAATGAAAAGTAATCAAGAGAGTTAGATGAATTTTGTAGCATCACAATAAATTGAAGTTTTATAAGCTGAAAGATTACAACATCTCAAAGATTATTAGGATAGAGTAAGTGATTTAATAAGAAAAAATGAAGAATTGAAACATGAAAAACATGAAATTCAAATGGCGTATGATAGTTTATAAAGATAATTGTAAGCACATAAATCTAATGAAAAAGGATTTCTTCATAAAGTAGAACTTAAAAAATTCGAAGAAAATGCTGCTCTTTTAACAAATGTTTAAGATCTTAAAATAAAACTGGATTTAAAAGATTAATAAATAAAAAAATAAGAAAAGAAAATAGAATTCTTAGAAATGGAAAAAGAGTAAGTACTATAAGAATATAATAATTATAAATCTAAATATCCACCTATGAAAATGAATGATTTTGAAAAATAAATTCATTCTTTAAAAGTTTAATTAGATGAAAAAGATAAATAATACTCTAGAAGCATTGATGATATAGAAAGTAATAAAAGTATAAGAGAAGAATAAATGAGTAGAAGAATTTAAGATTTAATTGGAAAATGCAATGAATACTAATAACTTATTGAATAATTAACTCAAGATTATAAAGATTTAAGTCTTAAATATTAATAAGTCAAAATTAAATTGGATTATGAAGAAAGATAACATAGATACATAAATAGAAAACTTAGTTAAGGTGAAACTGAACTTAAATAAGGATATAAGGAACAGAAAACAATTACAAAATTGAATATTGATCAAATGTCACCTCCATTAACTAGTCCAAGAATTGAAAATAGTTTAAGATAAAGTTAATTAAAATAAGCTATAAGAGAATGTTTAGAAGATATGAAAACTACATAAAATTTCAATTTTTGTAGTCCTGATAGAAAATCTGAAAACAAAAAGTAACCATTACTTTCACCTTTATCAACTACTCGTTAATTTGAAATTGAAACTAAACTTAAAGGACTTAATGAAAAATATGAAAATTTAATTAGATAAGCTTAAAAAGAAAATGATTTGAATTGTAAAGCTGTAATAAGGAAATAATTGCTTGAAATTGCAGAATAAATTAAAGAAACTACTAAATTTGAAAAAATATGAATAATAATTCTAGTAATTTTTATATATTTGATTTACATTAATTCACTTTCTATTTTATAAACTATTATTCTAAGAATTTAATTCATAATATAAATAGATTCTTTAGAAAAATTAATAAAAAAGATAATTTAAATACATATTTATAAAAGATACCTAACATTTTTTATTATATATTATTATATTCATTTCATATAATAAGTACTCTCAATAAATGGTAATAATTGAACCAGATAGATTTTTATATATATCAACAAAAGTATCAAATATTATTATAAAAAAACTAATATTAGGATCATTATATAAATGATTTTTTGGAAGATGATTTAAATTAGAAAGAACCTATTAGAAAAGAATAATAATATTTAATAGAAATGATAATTGAAAAATATTGATTTATGATAATTAATAATTTTAATTACGAATATGTTCTCATTATTGGTTTTCTTAAATGTAGTTTTGAGTTAAGAAATTAAAAGATTAACTATTGGTCATAGAGTTGAAGGGTAAAACAATAATTGATTGATAAGTACTTAAGCGAAGTGGCTAAATTAGAATGGAGACTATTATGAGCTAATTTTGTCAGAAATTAAAAGTGATTCAGATATTGTAGTTATGGTAAAGGCAATAAATCCAGGAGGAGATCCAAACATTTTTATATCAAAAGAAAATAAATATGCCAGCAATGAATAGGAAGGAGAAATAGCTTCATGTACATCAAAGGGAAATGGTAAATATATTCTATATTCAATAAGATTTGTGTATTATTGATAAATCTAAATTGATGAGGGGTATTCCTTATTATATATCAGTAATTTGTACTGGGAATTGTAAATATGATTTAAGAGTGGATTATGATGAAGAATACACATTAGAAAAAAGTAAATAAGAGATATTTATAATAATTAGATGATTTTACTTAATTTAAATTAACTGATAATTAACAAAGTGAGATTATAAGGATTAATGTTGGTGATTATAGTAAATCTGAAGTGGAACTAGAAATAGAAGTAAAGGCATTAAATATTTATGAATTTGAATCTGAATTCTAAGTTTATTTAAATTTAGGAACTACTCCACCATCTTCAAATTAACATTAATTTATAGCAAAAGATTCATGGAGTGGATCTAAATTAATATCTCTATCAATTTAAGAATTGCCATAATAATCTATATTGACTTTATTAATAGCTGGTTAAGCTGGAGGAATATTTTAGATTAAGACTCATACTTCTGGAATATTGAGAGAATTAAAATTTTAAGAAGTATATAATGGGATAGTGGAAGTTGGTAATGCTAGAATTTTTAAAGTAAAGATTCAAGATAATAATTATAATGATATGAATGAAATTGAGAGGAAAATAAAATGGGTAAATTTTAATGATAGATTTAGTTTGTAAAATTAACTCCATTTGTTGGACATGCTACTTTATATGCAAATCCTGATTATTAACCAGTGTTATTAGAATAATATAAATTTCATTTTGAAAGAATGAGTCAATAGGTTTTAATAATAGAAAAGTCTCAATTCAAAAACTAAGGTGGAAATGAGAAATATTTATATATAGCAGTATTTGGAAATGAAATGTGTACATATGAATTAGAAACTGGAATTTAAGATTTTGAATTTCAATATATTAACATTAATGTTCCATATGAAGGTAATATTGAAAATAATGAAATGATTAATTATTGGTTTGTATTGACAGGAAATAAAACAAAGGCAGTTATAATAGAATTGACAAATTATGAAGAAGAATGTGCTTTAGTTCTTAAAAGATGTTATGAAGATGAATGCAAAATAATCTAAGATGATTTAAATCATTTAGAAGAGAAATATTCAGAAAATTCAATAGATTTATTTATTTACACTAATTCAACAAAAAATAATTAATTATTGGTGTTTAATTATGATCCTGATGTTTGTAAGGCTTTTGGTGATTTCTATAGTTGTACTTATGTATTAGCTATATATCCAAGCAACACAAATATACAATATAATAATCGATGTTATTATTCTATTTTGATATCTACTCAATCCTCACATATAAAATTAAGGGAAAATACACCTCATAAATCAATAGTAGAGAGGTATAATTATAATTATTTTTAATTTAATATTGGTGATACTCAAAATATAAATAGAATTTCAATTCTTTTAACACCAATTTAAGGAAGTTTTTAAATCTATTCATCAACAACAAATACGAGACCAAATAATGTTAGTTTTGAAAAATAAGGAATCAATTATATTATACGTTATGGATATGAGAATGAAAAAATTGAATAGGGAATCTATTTTATTTCAGTATTTGGAGAAACTGCAGGATTGTATACAATCACAGTTGTTGTTATAAGGGAAGGTGATGATTTTCGTAAAAAAGGTTAATTTGCTTGGCAATATGTTTAATTATATGAGGGAAGTCCTTAAGATTTCACTCTTTTTAGTGGAGAAGTGGGTTTATATAAAATTGATCTTATAAATTATCTAAATAAAGATGAAAGCAAATAAATATATCATGAAAATTTGAAAGTTGAAATCTTGCATGAATCAGGTGAATTAGTAATGTATGGTTTTGATCATCCATCATCTAATTTATCTGAATCAAGATGGAAGAGTTAAGAGGAAATTGAAATCTAATTTATAGAAGAAGATTATCCTGAAGTAATTTATTTGAGAGTAGAACCCTCTGAACCTTTTAGTTAAATTTAATTTAGAATAATTTATAGAATAGGATGGAAAAACAACATGTTAGTTTTGAATGAGAATTTTTATACTTGGATAGAAGCAGGTGATTATCAATATTTCTATTATACTTTTTTTAAAAATGAAGATATTTAACTTACTAAGAAAGCTCATTCTTCTAAAGAT